AGCTCCAGAGTGCAGGAGCCTTTGTGTCCTGGTCTCACTTCTTCCTCGCGGACGCTTAGGGGCACTTAGAAATGAGTTTTCATGTTTGGTTCCTATAATCCTTAAGAAGCGGCTAAACTTGCATTTTTGGCTATTTGCTAGGGGTCTAAGTTCAATATAGGTTCCCATAGTCCTTAAGAAAGAACCTTAACTTCTATGTGGATGGTTGTCAAAATTAGGGTCCCTTTTTGGGTCCCGATTCTAACACGGCACCTAATATTCAGGGTACCCAAAAGGGACCCTAATATTGACAACCGCCCATATAATTTTGCTAGGGGTCCTTGGGGTCTATACGGGTTTAGGGTTTAGGGTCTTAGGGTTTAAGGCCATTTGGGTTTCTGGGCTTTTGGGCTAGGGGTCTAAGTTCAGCAAAGGATGGGCCGCCTGCCTTTGGGCTGGTGGAGTCGACGCCTCGCTCGGGCTTCGCGGTCTCCAGCTTGTTTACCCTGACTCTGGATGGCAAAGGTTCCTTTAAAGGGGTCTATAGTGGTTTAAGGGTTCATCTATAGGGGTTTGGGTGGCAAGAATAGGGTTCCTTTACAGGGGTCTATAGGGGCTACTATAAGGGATCTATAAGGGTACTATAACATGGTTGAGGTTGCTTTGGCAATAGTAGTTATAGTTGTACCCCATTCCTCCATTCCCTGCTAACCAAAGGTAAGTGGGTGGCACTTTGGGAAGCTTTGCAATATCCCCAGAGGTAGCTATTCGTAAATCCCCCTAAACGCTAGACCCCTAAACCCATCAAAGACTAAACCTTAGACCCTAAACCCGTAAACCCCTAAACCCTCAAGCCCTAAACCCCTAAACCCTAAAGCCCCAAACCCCTTTTTAAGGAGTCCCAAAGCTACAGCCCAGGAATACTTTCGGATGGTTTGACGAGCTCGAAGATGGCGTCAGCTACGCCTTCTTCCGCTTTCCGCTAGACCCTTGGGCTCATGGGGTTTAGGGTTCCTTTAAAGAGATCTATCAGGGGCCCCTTAAAGGGATCTACAAGGGGTCCCTTCAAGGGGGTTTAGGGATTTAGGGGTTAACGGGTTCAGGGGTCTTTGAAGGGATCTATAAGGGGTCCCTGAAAAAGGGGGTTTAGGGATTTAGGGGTTAAGGGGTTTTGGCGTTTTGGGTTTCGGGGGTTTGGGGTTCTAAGGAGTCCTTTTCAGGGTTTCTTTAGTTAGGGATCTATAAGGGGTCCCGTAAAGGATCTATACGTGTTGCTTTAGAGGGATCTACAAGGGCTGAGGGGTTCAAGGGTTCAGGGGTTGGGTTTAGGGGTTTAGGGGTTGAGGGGGGGGTTTAGGGGTTTAGGGTTCTGAGGAGTCCCTTCAAGGGATCTATACGGGTTCCTTTTAAAGATGTAAAGGGATCCAGAAGGGGTTTGGGGTTCAGGGGGTTAGGGTTTCAGGGGTTTAGAGGTTTAGGGGGTTTAAGGGTTCGGGTTTAGGGGTGTTTGGTTTAGGGTGTAGGGGTTTTGGGGTTTAGGTGTGTAGGATTTACGGGCTCAGAGCTGAAGCGATTTGAGCTTCAGGGAGGACGTTTCTGGTCTTTGTGGCTCCTCCGCTACGACTCTCTGTCCGTAGGAGGTGCCTTACAGCAAGAATGTAGGGGCCTGAGTAATTTCCCATACCGTTTCGGGGTTCCTTTTATAACTGTAGCACAATAGATCCCAAAACCCTACTCTATTCTTCAGGCTCCTATAGTATTCCAAAGCTTTGGGAGCCCTCCCACACTCTCACCGAAAAGCAGCGGAGGAGAACATTCCAGGCCTGGGGGAGAATTCGCTCTACGATGCTGCGCCGGGCAATGACGTCGAGTGGCGCCTTCCGTACACTGACTGGCACAACGTGTCCAGCCCCGCCTACTTCCAGAGACAAGGTGGCTTTTTCGGGGGCCTAGCGTTGAGCATTCGAGGGTTTCAGGGTTTGAGGGTTTAAGAGGTTGAGGCTTTTGGGGGTTGCGGGTTTCAGGGTTGTAGGATCTGAGGGTTCTAGGGTTGGAGTTTGTTGGGTTTAAGGGGTGCGGATTTAAGCTAGGCTCCTCTGTGAACCCGTCGGTGGAAGCTTTCATTCCTCGCAAACATAGCAGAACATACCCAGAGCCTGACTGAGATCATGCTGGCAGCTTCGAACGGTAGACAAACAGATAAACAAAGAGTTGGATACGTAAACAAACAAACAAACACATACATGAATGAGTAAGCAACACCACTATCTATCCATCTATCGATCTACCTATCTATCTATCTATCTGTATATGTATGTATGTATGTATGTATACCCACACATACACGGGAAGTGTATATTAAGATTACTACAGGTATTACATCCATGCATATATGTATATTATATATACATATATATATATATATGTATATATATATATATATGCACCAGCACGCATTGTGCATTTAGGGGGCACTCTTATCGAGTCTTGGAGCATGTTGGACCTGAACCTGGGGAGGACGAAGCTGTGAAAGGGTCTCTTGCCGCCACCTCTGCAACCGACAGCACCTGCACCAAAACGGGTTTTAGCCTATGGGGGTTTAGTAGGGATTAGGTTTCCCATAATAGGGTTCATATTCAGGAATCCCTACACCAAGAATCTTAAACCCCCCTTTTGGCTTCCCATCACTGCACCAGCACCAACATCAGCACGAACAGCGATCACAAACATGATGCAACCGGCCCCATCGGCGAGCCCGCTGCTTGCAGGTGGTCTGCTCTTGCGTCCATGGGATGCGGCCTTAGTCGGTTTCCGGAGTGTTTTGCCGGCTGCTGTGGCTTTGAGGATTTAGGGTCCAGCGGTTCAGGTCTGCACGAGGTCCGAACCGGTGGGAACTCCGAGCCCTAAACTTCCTAACCCCAAAATCCGAGGTTTAGGGTCTAGGGGTTTAGGGTTTAGGGGTTTAGGGGTTTAGGGGTTTAGGGGTTTAGGGGTTTAGGGGTTTAGGGGTTTAGGGGTTCAGGGGTTTAGGGGTTTAGGGTAAAGTCGCGGGCGAGTTGGGCTGCAGGGTTTGGATGATCGGAACAGCTTGTCTCTCGAGGATAGAGCCAAGAGTGTCTCCGATGTCATCCTTGCTGCCGGCTCCTACTACTTGGTGGGCAGGGGTTTCGGGTTTAGGGTTCAGGGTTTGGCGTTTAGAGTTTAGGGTTTCGGGTTTAGGGTTTCGGGTCTCAGGGTTTCGTGTAGAGGGTATAAGAAGGGTACCATGTAGGTGCCTCAGGACTTACCCAGAGGGTCCATATATACTACCATTATGGAATTAGGTCCCAAAAGACCATCCCTATTATGGCTTTGGGGGCCTAATTCCATAATGGTAGTGTAGATGGACCCTCTAGGTTAGAGTGAATTACTTGGAGGGTTGGGGGACTTAGTAACTGGTTCTTTTAGGGACTTATAAGTACCCTAAAAGGGACCCGAATTGGGGTTATGGTACTTATAAGTCCCTAAAATAACCAGTTACTAAGTCCCCCGACCCTCCAAGTAAGGCTTACGTAACCGCTCTAAGCTCAAAGTAACGTTCGGAGTTTCGGGCTTGGCTTCCTCGTGAGGTACCGTTAATCCTTAAACCCCTAGTATAGGGGCCTTAATAATAAGACTAGGGTTTTATGGTATACGGTTTAGGGGTTTAGGGGGTTTAATAGAGGGGCCTTAACAATTAGACTAGGGTTTTGGGGTATGTTATATACAATTAATAACAAGGCACCCCAAAATAGTCTTGGTAATTATTTAGGCCCCTATATTAAGCCCTTCTCGAAGTTCAGACATTTGGCCGAAGACATCTTCCTCAAATGGGATTGGTTTAGGGTTTAGGGTTTAAGGGTTTAGGGTCTAGGGTTCGGGCAACTAAAACAGGCATCCTGTTCGGGAATCTTCAGCCAGCAACAAAAAAGCTGCTTTGAGAATCAGAATAAGGTTTCGGGGTGTGTTCTACTATCGGTACACAGGGGCAAAGGGAATACTAGTCCTACTTGCAGAGCCTTACTGAGAGAGGGGGCTTCAAGACAACATTTAAGTTACACTGAATGCCCATTTCCTTACCTTTGGTTAGTAGGGAAAGGAGGAATGGGGCACAGTTATGCCTACTATTACTACCATTCTTCCATTCCCTACTAACCGAAGGTAAGTAAGAGGCTGCGCTGTTGGCAGCCTCGGCCTAGGCCTCGGCTCACCGTAAAGATGAGAGGCAAAGCCCAGCACGAAAGAAGCAGCACTCGTAATATGGGGGCCTAAGTAGTGACCAATACTATTTCGGTGGTTCCTGACTATAATTATAATGGAATATTGGGCCCAACATCCTAGGATTCCAGACAGACAAGACTTTGGTCGGCGACCGCACGTATACCCTAAACCCAACCAGAACGGTTAACCAGAACATAGTAAAACCCAATGCGAGCACTGCGAAGAGCCGTAGATCCTGAACACTGAATCCTAAACCTTAGGCCTTACCCTGAGCCTTACTCTGGAGGTGGTCCGCGCGCGGGATGCTCTGGGAGCTGAGGCAGGGGGCAGGGCTTGGAGGGTTGAAGAAAGAGGTCTGAACAGAGCACGTAGTATTGACATTCGCCAGTCCTTTGTAACCGTATATAGCATCGTGATAACATTATAGGCTTTTACGACCCCGTCTAGGTAAATAGACCCTGTTTGCAAGCCCGAATCCACCATTAAAGTAGAAGGTATATGTTGGAAATGAAGCAAGCATCATTCATACCGGCATTCCTCTTTTATAGGTTCGGGGTGTCCCAACTATTGCGGGCAAGCCTTTAAACAACCGTCATGTACCACTTACATCCGTCTCAGCCCTAAACCCTAGACCTTCTAAATAACCCAAACCCAGTAAATTCCTAAACCCTAAACCCTTAACCCCTACGGGCTCTGAACCTATAAAGAAACGCCTTCCAAGCCGTAGACCCTAAACCATGGCCTTTAAAACATCCTAAACCTATAAATCCGCGCCCTAGGGCATGGCATCTGTCCTGGGCCCGGTGGTGTCCGAACCGGCGTTTCTCAGCGCCACGGAGACGACCAACGCTTTGAAGGCCCGAGAGGTTCAGTAAGAGGGTTCCTTTAAAGGGATCCATAAAAATTCCCTAGCAGGATTGTTTAGGGTTTAGGGTTTAGGGTTTAGGGTTCCTGTAAAGGGTACTATAGGGTTCCTGTAAAGGGTACTATAGGGTTGTATGAGGCTCAAGGGTTCAGGGTTTAAGGGTTCGAGGGTTTACGGCTTCAAGGGGTCTATAAAAGGCCCCTTAAAGGGATCTATACGGGTTCCTTTAAAGGCATCTACCAGGGTTTACGGCTTCGTTCACTGGGTTGAGGGTTTAGGGGTTAAGGGTTGAGGGGTTTAGTGGTTAGTTCGGGCTTTGGGGTTGACGGCTTCGTTTAGGATTTTTTTCTTTCGGGTTTAGGGTTGAGGGGCTCCAGGGGCATGGAGTTTAGAGTTTAGGGCTTTGGTCGATGGAGGGAGCATTCGGTGACCCGTGAGGTTTTGGGACCCATGGTTCCTGAACCTAGATAGAACTTGATCATATAGAAGCCCGAGCAGTTTCAAATACTGTTCCTTGGACAATTACTGTATACTACAATATACCCCCCCAAAACACTATTCTCATGGTTGGAGTCCTTTCATTAAACTCTTAACCCCACCATCGGCTCAGGGATTGGCTTTGGCCCTATTATACCCTAAGTCGTAACTCCCCAGGAGCCTGAACCCCTAACGCAAAACGCCAAACTTGTTTAGTGTTGCGCGACAGGTGGCGGCCGCCAGCAGCGATGCGGACCGAATCCTCAACGCCGTGGATGCTGCACTCTCTGTGCCCGGTTTAAGGATGAGGGTTTAGGGTTCAGGGATCGGATTCTTAAGTTAGTGTTTATATAGGACATGTGCAATACACTACCTTGCATCGCGGAACATATTTTCTAAGGTAAGCCATCCCCTAAACCTTAAACCCATACACCCTAAACCCCTAAACCCCTAAACCCTAAACCCCTAAACCCTAGAACCCTAGACCTGCCTGCAGAGAGAAAGGCCCAACACACTCAAAAAAAAAAATCCCTAAACCCTCACTCTTAAGGGTCCCTAGAACTCCATCAAAAAAGCCTGAGGGTCCATACTAGGGGCCCATACTTCTACTTCTAACTTTGGATCTTATGCTTGAGATCTGGCGAGTCTTTGGGAAGAATCAGCGTGGAAGAAAGAAGACCTGCATGGATGCCAGCAGACACCCAAAGCTCTGTAGACGGCATCTAGACAACCCTCCCAGAAGCTCCAACCCTAAATCCTCGTCCCGGAACTTTTAGAACCAGAGATAACGCGCAGCAAAGCAGACAATAGCCGCGGTAGACATATGAATAACATAAACCAACTCCGAGGTTCCCCAGCGGTACCCTTTTGCTCTTTTTCTTGTCGGGTTCTGTCATTCAATCCAAACACTAGGAAACAGGGTACCCACATTATTAAGGGGCTACTCGGGAACCCAGAATCGCAAAACCCCAACAACCTTTAAACCTTCTATCCTAAACCCCTAGACCCCTAAACCCATAAACCCCTAAACCCCTGAACCCTGAACCCGAAAACCTTAAACCCGTCTAGATCCCTTTGAAGGCACCCTTCTAGATCCTTTTGAAGGAACCCTTTGAGATCCCGTTAAAGGAACCCTAAACAAACCGATCACAAGACCTTCTCTCTTCCGAGCACTCGGGGCTCTCTGCAGAGAGCGCAGGTACCGGTTTCCGAACCTTTCGAAAGCTCACTGCTTGAGGCCATGGAGGCCGGGTAGGGCTTAGGGTTTAGGGCGTTTAGGGTTTAGGGTTGAGGGTTTGGGATTTAGGGTTTAGGGTTTAGGGGTTTAGGGTTTAGGATTTTAGGGGTTTAGGGGCTTAGGGGTGTAGGTTTTCGGTTTGCATATGGTATCTACATCTCTACCTATGTGAAAGGACCACTCATCGGCACAATGATTCTCATCAGCCCTCATCGCGTGTACAGTTTCTTTGAGAGTCCCCTTGCTGTCTCTGTTGTATGTGTGTATACATATACGCACATACTTTGGCCTCATGCATACATACATACCTGTACATACATACAGGCAGACATACAGACATGCTTGCATACATACATACATACATACATACATATATACATACATACATACATACATACATACAGACAGACATACATACGTACATAGACAAAAGCCTACCGCCATATATACATACATGACTACACGTACATACATACCTGCGTACATACATACATGCATGTATACATACTTACATGCATACGGATACATGTGCAGATGCACATGCAACATGACACGTGCATAAGCACACACACACACCCAGATTGGTATGTATGTATGTATGTATTTAGATAGGTATGTAGGTATGTAGGTATCATTGTATGTATGTATGTCTTTGCACATTAGAGAGCCACGAGTTTTTGGCCATGGGCCGCGAGTTTGTTGCCAGGGGCATCGAGATTTTGGCCATGGGCCGCGAACAGGCTTCGTGGCCCATGGCCAAAAAGTCGCGGCCCATGGCCAAACAGTCGTGGCCAATGAACAACTTTCGTGGCTCATGGCCAAAACTTGGGCCACGAATTTGTAGCCATGGGCGGCGAGTTTTTGGCCATGGGCCACGAATTTTTGGCCAGGGTGCGCGAAGGTCATGAAAGTTTAAGGTAATGCACGGTAGAGAGGTTTAGGGTTTAGGGGTTTAGAGTTCAGGCTTCAGGGTTTAGGGGTTTAGAGTTCAGGCTTCAGGGTTTAGGGTTTAGGGTTTAGGGTTTAGGGTTTTGGGGTTAGGGGTTAGGGTTGCCGCGAGAGGTGGCCGCCAGTGTCGTGGCACCCAGCCCGGAGTCCTTGGAGAAGTGCCTCTCCTACAAACTCACCTTCATGGGGACCCCTACCCTATACTAGGGCTATATAATGGGTATATAATAGCTGTATTAAGGGTATATACCTGTGTTCAGGGTTTGGGGGAAACTTTTAGAGTTTTAGGGTGTAGGTTTCTAGGGTGTAGGCGTAGGGTTTTAGGGTTTGGTGGTTCAGGGTTCAAATTTTAAGGTTTAGGGTTTTCAGGGTGTAGGGGTTTCGGGGGTGCAAGGTTAGGGGTTTAAGGTTTAGGTTTTAGGGGGGTGGGGGTTCAGGGTTCAGTGATTTGAGTTCTATCAGGTGTTAGACTGGGTCTTATGATGGAATCTGGATTAAAGAGAGTTTAGGCTACGACGACGGATGGTAGGGTTTAGGGTTTGAGATTTGGATTGAGGCATGCTTTTCCTTTATTTGGTCTTGCGGGCTTGAGTTTGGTGTAAGCTTTTTTTGGTGAAGGCGATGCGCGGATTGGAAGGGAAGAGGCGAAACTCCTGTTGAAGGTTGCGAAGTTCCCAACAGTTTGACCTCGACACCTTAGGGTTTTGCAGGTGTTTAGGGTTTAGGGTTTTGCAGGTGTGTCTACACCGGCAGCGGTTCTATATGGGTGGTTGTCAAAATCATGGTCCCTGTTTAGGTCCCTATTATAACACGGCACCTAATATTCAGGGTACCCAAAAAGGGACCATGATTTTGACAACCACCCATATGTGAGTGTCAGAAAACCTTGTGGACCTAGCATGGACCCGAAATCGAAGGATCCCGCCATAAGGGTTCTTACCAGGGAAACCGCAACTCTTAAACTTGAACTGATCCTTACAGCCCCCGAACCGAACTCGAAGAGGACCCTTCCGGGCAGGAGTCAGCGGATTGAGGGCTTGAATTTCAGAACCATAGGGGTGGTGTGCTCTTAGGGATTCTACTGTCTCGGGGGTTCTTTGTTACCGGGGGGGAGTACAACTAATATTTGTATTCCTTCAGAGTCCCTACCATACTACTCCAACGTACCCCAGATGCCTATTTCATAGGCAGCCGTATGAAAGCCTCATGCAACGCGGTGTACAGCTATAAGCCTTGCAAAATCCTGATTGGGCCTTGCATTAGGTTCGGGTCTCGAGTCAGTTGGGCTTCGGCATTTTTTCGGCCGGAACTGCCGCGATGGTTGACAGCCTGAAATCCCAAGCCCTATAAACGCTTTCAGAACCTGCGCAAAGCCCTAGAAAACGCCGTAGCACCTTCATCGATACGCTGGGAAACCACAACTTACTGGCTTGTTTTCGGGAAGTTCGGCGTACGAGGCTCGTTCGAGTGTTCGGGGTTTTGGGGTGGTTTTCAGGGTTTGGTTCTTCAGGGTTCCGAGTTGAGGGGGATAAAAGCCCATGTCAAGGTGCCTGAAGCCCCAAAACCGAGGATGAGCTACGCCGTCTCCTCTGTGGTGCAAGGAGGAAGGACGCTATGCCAAACCTAAACCCAAAACCCCAAACCGGAAATCCCGAAATTCTGAACTTTCAGCCCCAAGCCGTGCATCCTAAACCATTAAGAATCGCAAGTTCAAGGCTAAACCCTAAACCCCTAAGCCCCGAACACTGCATGGGTGCTGCTGCTTGTGTAGGCCCCATAGTATTTCGTTTTTTGGGGTCATACTTAGAATCCTTTGAGGAAGTCCCCAAAAGAAACTACTATGGGGCCTATGGGTACCTTCAACCTTAAACCGTACGTCTCAGAGTTTGAGGGTTGGTAGTGGTGTTAGCGTTGCTAGGGTAGTCGTGTGCTTTGGGTTTGGGATTCAGGATTTGGGTTGCCTGAACAATAGACCCTGTACGGTTTAAGGAAGAAGGTACCCATAGACCCCATAGTAGTTCCTTTTGGGGATTTCCTTAAAGGATGCTAAGTATGACCCCCAAAAACGAACTACTATCTGAACTTTCTCGAAGCACTTTGAATCTCCAAGAGCCCCCCACCAGCCCTCAACCCAATTCCTCATGCAGCCTTCATAAGATCATTGTAAGCACTTTGATCCCATATATACCCGGTACGAAGCCCGCACAGAACCCGTATAACACCCATTGATTCAAACTCCCTATAAATCCAATAGGGAATCCCGTACACCCTTCATAGAGCTCTGTAAACTAGACATAGACACCCTATAAGCCTTGCAAATTAGGTACAGAACCCTAGACACCAGCCATAGAACCTTCTCACAAAAGCCCTTGACCCTAAATCCTAAACCCTAAATCCTAAAGCCTGAACCCTGAACACTAAACCGGCCCTAAACCCTAAACCCTGAACCCTGAACCCTGAACCCTGAACCCTGAACCCTAAACCCTAAACCCTAAACCCTAAACCCTGAACCCTGAACCCTGAACCCTGAACCCTGAACCCTAAACCCTAAACCCCAAGCCAAGGACAGGGATGGGACTCCTTATGAACAAGTCACAGCTCTCTCAAGCCGCAGGTTTCTCGAACAGCAGTTGCTAGGGGCTTCTCTATGCAGGGTTTTCATGAGTTGTTTTTGTCTTTAAGGTTTTTGTCGGGTCATTTAAGGGGCTTACCTTAGAAGGATTTTTTCTTTCAAGGGTGTTTCTAGGGCTTTACAAGTCTTGTTACAAGGGCTTGCTAGGGGTCAGAGGGTTTGGAAGGGTTTAAGAAGGGTGTTTATGAGGGTTATATACGGCTGTTGTTAGGGCTTTAAAGGGTTATAAGGGTGTTACAAGGGCTTTGTGAGTTTCGTTTGGGTTGAGATACGAGGCTTATGGGGACTCTAGAGCTCACGGAATCTTGTGGTTCAGGACTTAGGGTGTAAGACTGTAAGCTGGGCTTTGGAGTACCATACTTTAATACTTTTTTCTTAAGGGAACCATTCTGAAATAAAAGTTTATACTTTTTTCTCCCTGGTTACTTAAAGGCCCAGTAAGAGTTTGGGCAGTTTAGAACTTTTCGGCCAGTTTGGGGCTGCAAGGATGTTTTGGAGCCGTTTAGTGGGTGTTTCCGGTGTAGTCCTTTTCAGGGGTCTTTGAGGAGACTTTAAGGGGCATTATGGGGGTTTAGTATTTGGGGCTTGAATAACTAACCATTGGTATCGGAGGAGCTAAGGAGCCAGGGATGATGATAATCCCTATGAAATAAGGAGCCCAAAACCACTGCTTAGATAACTACCAATACTATGTTTGGGCTTCGCTCTGTGCCTTTCGGATTCAGGGTTTAGGGCAGGGGTTAGGGTTTTTAGGGTTTAGGGTTTAGGGTTTAGGGCTTAGGGTTTAGGGTTTAGGGTTTAGGGTTTAGGGATTAGAGTTCAGGGTTTAGGGTTTCGGGTCTTAACTTTAAAATTCAGCCTTGGGTTCCTTTGTAAGACTTAGCAGATGTCGCCTGAGCCCGGTAGAGTCCCTCTAAACACTCCATAGAGCCCCTATCCGCTATAAAAAGCCCGATTCGAATGCTTAAAGGCTTGCAGATAAAATCCTGCAGAGCCCGGATAGAAACGCCTGAAGCCCTAAACCGTGATCTGTAAGCCCATGATGAACAACTTGTTCTAGCCATTATGAGGTCCCTAAACCCTAAACCCTCCTACATTGGGCCCTTCCGAGGCTTGCTTGACAGTTGCATTGACCTGGCGCTGGAGAGCCCCGAGAGCGGCGTTGGGGCGAACCTGGGCGTGGCGATGCTGGAAGGCGATCCTGAAAGACGATGCCCTAAGACTATAAGCCTTAAACTGGGTTGTGCTTTGGGATAATTTTAAATTTCCCCTTATTTCCTTATAAAGGGAGCCTATTCATAAATGATTTTCAAAGCGTTTAAAGCACAACCCAGTAAATCCACAACCCAAAGCCATTCTCCGTAGAGTCTAGACTCTAATTAAGCCTTGAAGGCATCTCATCCGTGAATCTTGGAGCGCGTATGGGCGAGAACAGCTCCCTAAACGAGTCCGCGAACTTGACGACCATGCTGCTGTGTCCTTGTTAAGAAACAAAAGCTCGGTTGCAACAGTTAGGAAAGTAGGAAAGCGATGAAATACGTCCTTTCCCTGTTTTGGTAGCTTACATCAGGCTCCTTAAACATAAAACCCTTTAAAGCCAGCCTCGTAAAACCCCACAAGGACCCATAGAGTTCAAGTTACCGCAACTTGCGTTGAGCTCGAAACTTCAATCCCCACCCTAAACCCTAAACCCTAATGCCTGATTAAGAAACCCTGGGCCTATAACCCCAAAATAGTAGGATTCATACAAGGAACCCGAATAGAAGCCCAAGGTTTCTTAATCAGGTGCCTGCACTACAAAAAACACTACAAAAAAGCAATCCTAGGCTGGAGACGCTGACCTCGAAGCTCGCAGATGCCAGTCTGGCACTCATGCGCCTGGGTGAATCGAAGCCTGGTCACCCGCCGTAGCCGTTTTCTTTTGTCTTTTGTAGAGGATTCTATGAGGGTTTTGCAAGGGTTAAACTAAAGGGCTTTAGAAGCATTTCGGAGTCTTCGGTTTGGTTCGTATGAACCTGGAGACTAAGGACAAAGCCATCTACCCTAAACCCTAAACCCAACCTACTAAACCCCTTAACCCAAAACCCCCTAAACTATAAACCCAAAGCCCTAAACCGAAGAATATTCTGGAGACTAGGAAAACGCCATAAACCCGAAACCCAAAACCCTAAACCTAAGACTGCCCAACTTAAAAGAAATCTACTAAGACTAGCCCTAAACCCTAAACCTAAGACTGCCCAACTTGAAAGAAACCCTAAACCCTAAACCCTAAAAACCTAAACCCTAGACCCTAAACCCTAAACCCTAAACCCTAAAAACCTAAACCCTAAAAGCCCTAAACCCTAAAAACCCTAAACCCTAAACCCTGGTGGTCAAGCCCAGGAAGTCCATGGCTTCTTCCAGCGGTGGCAGCGGCATGGCCCTGGAGCTTTCCCGCGCCTCGGCGATGTTGTAGAACCCCCCAAAGGTTTATGGTGACCTTTGTAGAAACCCTTTAGAGAAGCCTAGAAGATCAAGGAATTACGACGATGAACTTCCCTAAACCCTAAGCTTCAACCCCAAGCCCTAGACCTCCCTAGACCCCAAAGCCCTGAGCCTACAACCAAGGAATTACGACGATGAACTTCCCTAAACCCTAAACCCTAAACCCTAAGCCCTAAGCCCTAAGCCCTAAGAGCCCTAAACCCAAAGCAAGGAATTACGACGATGAACTTCCGGGGCGGCCTGGCCTACGGCCGCCTGAGCGCCCCGAGGAAGGTGGAGCTCCTCACGCGCCGACTCTCCGCTTTCGGCTGGTACTCTTGTTTTTGTATGGCTTGTCTTGTAGGGTCCCCTTGTTAAAACAGAATAGTCGGAAAAAGCGTACCCTGATTATAAAGGGGCTACTCGGGCACCTAGACTCTCCGCTCCCGGCTAGTACGGTTCTGTATGGCTTGTCTTGTACATCACGGGCTTATAAGGGGTCTATAAGGGTTCTGAATGGGCTCTGCTTTCGGCTAGTACGGTTTTGCATGGCCTTTCTTTTAACTAAGGGCTCTGTAAGGGGGTTCAGAAGGTGCTTATGAGGGGTCTAGAAGGGCCCCATGAGGGTTCCGCAGGGGTTCTGGAAAGGTTTTTCAGTTTATTTTTATTTTTTCGGTGCCACTCCGCCCACAGTACTCCTTTTTGCATTTTGCAGTTTAGGGCGTAGAGCTTTGATGTCAGGTTTGAGGCGTTTCGGGTTGACGAGTTCAGGGTTTTAGGGCTTCGCTTCTATTTTCAAGCTGAGTAACAGGAAGAGGGGCATGCTTAGGGTGTAGGGTTTCGACTTAGGCTTTAGGCTTTTGGTTTGATTAGGGTCTTAGGGCCTTCCCTTCTTACACTCAGTGACAGGAAGCTGGACATGCTTGGAGGGTCGGCGGACTTAGTAAGTAGGTAGTAAGTAGACTTATAAGTATCCTAAAAGGGACCCTAATTGGGGTTATGGTACTTATAAGTCCCTAAAAAGAACCGGTTACTAAGTCCCCCAACCCTCCAAGTGCTTTCTGTTATCGGGCATGGGGGGGCTCAGGGCTGCAGATGGCCAACGAAAGCTGCGATGCGCCCGACGCCCTGGATGTGAAGCTGACATTCTGGGAAAGGAATAATCCATACAGCTGGGCGGATCCTGGGTAGCTGAGTGGGTACACTTTACACTTCTTGGGATCATAATACCCCTTACCGAGAGACTCCAATATCCCTTAATTCAGGAAGATACCTTAACTCATATTAGGGATCAGGGTTGGAGTCTCTGGGTATAAGCCTGAAAGTGTACAGTTTTTTGCGTATGAGCTCGGCAACTCAGGATCCTGCGAAGGGCATGAACCGCTTGGTGACTCCAAACAACACCGTGGCCGTTCTCCAGCGTCTGGGTTTTGTTTTGATGGGCTTCGCTCAAGTTAAGGCAGTGTACACATAAATAAATACACTATAAGATTAGATTGGATTAGCTTTTTTGATTGTGTATATATATATATATATAGTGTTTATGTATATATAGACACATGACCTGCATTAGATGAGATTAGACTGGGTTTTATTACTGTGTGTTATCATGAGTCATCTTACCTAGTCTTATATTGCAAGAGGTTGTCGTATGTTATCAGATTACCTTTCTGTTGCATCTTATACCTTGTCCTACAGGATACTCTACAGTATTGTACTATGCCATACTATACTGCACTATACTATATTATACTAGACTACACTACACTATACTATACTATACTATACTATACTGTGCTACGTGATATCATTCTCTATCATGATACATCATATCATATTGTATCATAGCATAATAATGTATTTCAGCATTGCGGATGAATGTATTCATTGATAGTTAGTTCATATGAGGTCTTGCTTGTGTTAGCTGAAAGCAACCTTCCGTGGCAAGATCTCCGTGGCAAGATCAGAGCCAAGGCTTGAACTCTGTGGCTCTCGGGTCACCTTCAACGACACGGATCCCGATGCTGCCGTAGAAGTGAGGTCTGGGAGTGGGTTCCTTTTCAAGGGACACTACAGCGGTTTCGGGTTCAGCGTTCCCTCAAAGGGATACTAGAAGAGTTTAGGGTTTAGGGTGCAAGGCTCAGGGATTAGAGTTTGCCTTCGTCTTTTGGGGGGTGTTTGGTCCTTCATTGTTCGGGCTAAATGCTGGCATGTTTGATATGGGGTTGGACGTAGTGCTAATTAGCAAATGGGCGTTCCTCAAAGATTTCGTGGGTCATCACTCTGCAATATGCCTCAAAACCCGTTCGATTTATGACACCCAACATGATTTTCAACTTCCCACACCAAGGTGCGAATCGCCTAACTGAATCGCCGGAAGCCCCAAAACCTTCAGCGGATCCCAGGTCTTTTGTCTTTGAACAGGGGGTTGTAGCAACGCTCTGTAGAACCCTGGAAACCCTAAACCCTAAACCCTAAGGGTTCTACAAGGGTTACTTTTAAGGGTTCGAAACCAGTTGTTGTTGTGGCTTTTTATGGGGTTCAGCCCCGACCCCCCGGCCAGAAGCCTGAGACTCTGAGCCAAAATAGCTTCAATGGGAGACTCTGCGCCCAAAACCCTAAATCTGAGCCCGTAGCTCCGAAACCGTGAAACCCTGAACCCCAAAATCCTAAACCGCAAGCTCTATATCTCAATCCTGGCGGGGGCCTTCTGCCTTTGTCAAGGATCCCTTATTGTCATTCATCCGCAAAATAACTTAAGGACCATTCCTTTCTTGGGGGGTTTTGGCGTCTGCATTTCGTCGGTTTGTTCCGTACTTCAGGAACCCTAAGCCGTAAACACCGAAAGCCCCCAAATCCAAAGCCCCCTAAACCTCAGACCCTGAAACGCAATCCAAAAGCTCCGAAACTAAACCCTCGGTCCTAAACCGCAGACCCTAAGCCCTAAATCCTAAACCTCAAATCCTCATCTCCAGTGCCAAACTGCTAGAGCAAAACCACTAAACCCTAACCCCTAGACCCCCAGACCCCCAGACCCTAAACCCATAAACTATTAAGACCGAAGCCCTAAACCCTTAAACCTAAGACTACGAAACTGCGAACCCAACAGTCTCTGGGTGGCAGGGACATCGACCTTCCAGCGAAGCCGCCGCCGGTGTGGGGCTACTGGCTGGACGTGGCCTGCGCAAGGCTTCGTCTGATTTGTTCGGTTTAGGCTTAAGGGTATTTTGGGCTTAGGGTTAAGGGTGTGGGGTGTAGGGTTTAGGGTTTAGGGTGTAGGGTTTAGGGAATTTCATATTCATTGTTAGTGTCGTTCCAATATACAGCTACGGCGGTGTTCTTATTCCTTAGCCTCATGAAGTGGTTCTAAGCCCCAAGCGCTAACCAAAACCCCAAACCCGACACACTCAACTTCAAACCCCGAACTCCAAACCCTAAACCTGAAACCCTACAGTAGAGAAAGCCCGCTCCACGGAGCTTCCTACGCTTGGATAGTGCAGAGCCACGGTTTAGGGTCTAGGGTCTATAGCTTTCAAAAAACAAAGCCTACTGCAGGGTTGCAGGATGAAGCTGACGAGTCAGAGACAAGGGCAGTGCAGCCCCGTGCAAGTTTTGGTTTTGGCGTTTTTTTTGGGGGGCTGTGAGCGTTGCCCTATTCCGGGAGTCCAAAGACTTCTAATGTGAGGAAGGGTCTTTATGCGCCTTCTCAGGAAGGGGTTATCAGGAAGTCGAGGACGGCTACACAGAGGGCTGCCTACGTTTAGGATTTAATTCTTCGCATTGGGATTAATTTGCAGAGTCCCTGTGTTACTTGGCATGGCAGTTTTTTGGATACTCTAGCATGGCAATAGGGGCTTGGTCTGTCAGCGTTTGTTACACCCAAAACCCTAAACCCTAAATCCCTAAACCCCTCAAACCCCTAAACCCTAAACCCCAAAATCCTAAGCCGTAAATCCTAAACTCTAAACCCGACTAAACCCTAAACCCTAAACCGTTAGCAACAAGCATCCCAGCGTCGCCAGGTGGTCTCCTCATGACCAAAGCTGGGTCTTTGATGGTGTCGAAGTGAAGCAGCCTGCGCCAGGGTTGCATCTTTAGGCACGCTTTGAGTTAAGGGCTCAGGGTTTAGGGTTTAGGCTCCTAAATCCTAAACCCTAAACCCTAAGCCCTCTACCCTAAGCCCTAAACCCTAAACCCACTTAGGGATCTTTCGGCTCGATTTGAGTCCAGGATGTCAGGATCTAAGCAGTTTCTGTTTCTTGGGAAGTCCTGGTCCTGTGCTCTAAGACTCGAAGCCCCAGAAGCCAATTCACCAAACCCTACACTCGCTCTCTCTCTGAATCTCTCTCTCTCTCTCTCTCTCTCTCGAGAGAGAATGACTAGTAGGAGCATTTGTTTATAGCCCCTGCACATTTAAACTATGATACGCCATTAACCCTCATTCTAATTATCAAAGGCCCATATCTCTGCCCCACGCCCTAAATCTGGATTGTCGGTTTGAGGCGTACCGTAGGCTGGGACTCAGTTTCAGTGGTTTACAGATGTTGAAGAGGCCTTGTAGTGCTTCCCAAACCGCAAACCCTAAGCCCGTTCATGGTTTCGGGGCTCTCCAGATTGGGGCTGATAGTTGAGGCCGAGCTTGCTTTTCGACATGCCCCTTGGGATCCCTTACTGGGATCCCGTAAACAGATTCCTTCAAGGAACCCCGGAAAGGAACGCTGAAATGATCCCCAAAGGGATCTTAGTGGTGGAGCGTCGGAGCTTCAAAGATGCGTCAGTGATTATAGTATCCTTAAGGGAGGGGGGTCCAAGGGGGTATATAGCCTAGTGATCCCTAATTCTCCCTAGTACTCCCTAAGGTTCCCTTACAGTCCCCTAAGGATTCCTTATACCCTCCCCCCTTGAACCACCCTCCCTTAAGGATCCTATAAAGTGAGTCCTTAAAGGAGCCAAAGGCTCCTTGATTTAGGACCTGTGTGTCCCCCTGTCGAGTCTCAGATCCGAAACTCTTTGCCCGCAGGATCCTCATTATAAGGACCCCTAAATAAGGTACCCCTATTTTCGGAAACTCCTGGGCATGTAAGCCAGCCCAATACCCAACCTTTATACTTTTTGGGTTTTTATAGTTGAGTAGGAATCAGAAAGTTTAACATTCTTTCTTTTCTGTGGTTTATTGGGAGAGTGAGGAAACTCTTAAGCCAGGACTGCTTGGACCTTACTTGGAACGAAAATGCACCGAAACCCGATTTTCATGATTTATAACCCGATTGAACGGAAAATTTTCTGAAGTGTCCCAGGTGTACAACGATGACGTCAGGGTCACATGCAGGGCCTTCTACGGCGGCGCTGCCTACGCTGCAGTTTGGCTACCCGTCGAGGTGACCACCTCCACGACAACGCTGGAATGGACGTACCCGGCATATACAACGCTCCTCGTCTTAAACTCTAAACCCCGGGCGGACTTGGTGTTAACCTGAATGATCGCACAACCCTGCCACATAGCGTGAGCCCAGCAGCAGAAAGGAAGGATTCGTTGCACCCCTTTTTCCCTGAACCCTAAACCCTAAAAGCAACCCCTGAACTCGAAACCTTCTCCTGCGTCAGGGATCTCCAGAGACGGTCGCAGGTATAGTAAAACCTATCCGTTGGGGGTTGCTTAAGGTTTGGGATAAGGGGTCCCTCGAAGGGATCTATAATGATCTATATGGTATTTTTGAAGGGGATCTATATGGGTTTAGGATTCGGGGTTTGGGGTTCAGGGGTTGAGAGTGTAGAGTACAAGGATTAATAATTTTGTGGGATCAACTCCCCACACAAACCCTCGGAGAAACATCCCGGGTTCTATATCAAAGGGGTCAGGGCCGAGGAGTTTCGAGTGTAGGGGTCTTCTGATTTTGGGTTTAGGAATGAGGGTATACCTGGGATTGTTGGGCACCAATATCCCCTAATTGAGGAATATACCTCAAAGTATGGTAGGATCACTAGTATGATTTAAGGTATAGTCCTGAATTAAGGGATGTTGAAGTCCCCTAAACCCTGAACCTTAAAGATCCCTTAAAGGAACCCTCGGTATTTCTTGAGGGATATTGGAGTCTCTGGGTTCACGAAACTTGTAGTCCGGACTTGTAGGAACCCTAAACCCTAAAGCCTAAACTGTGGAATGAGCATGTTTGGTGCCCATGGTGCTTTCAGGTTTAGCGGTTTGCGGTTTAGGGTTTAGGGTTTAAGGGTTTAGGGTTTCCGATTTAAGTGTTAAGGGTTTAGGGGTTGAGGATTTAACGGTTTAGGATACAGCCCTCAGAAGATGGTTGTTTTTCCAGCTCCTCCATGCAGAAGCCGTGGGCCATCCCCAGGCTTAGGGTTCAGGGTTTAGGGGCAGGAGCCGAAGCCCAGACGTCTTAAGGCCAAGCTGATCCAACATCTGTGCCCCTAGCTCTAAATCCTAAACCCAGATCTTAAATCTTGGAGGAACTTCCAGAAAACCTGGAGAAGTCATTGTCCAGATGCCTGTAAGGCCAGGGAGTGAATCCAAGCACGAAAGATCGTAAAACCAGTTTCCAATTTGAAGCCCTGGTTGACGGAGCGTACCACGATTGGGGTTTTGGAGTTTATCTTGGCGATCCGGGGTGTGACGGTTTGACGGGAGCTGTGCCTAGGACAGAAGGCGGCTTTTTGCACTAGGGTAGTTCTCTGTATTATGTCCCGTTTAGGGTAATTACTGTGTATACGGCTGCCGTATTAGTTCGGTGACTGAAGAATGGGACCCCAGTTGAGAGAACTACCCATTAGGCTGCATGGTCTTTGGAGCTTTGGATTCAGGGTTTGAGGGTCTCGGGTTCAGGGCTTTGCAGTTTTGAGTGTGGGGGTGTTAGATTTTTCGGTGAACTGTGGCACTGGATCAGTAGCTGAAACCTGGTTTCTAGCTGCCAGGGAGCCCGTGACCTAAACCCAAGCCCCTGGAACCCTAACCCCAAAGCCTACACCCAAACCCGCAAACCTGAAACGCCAAACACCCAAGTCTTAAAGCCCCCCCCCAGCCGCGAAGTCCACGTCCTGAACCGACTGAGGTTCTTCGTGCCGAGCCTGCCTCCGGTCTACGTGGTCTCCTGCAACGAGACGCTCCTGCCTGACCCTCCTGCAGGTAACCTCCGGGTTCAGGGTTTAGGGTTTCCAGAAGTCGTTGATGTTGCTTAGAGCTAGGGTTTTAGGCTGTCGGTTTTAGGGCTTAGATTCTGGACTGGAGGTAGGGTTTCTCGAAGGTCTTAGGCTTGGGGGTGGTATGTGTTGGCGGATCCCGAGTCTGGGTTCTGCAAGTAACCTTGGCCTTCTTTGGGGCTTACAGAACCCAGGGAATACAGGGACTATGATCTCTTCAGGGCCTAAACTTAAACCAAGGTGCGGTTCCCGGTGCCAAACCTCGCAAGCCCAATTCGAGAGCCCAGAGCCTTGAAGCCAAAGCCCTAATTTTTGTTGTAGCACGACTACCGAAAGCCTAAAACCCGCAAACCCACCAGTAAAATCCTGCCTCATACGTGTTCTGCTATTCCCGAGGTTCTCCCCCTATAAACCCTATAGGCAATCCCATAGAAACAGTATAGGTTTTTGGATCCTGTAGACAGTTGCTGTACGAAACCAGAAAGCTTCCATAAGCGACTACGGCAAAACGCCGACCTCCAGCCCCGGAAGAGTTTAGGGTTTAGGGACCCCGAGCCCTGAACCCCAAACCCTGTACCCTGTAACCCTTAACCTCCTGGCCCACCTACTAGTAAAGCAGGAGTTCAAACAAGGCTTATATACCCTAAATCCTGACCCTGAACCCTAAACCCTAAACACTTAAAGCCCAAACCCTAAACCCTACAACCCCCCAAAAAAAATCACTAAACCTGAAGCCCCAAACCCCAAAGCCAGAGCCCTAAGCCTCCAAACCGCAGGCACCTGGGACTGCACCAAGCCCGGCGAGGGCCAGGAATGTAGGGCTCCCTGCTTCGGCTTCCCGACGCTGGGGCATGTTTGTTTGTCTAGGTGGCAATTTGGGAAACTTTTTAATTTCCCTTATGGTTCCTATAGAGGTACCTATTCATAAATACTTTTCAGAGCCCCAAAACTACAACCCAGTTGTTTGTTTTTATCCATTTTGGTTCAGAGAATGAACGAATACATGGCATGTTTGAACTTGTATGTCTTTGTTAGTCTGTTTTGTTTCAGGTTTCAGTCATATTTTGCTTGGTTAGTGCTTTTGAGAGGTTGAGGGGCTTTGGGATGAAAGGGTTCAGGATTTAGGCTTCAGGGCTTTGGGGGTTTAAGGGGTGAGGTCGGTCTCGCAAACCTCAGACAAACCCTCGAACTTGCACCAAAAACCCTCAACGTCTAAGCCCCAAACCCCTGAACGGCCTGAGCCCTAAGCCGTAGACCCCGAGGCCAAGGCTCTGAACCCAAAGCCCTAAACCTCAACACCCGAAACCCTAAGGCACCTGAACTCTGCATGTAGGAACCTGATTAAGAACCCCCGGGCCTATAACCCCCAAAATAGTAGGATTCATATGAGGAACCCTGGTAAAAGCCCCCCGGGGTTTCTTAATCAGGTTCCTACATTATTATAGTACCCTCATAGATCCCTTATAGTAACCCTTATAGACCATTTTAAAGGAACCCTAAAAGAAGGCCCAAGGTTCCTGCATTAAGCTCTTGAGCTGCTCTGACCCCAGGAACAACATCTTCAGCATGACCTGCCTGAAGGGAGCCGACTCTTTGGAATGGTTTACCACGAACTTCTGCCCGGTGCCTGGGCTCGGGTTGAGGGATTTATTTCAAGTTGCCATAACAGGGATCTATAATAAATCATATGGTTCCCTTATTATGGTAACTTATATGAAATCCTGTGACAAGAACCCAGGTGTTTACCACCACCACCAGCTACGAAGAAGTGAGGAATCCTGCGGATGAGGCAGTCACTGGGGGCCTGCTCATCTTCGTCTGGGTCGTCCTCGCGACTTGCCGTGGGTAATGCCTGAACTCGAATCCGCAATTCCTAGATCCTGCAACCAGTGATAACCCTTAATCCTTCTGCCTAAACCCTTAATCCTGAACCACAAACCCTGCACCCAGGAATTTGCACTGAATCCTTAACGCCTAAACCCCTAAACCCTAAACCCTAAGCCTCTGAACCCTCAACCCCAAACCCCTAAACCCCTAAACCCTTAAACCCTAAAGCCCGAAGTCGTAAAGAAAAACCCTCAGCCCCGGAGGCCTCTGAGTCGAATGCCCCAGAGCTTTCAGAGAGTCCAGGGTTTTGGTGTAAGGGTTTGGTTTTATGGGGTGTAGGGTTTGAGGTTTTAGGGTGTAGGGTTTTGAATTTAGGGTTTTTTGTTTGGGGTGTTGGGCTTGTGCGGATTTTGTTTTTTTTGGGGTTCAGGGGGTCTTCAAAGGCAAGCAGCCCAGGTCACCTGTGGCGCTGGTGTTGCTGCGCTTGTGGCTTACGGGGGATACCGCTTCGCACAGAAGGAGCCTCTGGGCTGAGGGTTTTCAGGTTTACTTAGGGGTACTTAGAAATAATTTTTATAATTTTTGCTAGGGTTCTAAGTTCAGTATAGCTAAGGGCCCCCACTTAGCAGGTTCAGGGTTTAGGGTTTAGGGTACCATACAGTAGTAATTGAATAATATTCATAATATAGATATAGTATGACCTTCATAGTAGCCTCATTATAGGCTATGGCTATTAACTGTATGGGGGCAGTACCCAAACTATGGGGCTCTAGGTTTGAGGGCTCCCTTATTCAAACCGACTGGTAGGAAGAAGGGCACCCTTACTAGGACTAGGTTCCTGACTAGTACCCCTTTGCCCTTTTGATTTTAGGGTGCCCTGATTCAAAACGAATAGTAGGAAAAGGGTACCCTTATTATAAAGGGCCTATATACTCAGGAACCTAGGGTTAGTCCTTAAGGTCCCATGATTTGGGTATATACTTGGAGGGTCTGGGGACTTAGTAAGTAGGTAGTAAGTAGACTTATAAGTACCCAAAAAGGGACCTAATTGGGGTTATGGTACTTATAAGTCCCGAAAATAGCCAGTTGCTAAGTCCCCCGACCCTCCAAGTAGTCCCATGATTTGGGTATATATTAGAAGGGGCCCCCACCCTGTAATAGTGGTATAATAGGAATATAATAGGGCCCCTAGTATAATCCTTATAGTCACTATTACAGGATGGGGGCAGCTTCTAAAGTATAAACCCTAAACCCCAAATAAGCCCCAGACCCTAAACCGCAGCTCCAGAGTGCAGGACCCATATAACGGACAACATGCCTTCCTTGGTCGTACTTGGAGGGTCGGCGGACTTAGTAAGTAGGTAGTAAGTAGACTTATAAGTACCCTAAAAGGGACCCTAATTGGGGTTATGGTACTTATAAGTCCCTAAAAAGAACCAGTTACTAAGTCCCCCGACCCTCCAAGTAGTTAACTTACCCCCCCAAGTTCTGAGCTCCAAGCCTCCTGTGCTCATATATGGGAGTTTCCGAAAAGTAGGGGTACCGCATTTTGGGGTCCTTATAATACAGGTCCTACTATTTAGGGTTCTATATTAGGGTCCGCTATGTTCGGAAACTCCCATATTTCCGCAGCAAACAGTGTCATCTTTAATCCAAGAGGCCTTGTTTTCAAGGCACGGGTGTGACATCTAGCGTGGAAACATACGTAAAATCTGCGCTATGGACTGCATGTGGTTTGATGCCTGGGCTTTGTACAAGGACCCCTAAGAAAGGGCCATCCTAACTGTCGGACGAGATCCAAAACTCGAAGCCCCAAACCCTAATCTGCGGACCTTCCATTGCGGCTACGGTTGATGATAAAAAACCTGCATGACCCATAATAAGGAATATACCATAATCCCCGTAGTTTAGGGTCCTTAAGGTAATGCAGGATTTAGATCATCAACCCTAAACCCTAACCCCCCTATAGATCCCTTAAAGGAGCCCCTTAAAGGTACCCTTATAGATCCCTTTAAAGGAACCCTCAACCGTATGAGCCAGGAGCAGAGGCGTCGCTCCCATGTGTCGCATGTCGTCTTCCCAGATGACGAGGTAGAGGAGAGGTTGCTCAGGGTTTTGGGGCTACGGGGATTCGGGGGTTTGGGGCGTTTAGGGGGTTGTAGCGTGCTTAAGGTTTGAGGGAGGGGCCGGGGAGTGAGGTATGTAGTTCAGTACTTCGTCGCTGAGCTTTCAGGTTTAAGGTCCCCCCGTGGGAGTTTGGAAGAGTGCTCAAAGCCTGGGCTACGATGTCTGCGGTGGAACATACCGACTGAGCGCAAGCGAAGGGGAAAGCGAAGGGGAAAAGGACTTGGGCTTCACGCTAGGCAGAGAATAACGGTTTAGGGTTTTAGGGTAACCGAGAAGCTGAAAGTAGATGCTCTTTCAAGCCAGACTCCCCGCAAAGAAAGCTTGAATCGCAGACCTTCAGCTGAGCCGGAATGCCCCCAGCTTTCCAACGCGAGGAGCCCTGGTTCCAAGGTTCCCACGAACCTTAGATCCATTATCTTCGTAGCTGAGTGGATACACTGTACTCTTTTCGGGATTTTACCACCCACTATAAAACTGAAAGTGTGCACTTTTTGGGGCTTATGAACTCAGCAACTAAGTTATCGAACCTTCATAGAGCCCTTACTTGGAGGGTCAGGGTACTTAGTAAATAGGTAGTAAGTAGACTTATAAGTACCCTGAAAGGCACCCTATTTGGGGTTATGGTACTTATAAGTCCCTAAAATAACCAGTTACTAAGTCCCCCGACCCTCCAAGTATGAATCCCTCCCGGAACCCCGTAAAGACCAGGCAAGAAACCCTGAAACTCTCCACGGAAACCCATGGAAACCCCAAGATCAACGCTAGGCCCTACCTGTACCCTAACGAACCTACCTTTTTAGGCCCCCCCCTAATATGATTTCTTTACATATCTTTAAAACGATAGGTCACGTGGGGTTAAGGTAATGCTAACATCATACGGAAACCCATGAAACCCCAAGATCAACGCCAGGCCCTAATTATAACATCAGGAGAACCCCGTGGATCCCCGGTTTATGGACTGGGCGAAGCAGTGGGCGGAGCGCCCGGCGGTGGCGGAAAGCGCAGTGCTGGAGATGAAACACCAGGCGCTCGGGGAGTTTTTTCCTTTAAGTCCAGGGTTTAGGGTTTAGGGAAGTATTGAGTTTAGGGTTTAGGGTAGGTTTGGGGACCCAGAGAGCCCAAAACCCTTTAATTAAGGAATATAACTGAAATTATCAGGGGATTCAGATTATGATGTAAGCTCTGTTCCTTAATTAAGGGGTATTGGGCTGTCTGGGGAGGTGATTTTCGTTTAGGGAAGTACTGAGTTTAGGGTTCAGGGTGTTTTCCATCAAGAATAGGCTGCCGGGGAGGTTTTTTCCTTGAAGTAAGTAATGGGTTTAGGGTTTAGGGGTTATTCCTTGAAGTCATGGGCTGCAAGAGTTTCTACAGGGTTCTAGGCGTGGTTTTGCACGGAGTTTCTTCTAGGTTTTGCCAGGGGGTTTGTTCTAGGGCGTCGTTCATTGGTTTTGAACCGGTCTTCACTACAAGAAATGTACTTAAGTTTTGGGGTGTACGGTGTACGCTTAGATAGTGAACAGGGGAACTTGAAACTTTTTGGCCTTGTATATTTGCTCTATCTTAGAAAGTTTGAACTTGTTGGGGCCCGGTTGTTGATTTAATAACACCCTGAACCCTAAACCCTAAACCCTAAGCCCTAAAAGCCTAAACCCTAAACCCTAAAAGAGACTGTATCTAAATTTTGGGGTACGGTTCAGACGCAGGGCTTCAAAGTGTTCCAGCGTGCGGGGTTGAGGATTCCTCCTGGTTCGGGGCTATGCCACAACCCCAAACGTTAAAGGACTTCTGGGTTTAGGGTTTAGGGTTTAGGGTTTAGGGGTTTAGGGCTCCTCCCCCCGTAAATTTTTGAGAGAGGGAAACCAGGTAGGCCAAGATGAGAGGTTTGTCTCTATTATTCTGAAGCTTTTCTCAGACCTTACACCCTAAAGCCCAAACCCGAAACCCTAAACCCCAAACCCTTTACCCTCAACAATTAAGCGTCTACCCTAAACCCTAAACCCTAAGCGTTAAACCTTAAACCCTAAACCCTATACCCTAAACCCTGAACTCATTCTGCTCTAAGCCCTACCCCTACAGATTCTGAAGCTTGACCCTAAACCCTCTACCCTAAACCCTAAACCCTATACCCTAAACCTTGCAGATTCTGAAGCTTGGCAGGCCAGCTCTCATTCCCAAGGCTCTCTGGCCCTTGAGGACCAGGGAGCTGGCAGTTCACCGGAGACTTGGACCTTTAAGGTTTAGGGTTGATTTAGGCTATTAAGGTTTAGGGTTGAGGGGTCTGGGGGTTTAGGGTTTAGGGTTTAGGATATACGGCTTAAGGGTTTAGGGTTTTTGCTGCATTACTGTAGGGGCCTTAATAATTAGAATAGGGTTCCTTTAAAGGGGGTTTATAAGGGTTACTATATTAGGCTTCCCTTAAAGGGATCTACTATGGCATTTTGGGGTTTAGGGTTTTTAGGGTTGTTTGGGTTTTTTTTGGGTTGTTTGGGGTTTTAGGGTTTAGTGTTTTTAGGGCTTTTCGGGTTTAGGGTTCAGGGTTTTCAGGGTTTAGGGTTTAGGATATTGGTGTTGTCTGCTCGGGCATTCGGGAGACACGTTAGGCTTTGTCTTTTTTTGGGTTTAGGGTTTAGGGTTTATGCATGCGGTCTCTCGGACAGTGTCGAAGCAACCACTTGGAGACTAGACTACAGAATCATTACGAATTGGAGCCAATAGGGTTTAGGGTTTCGGGGTCTGGGGAAACGGGTTGAGGGTGCGGGCCTTCTTTTCGGCCTCAGGGATTAGGATTAAGGTTGGGTACGGCCCCCACTCAGTACTAGTTGAATAATATTCATAATATAGATATATTAGGACCTTACTAGTAGCCCTATTATAGACTCTTACTGTAAGGGGGCAGTACCTAAGATTAAGAGTTCAAGGAGCCCCGAGCCAAGGAGCATCAGAACTCAGTGGAGGATGAACCTGACGGCAAGGTGCCGCATGCTTCCTACTTGCAATTGTACCCAGTTAACATGGGGGTCGGAATGATTACCAATAGTGTTTCTAAGAGTTCTTTTTTTGGTAGTTAGAGCATAACATACCCCAAGAGCCTATTTTACTTATTCAGGCCCCTAGACTGTTTTTGCAACTTGGTGGTTTACAGATCCTGTGTTGCGGAAGCCATAGAATGCCTGGGTCCTTCCTTGTTCTTCCTTCGACGCCCTTTAGGTTTTTGAGCTTGTCTGCTTGTTGGTTGCAGGGCGGGTTTGAGGGATTCCCATTCGTTTTTGTCAAGGTGTTGGGAGCTCTGATCATTTTGCGGTTCCACCGTTCAGGGTTGGGGTTTTGCAAGAACTGAATTAGGCTCGGGTGTCTTTGGCTAAAGTTATGCGCACGGCTATTCGTATTAAATCTGTTGGGTTACTTCACTGACCTTTTCGATGTAGTGCAGATTACCATCAACAACGCTGGCTGTTTCTAGGTGCTCCCGGATGGCATGCGTTGTTCATCGAAGTACTCTTGTGGCGTTGTTGCAACACCAAGAGTAGCCGACATCAGCATTAGCATGGCATCAGCGTGGCATCGTCACCAGTAGCAACAGTATGTTGATGATGATGATGATGAAACCCTAAACCCTAAACCCTAAACCCTAAACCATGATTATGAACATGAGAATCGCGAGCACTTCTTCTACTTCTGCTGGTACCGGCCCTCTGGTTCCGACCCCAGATGCTAGGCCCTAGACCGTCAACCCCAAACGCTAAATCCTGGGAGTTAGGATTAGGGGGACCCTTGGGATATAGACCCTCTCAATAAGGTCCCTTCTAAGAGAGCCAGAAGTAGGGTTCAGAAGGGGTACCCTTTAAGGGGTCTCCCGCATCATGCTACCCAAATCCGACACCCAAAGCCCGAACCTCGGGCCTCCTTCACGCAAAACCCTCAGGGGACCCCTACCCTATAATGGGCTATATAGTGGGTATATAATAGCTATATTAAGGGTATATACCTAGGGGTCCTAATTAAGGGCCCCTCCTTTTACCCCTGGATCTATAGAATGCTTGCGCTCACATCGTGCCCTTCAAGCACCCCCGCCTCGTGGAATCCTCCCTAAACCCTGAACTGCCCCGAACCCTAAACCTGACAGTGAACTCCAGAAACTTGGCATATGGATTTAGGATGATTGGTGCGGGGATTCCCTTTACTCTACAGTAAGGTTATGAGGATTATGATGTTCCAACTTCTGGCTTCTACTGTAAACCCTTCAAGTATAGGTGCCTTAACAATTAGAATAAGGCTTTGGGGTATATAATACCAGGATTCTAACAAGAAAATGTTAATCATCATGTGGGACTTTCCGAAAATAGGGGACCCTAATATGGTACCCGAAAAAAAGTAGGATCCTTATTACAAGGACCCCAAAATATGGTACCCCTACTTTTCGGAAACTCCCATTCAGGCCCCTCTGCTGTGAACCCTTTCGCAGGAACCCTAAGTCGGTAGGGTTTAGGGGTTTAGGGTTTAGGGCTCAGGGTTAAGGGTTTAGGGTTTAGGGTTTAGGGTTTAGGGTTCAGGGTTTAGGGTTTAGGGTTTAAGGGTTCAGGGGGGATCAGTGTAGGTGGGACTCTGGGGCTCTGCCAGGAGCCCGGTCCATCCGCGTTCACCGGACTGGCCCCGCCCTTATGGGTTCCTTTAAGAGTTGCTTTCAGAGTTCCTTTAAGGGTTCTTGTAAGAGTTCCTTTGATCCTTTGTGGGTTTAGAGTGTTTGAGTTGAGGTTTATTCCAGGGTTTACATTTGTTTTTGGGTTTGGTGCTTTGTTGTGTTCTGGGCTTTGCGGTTCGGGGTTCAAGCGTTTGAGCTTTAGGGGGTTTCACTACCGTGGCAAAGTAGAGGTGGACGTGGCTTCGTCCCGAACTTCGACAAAACGGAACTAACTCCCAAACCTTAAATCCTAAACCCTAAGCCAAGCCCAATTGAATCCTGAGCCCGAAGCCCAAAAGCCCTTCCAGACTACTCCCCAAGTCGTCGATCGTACAGCGCAGCAGCTAAAACCGCCTCCACCACACCGTAACCCCCGGAACCCTAAACCCTAAGGCCTAAACCCTGAAGCCCAATCCCTATCTTTAACCCCAAACCCCTCTGTCACGAAGCCCAGGTGGGGACGCTGAGCCCTAAACCTTAAACCCCCATCCCCAAACCCTAAACCCTAAACCAAATTAACCCCTCTGTCGCGAAGCCCAGGTGGAGCTTGAGTACAGCGAGGATTGGAGGGAAGAGTTGGATGAGCTCCTGCTCGAGAGAGACATCCCCAGGCAGACGGAAGGTTGGGCGCCAAGTTTGTCTTAAGGGTTTAGAGTTTAGGGTTGGGGGCTTTTTACACCATGGCTTTCTGTCAGTTTCTGTGCAGTTTAGGGTTTAGGGTCTAGGGTTCTAAGGTTTAAGGTTTACACATTTGAAAGGGTAAAAGGAGCCTTAATATAGCTATTATATACCTATTATATAGCCCCATTATAGGGTAGGGGTCCCCATTAAGGGTCCCTCCTTTTCCCCTTTGAACACTGTTTTCGTGTGTCACGAGCGCTGAGCCTCCACGGGGAACTTCGGCCAGGACCTTGCAGGGCTGAATGTTTCGAAGAGAGGGGCTTGAATCTTTCAGCAAACGGTTTAGGGTTTAGGGTTTAGGGTCCCTCATAATACGATATGCCCGAAGACCCTGTTGCAATTATTCAAGAAAGGAAGGAGCTGTTTCTTTTGGGCCACCGGCGCACCAGACCGGCAGCAGAGGCACCAGTCTTTCAAGTCGGCCCAGCCTGCCTTCAAGCCTTCCCCTAAACCCGTAAACCCTAAACCCCTAACCTAAACCCCTAAACCTGTAAGCCCCCAAACCCCAAAACCCTAAACCAACCAGCTAGTCGACTCCCAGACAGGCATTTTAAATTGCCAAATGGTCTGCTGGAGGCGACGAAGGCCAGCTCCCAGACACAAGGCCGTACAACGGGGCTTTTCCACCGCTTGTGACCAGTGAGTCCAGGCTGCCCAGGACTTTGCGAGACAAGGGGCACGTGTTGGCCGGGTTCTGCCTTGGCCTCTGCCCACTCTGCCAGCGCATGGCGTGCAGTCGAGCTTCCCAGAGAGCCCAATACCCGTTAATTAAGGAATATAGCTTAAATCATAAAAGGAAGCCTTATATAATATAAGCTATATTCCTTAATTAAGAGGTATTGGGCTCTCTGGGTTCGCGCACTACAAAGCCGGGGTGCCCGCTTTGCCACGTGCCAGGCCGCGACCTCAAAACCAAAGACGCCATGGCCTTGGCGCCTTATCGCCGGTGCCGAGCCAGCTAGGAGCTGCAAGTGATCTGCAACTTGTAACATACGATAGAAGCTGGAATATTTAGCTTTCTTTTGGGATTTTTCAATATTACTATACCATGACATACATCCGAACTCTATTCTAGTCATTCAGTCCCCTCAGTACGCTAGCTCAGCTCTTATGTCATCCAGAACTGTTAGCTTGTTGTAAACATTGTAAACCCACTATGCCGAAGCTTCCTGTCGAAACGGCAGAAACCCGGCTTCAAACTCTAAAGCCTGAACACATTTACCCTTTACTTTCAACAATGCAATACTCCTGGGCTGCTGCTTAGGATGTAGGAACCAAGGAGAGTTTGGAGATGCTTTTTAGAGACTCTGCCTGCGCAAGATGTGATGTTGCATGAAGAACTTTGCAATGCGAGTGAAGCACCCTTAGGAATTTCAGAGCCCTAAATCCTGGACCCATGAAGCCCGAAACCCGTAGCCCCAAAACCAGGAAGGGTTTAGGGTTTAAGGTCTAGGGTTTAGAGTTTAGGGGTTTAGGGGTTTAGGGTTTAGGTGTTTAGGGTTTAGAGTTTAGAGTTTAGGGGTTCAGGGTTTAGAGGCACTACAGCACTAAACCTATCAGCCCTTCATCTTCTAAGACCAAAAGACGCAGAACCCGACATCCGATCTCCCAGAGCAAGAAAGACCAATGTGTATAGAGTCCATATAGAAGTTCCATGTATATGTATATACATATGTATGTATGTATGTATGTATGTAGGTATGTATGTATACATATACATATATATATATATATACATTATAAGTAAGTACTTATGCTTGTATATTTTCACATACTCATATGTGGTACATGGGCATTCTAAAAGAGCCCGTATAGAACCCTGAAAAAGAACTTCCCGAGCAAAACTATTGGAGTGAACCCGTTCAACCAACCCTTACATAACCTCAATGCATCCCGAAGGAGAACCGCAACAGCAAAGATCCAGGTCGGCTTTACTACGTGGTGAACTGCGTGCGCGAGGTGTTGCAGACGAAGGATCTGGAGGAACTGCACTTTGCATTGATTTAGGGGTTTAGGCTTTCGGCATTTAGGGTTTTTCGGGTTTCGGTATCTAGACTCCGAAGCCCTGAGCCCTGCGCCTGTAGTTAAGGGTGTTTTCGCACTCCTTTACGGGCGTTATAGGGTAGTACGTTGGTCCCGTGAGCCCAAAAGACTCTTTTGATAAGGACCAATACAAGGAAGTAGTTTTCCAGGGTTCAGGTACCCCAAAGCCCTACAGCAGAAGCCTAAAAGTTGGAAACCCGACGGCCTCAACCCCTAAGAGCAAAGTTTAGGGAATCCCAGCACGATTTGTCCTTAATTAGGTTTCCAACTTCTTGGAGTTTACAATCAAGCGTTACGATCTCGAGGCGTGGGACTGAAACGTATGTAATGAGGTGGAGTGACTTTGCCTTTCGAGCTGTGGTGCATATAGAAAGAAAAGTCATCAAACAAGTTTTTCGAAAAAACTGAAAGGTTTGAGGGGTTTGTAGTTCGGGGCTTCCGGGTTTAGGGGAATGAAGGTGTTAGTAGCGTTTCAGGTCTCCTGGAGTTCTCCAAGCCCAAAAATCCCCAACCCTGAACCTTGAAACCCATCAATCCTACACCCTCCTAAACCGGAGTCGTGGCTCTTAGTATTTGAGGCGCAGTTTCGTATTTGGGGTTCCAGTTTAGATGCAAAGCTGTTGGGTTTAGAGTCTTGCGGTTTGAGGGTTTAGGGAGTTAGGGTTTGGGATTCAGGTTTTCGGTCTGGGATTTTGGGTTTGGAAGATGAGGGTGTCGGTTTGGGCTACGTCCGAGAGAGTTCGGGCATACTTAGCGGGCACAGCACGAAATGCCATGCAAAGTCTTGTAGCAAAGGCCCTTGAGGCTCGACCCGAAACCCCCAATAGAACACCCCAAACTCTAGAACCCTGGACAACCTAAAGACCCTAAATAAGACGACAAAAATCGGAAACTCGCAGACGACAGCGGGCCGAGGCGCAAACCGAACTTCCCTCTGAAGATCCATTTTGTGGAGGACAGGGCCGGCCTTTGAACCCTAAACCCTCTAGGTTCCTTAGGTTCCTGAGTAATACCCTTTTGCCCTTTTTGTTTTGGGGTCTAATTATTAACCAGAATAGTAGGAAAAAGGGTACCCTTATTATCAGGGGCTACTCAGAAACCCAGCCCTTACCCGCGTGGGGTCTAGGGTTTTAAGCGGTTTTGGGAGCTATGGTTTAGAGGTTTGAAGAACTGGAAATACTCTTCGTTGGGGCTCCTTATGCGAAGGAAATGATAGAGCCGCTTCTAGCTTGGCATCGTCCAAGCTTGTCAGAAGCACTTTAAGGGCCTAGAGCTAGGCCGAACCCTGTGGCAATCACTCGTGATGGCACTACAAAACATCTTGGGGTCCTAGAGGCTTTTGGCATGAATTGAATAAGGGCTTAGGGGTCTAATGGTTAGGGTTGAGGTGCGAAGACCACTATCTTAAAAGTCCTCCCAGGAGTGTAGGGGTCTAGTGATTACGGTTGAGTGCGAAGCCCACTATCTTAAAAGTCCCGTCTGGCTTCCAATCGAAGATCTCCGACGCCTGGTACCCCAAAACCCGATACGGCTAGTTCTCTAACTTAGGGTCCCTTTTTAAGTCCCCCAAAACAGTACAGCACCCGTATAAAACGGACCCCTAAAGGGCACCTTAATTTAGAAATCTACCCCTGGGATGAAGAATGAAGAAGCAAAGGGAAAAGGAGGGACCCTATATGAGGGGTATATACTAGCTATATTAGAGGTATATACCCAGGGGTCCTTATTAAGGGTCCCTCCTTTTACCCTTGGAAAGAAGTATTGTTGCCGTCCAGACTCCTCAGAGCTTTCGGCTGAAGGGTTTCGGGTGGCACCTGTACCCCCTAAATCCTATCGGTTTAGGGTTTCTGGTTTATTGTAGGGTTTAGAGTTTCGGATCGTGGGGTTTGAGGGTTTTAGGATTTTAGGGGTTTGGGGTTCCAGGATTTGAGGGTTTGAGGGTTTTAGGGTTTCAGAGTTTGAGGGTGTAGGGTTTACAGGCCCTCAAACCCTAAACCCTAAACCCTAAACCCTCAACCCTCAACCCTAAACCCTAAACCGTCCTCAACCATAAAAGTTACAACCCACGAGTCGAAAACCCCCGAGGCTTTGACACCGAAATCGGAAGAACTGAGCCGCTGAAACCCCGCAGCTTGAGGGTTTAGGGTTTGGGGTCGAGGGTTGAGGGTTTAGGGTCTACTTGGAGGGTCGGGGGACTTAGTAAGTAGGTAGTAAGTAGACTTATAAGTACCCTAAAAGGGACCCTAATTGGGGTTATGGTACTTATAAGTCCTTAAAATATAACCAGTTACTAAGTCCCCCGACCCTCCAAGTAGGGTCTACGGTTTAGGGTTTTAGGGTTTAGGGCCTAGGGTCTAGGGTTTAGGGTGTAAGGTTTAGGGTTTCGGGTTTGAAGCCTGAATCGTAGGGTCCACTGGCTGGGTGCTGTAATCGCAGAAGCCTAAGCCCTTGAATCCTGAAGTCGTGAAGCTAAAACCCACCCTAAACCCTAAACCCTAAACCCTAAACCCTAAACCCTAAACCCTAAACCCTAAACCGCAGTACACAACTTGTAAAACGCCTGCATAGCCCGAAAGCCCCGGGACCCTGAGTCCCAGATGTTACACTACCTTAACCAACCCAAACCTACTTTTTTGCACGGTTTAGGGGTTTAGGGTTTAGGGTTTAGGGTTTAGGGTTTAGGGTTTAGGGTTTAGGGTTTTCCATATTAGGGTTTGTATGAAGAACCCACAGAAAAGGTAGGTTGAGGTACGCTCAGAAGAGGCCCGTACTACCGTTCGATGCTGGAGCCAGGATGTCCATCCGACAGTGGATAAGTCAGATGCCTTCTACGCCTGGCAGGTCCATTCCTGCCTGGGAATCAACTTTCTAGGGTCCTACAGAACAAGTATTTGCTAATAAAGGGTTCATTTACACCTTGACGGGTTACTACCCTAACCAAGCTCCTGTATAAGCACAATTTTGGGAATCTTGCATATTTATGATTAATATTCCTTTTGGGTTCCTTGTCTTATCTATACCCTAAGCCTTATTCTACTTGTCAAGGCCCCCATATCATAGAACCTCTATGCGAACCCTTCTTGAACCCTCAAAGGGATATGTTCCGTGGTTTAGGGGCGTCAGGTTTGGGGCGAAGAATATTTGAGCCATGAACCCTTAACCCTTGGAGCCCCAGACCTTAAAAGCGCTGAAACCCAAAAAGCCCTAAGTCCTGAAACCCTAAACCCTAAACCCTAAAAGCCCTAAGCCCTAAACGCCTAAACCCTAAACCCTGAAAGCTCTAAACCCTAAGCCCTGAAAGCCTTAAATCCTAAAACCCTAAACCCTAAAAGCCTTAAGCCCCAAACCCTAAAAGCCCTAAACCCTAAATCCTTATAGATCCCTTTAAAGGAACACTACAGATTCTTTTAAAGGAACCCCTAAACCCTAAAAGCCCTAGACCATGGTGGCTGTGGTGGGCGCTGGCGAATTCAGGGTCTGGCGGTTAGCTTTAAAGGGATCTGGGTGGTTGTCAAAATTATGGTCCCTTTTTGGGTCCCTACTATGGTACGGCACGTAATATTTAGGGTACCCAAAAAGGGACCCTAATTTTGACAACCAGCCATCTATAAGGGGTCCCTGAAAGGGATCTATATGGGCTCCTTTAAAGGGGTCTATACGGGTTTAGGTTTTAGGTCTTTTTGGGTTTCAGGGCTCTTGGGGTTTAGGGCTTCTAGGGTTTAGGGTTTACGATTTAGGGTCGCTAGCCTGTAGCAGAAGAGGGAGCTTGGTATTCGGGTTGCAGGGTTTTCAGGTGTTGGAGATTTCGGCTTTGGGATTTTCCAGGCTCTCGGTTTGCGGCTCTAGGAAGGGTTTAGGAGTTAATGCTAATTGCTAGGCGGATGCCAGCATATGGGTGGTTGTCAAAATTAGGGTCCCTTTTGGATCCTTATTATGGTACGGCACCTATTATTTAGGGTTCCCAAAAAGGGGACCCTAATTTTACAACTACCCATATGTAGATCGGTGCTTGCGGTTCAGCTTCGGTTTTGTGGCCCGGGTCGCAGGCATGCAGCTGATAGCCAGATCAAAGAACTTGTACACCAAGCTGTATAGTGTCCTGATAGATCCCTTATAGTAACCCTTATATGCGTGGTTGTCAAAATTAGGGTCCCTTGTTGGATCCCTAATATAGTACGGCACCTAAGATTTAGGGTATCCCCAAAAGGGGCCACATTTTTGACAACCACCCATATAGACCCCTTTAAAGGAACTCCATTCTAATTATTTGGAGAACGACGCCGACCACACCCTCGACTGGCCTAAGCGTCAGCACATGGAAACCTGGATGCGGGAGCCGGTGCCCGTTGTGTGGGTGGAGTTCAACGCGTGTGCCGAATTTGTCATCTACACTGGTGGGATGGAGGTCAGGGCGCAGTCCCTGTGACACATGCTTTCTTTCAGGTTGAACCCTCTTATCAGGCGTTAGACCTCTGTGCAGCCGAGCCGCACCAAACCCTAAACCTTAAACCCTAAAGTCGAGAAGCCTCATCCCCTCATCACCCACAGGGCCCAAGGCCGTGCAACAAATGCCTGCCCAAGCGCTAATCTTTTAGGGTTTCGGTCGGGTGCACCAAGCCCCAAACCCTAAACATGAACCTTCAAACATAAACTCCAATGGGCCAGGTCTTTTCAAGCATCAAAACCCATAAGCGCAAGAAGCCCTTTGACAAATCTATCCGAAGCGATGCAACTCGAACAAGAACCCTTAAGACCCCTCTAATCGCCTACACATCCGATGGAAGATCCCCATATCATGGATCCCCATATCATGAAGCCGTATAAAGCCCATGCAGGCCCTCCTCAGCCCAGTAGAACACCACCCAAAAGCAACTTGTAACATGAAACCCTAAACCCTAAACCCAGGCCCCGATAGCCTGAAGCCCTTAGAGACCCCAGTCCCCAAACCGCAAGTACCAGGTGCTAAACTCCAAACCCGAAACCCTTATGACCCGACGAGCTGTACAACCTTGATTTCATTCATCCTTGCGAAGCTTGCAGCAAGCTATAAACCCCAAAACCCGAAACCCCTTAGCCCTAAACCCTGAAACCCTAAAAACCTTCAAACCCCAAAACCCTACACCCCTTAAACCCTAAAGCCTTTTAAACGCCCCTAAACCCCTGAAGCCCTAAAGCCTGAATAAATATTGAATAACACTAAAAACCCTAAACCTAAACCCCGAAAGCCCCTGAAAAAACCTAGACCCTAAAAGCCTGAAAATCACCGGCCAGGTCGAGTGGGGAGCTCTCCGCCAAGGTCAGGATCCAGACCTCCGGGACCAAGACCCGCCCAAGAAGGAGCAGCTTTAGTTTATATAGTTTATAAGTTTTATATCGTTTATGAATAGGTATAAATGAATATTCTTCTTATGCTTCTTATTCTCTTCTTTTTATCATCATTATGACTCGTATCATCATCATCATCATCACTATTACTGTTACCACTCTTATCATTGTCACTATTACTACTGATACTAGGTGAGTGTCAGGAGCGTTGTGCTGATCTTGTATAGAGACTTGCTGAGGTCTTGTTCTTTTGTTCTAGGTGGCCCGGGCCCCCTCGGCATATCATCGGTAGACCCCACGCAGGTCAAAGAAGTCGAAGAGCATGCCAAGGGCACTCCTGATTCGGGTTTAGGGGTGTAGGGGTTTAGGGTTTAGGGGTTTAGGGTATAGGGGTTATGCGCGGTACAGTCGCACTACCAGCTTACTGCCAGTGACAAGTGCTATCTTTCTCAGCGAGAGGAAGTGTAATCCTCCAGCCCGTTTTGGATCAATCAGCCCTAAACCCGAATCCCGAAGCCCTGAACCTTTAAATTCCAAGGGTGGAAGGACGGACCCTTAATAAGGACCCCTAGGTGTATACCCATAATATAGCCATTATATACCCATTATATAGCCCATTAGGGTAGGGGTCCCCACTAAGGGTTCTTCCTTTTCCCCTTGGATAAATCCTAAGGGTGATTCAGCCTTGGGTCTGGGCCCAGGGTGGAGGGTTTGAGAATTGCGTTGGGGGTTTCCGGCTTTGGGTTTCTTGCTTGGGGGTTGAGGTTTCGAGTTTCAAGTTCTAACTTTAAGGTTTAGGGGCTTTAGGGTTCAGGGATGCAGGGTTTCGGGATTTTTTTGTTTTGGACTTCTGGGTTCAGGACTTGGCGTTCGCGCCGATGAGGTGATGCGGTGCAAAGTTTGGGGTTTCCGCTGCAAACAGCTGAGGGTTTGGCACGCTTGGTGCCGAAGCCGTGGACCCGAGGTTGAGTTTGAAGTTTGAAGGGGGAGCCTATATAGTACCCTGATAGAAACCCAATAGAAACCCTTTTCGATCCCTTTAAGGAACCCTAAAAGGGACCCTGATACCCTGAAACTAAACCCTAAACCTTGCGAGCCAAGAGGGTTTAGGGTGTTCGGGTCCCTTTTTTGGGGTTCCTTCAAGGGATCTATAATGGTTTCTATAGGGTTTCCATAAGGGTCGGATCTTTGGCTTCGGGCTTGGGTCGAACCAGGGCTAGCCGCTCGGAGAGGGGAGGGGAGAGGGGAGGGGAGGGGAGGGAGGGGAAGGGAGGGGAAAGGAGGGGAGGGGAGGGGAACCCTAAACCCTAAACTCTAAACCCTAAACCCTAAACCCTAAGGAAGGGCCTAGAGCTTTTGGATCGCGGCTCCCTCTTGCCTCCACAACGCTTCCTAACCCGGCAACCCGCTAAACCGCTAAACCCCTAAACCCCCTAAACCCCTAAACCTTAAACGCTAAACCCCAAACCCCTAAACCCTAAACCCGTAAACCCCTAAACCCAAAGCCCCAAACCCTAAACCCTAAACCCTACACTAACCCCTTTCTACCATCTTCCAGGAGGTGGTGACCTGAATCCCTAAACCTTAAGCCTAGACCCCTAAACTAAAGCTTTTCTGCCATCTTCCAGGAGGTGGTGCAAGTGACCGAGGCTAAGCAGACCTTTGACGTCCCCAAGCTGCCGGTGCAGCATCAGCAGCACCAGGACCTCATGAAAAGATGGCCAGGGCCTCAGCCCTAAATCCTAAACCTTAAACCGTAAAACCCTAAAGCCCTAAATCTAAACTCTAAACCCGAAAGCAGAAACCCTCTTCATGAAAAGATGGCCAGGGCCTCAGTGGCATGTCAGCGTAGACCCCAAACAAGTCAAAGCAGTCGAAGGAGCATACCCAGAGCACCCTTGAGTCTGCCGTTTGGGGTTTAAGGGTATAGCGTTCAGGGTTTAGGGGTTGTTTTTTTTAAGGTTTCGGGTATGAGACTAGAATATAACACCACCAAAACTAGTCTAGTCTATTCTGATTATTAAAGGCTCTAAGCTATATGCGTGGTTGTCAAAACTATGGCCACTTTTTGGGTCCCTGTTATAATACGGCACCTATTATTTAGTGTACCCAAAAAGGGACCCTAATTTTGACAACTACCCATATGGCTTCGACCCACGTTCCAGTTGCCCTAGGTAGGCCTTTGGTATATTTTATATTTTCCCTTATTGGGCTTGATAGGACCCTATCTATGAATATTTTTCAGAGGCTTTAAAGGGCCAAGCTGGTGCCCAGGCAGGAGCAGAACAAGCTCCGCAGTGCGGCAAATCCGAAGCCGGCGCTGTCAGGACAGCCTTGGCCGGCTTTGGACGCCCTTTTTGAAGGGTTTAGGGTTTAGGGGGATCAGGCTTAGGGTTTAGGGTTTAGGGTTGGGGAATCAAGGCTGCCTTTCATATCAGAAAATATTAGAATAGGTTCCTGTAAAGTGTGCTACCATGCAGTGTACTGTAGTGGTGTCATGAATTAAAAGGGCCCAAATCACTAGAACAGGCTTAGTTATACTAAGGAGCCCTTAACGAACATCCGAACCCTAGACCCTAAACCCCTAAACCCAAAACCTTAAGAAATAAGCCTTGGCCCACTTCAGACGCAACTTTGGCGCCGGTCCACCCCACTCCAACCCTCATGTGCAGGGCTCTAACGTTGCTTCCCGCTCTCCACTACTACTACCACAACTACCACTGCCACCAAAACTACCACTACCACTGCCACTGCCACTGCCACTGCCACCACGACTACTACTACTACTACTACTACTACTACTACTACTACTACTACTACTGCTACTACTACTACTACTACTACTACTACTCCTACTGCTGCTGCTGCTGATGCTGCTACTATTGCCGCCATTACACAATGCCGGCAATTGAGAGCCAATCTTGCCAATCTTGATTGCTTGCACCACTTGCCACTTGCACTACTTGGGGGTGGGGAATAATTTTAACAATCTTGGTCATTTTTGTCATCGAGATTGCCAAGCTTGCCGATCCCCTCTCCCCGTGGTGCACGTGGTACAAGTGGTGCACGTGGTGCTACTACTACTACTACTGCTGCTGCTGCTGCTACTACTACTACTACTACTACTTCTACTATTATTATTATCATTACTACTACTACTACTACTACTACTACTACTACTACTACTACTACTACCACTACTACTACTACTACTACTACTACTACTACTACTACTACTACTACTACTACTACTACTACTACTACTACTACTACTACTGCTCTTGCTCCTGCTCCTGCTCGTGCTCGTGCTCGTGCTACTGCTCCTGCTCCTGATCCTGCTTAAGGCTACAAATTGAAACGTCCAACCGCTGCCTCGCAAGCCCAACCCTCAAACCCACTAGCCTTACACCTACCTTAACCTACCAAAACCTACTTTTTTGTAGGGTCCTTGTAAATTCCCAGTAAGGGTTTATATTAAGAACCTACAAAACAGTGGGGTTTGATAGGTTGTAAGCCGCTATAAGCCCTAACCCCTAAACCCTAAACCGTAAAGGTAGCCCACAAAGACAGAAGCCAGGGAAGTCGCCCAAGAGCCTGCGGTCAGGCTCCAGACTCAGGGGTTCCTGGTGGCTCAGGGGCCCCAAGCCCTTTGAGTTTCGGGCTTAGGGTTTTTGGGTTTAGGGTTTAGGGGTTTAGGGGTTTAGGGGTTTAGGGGTTTAGGGGTTTAGAGTTTGGTTTTGGGGTTTAGGGTTTAGGGTTTTACTAGGGTTGGAGCTAGTGCTAGTTGCCTGATCTCCGACGCCCTAGGCACCGAACGCAGAAAGCGCACAAACGCTTAAATCCTGAATCTTCAAACCATGAGCGCCTGAGCCTTGAAACCGGAGCAAGCAGATGCAGACTGAACTTACCGTTGGTTAGTAGGGAATGGAGGAATGGGGTACAATTATAACTAGTATTACTACCATTCTTCCATTCCCTACTAACCAGCGGTAAGTGAAGCCCCAAAACGTACTGAACCCCAAGGCCATGCCTCCGATGTCCCACACCCTGGAAAACCTAAACCCTAAACCCCCTGAGCCCTAAACACTAAACACCCTGAACCCTAAAACCCTAAACCCTATGGCGTTCTAACTTCGGGCGCAGAAGAGGCAAACAAAACCCTCCCAAAACGCCAGACCGATGGGCTGTACCCTTCAGCATGACAAGGCTTCGTCGTCATGTTCGCTTACTTCGGTATCTAGGTACTTTCAAAGGGCAAAAGGAGGGACCCTTAACGGGGATCCCGGCCATATAAGAGGCTATGTAATGGGTATACAATAGCTATATTATGGTTATCCACCTGGGGGTCCTTATTAAGGGTCCCTCCTTTTATCCGTGGATACTTCCTACTTACTATTCGGGCCACGGTAGCTCCCATCCATCATGCCTGCACAAGTCGGTTGGGGCCTCAGACTTGTTTCTTAGATGCTAAATAATAAGCTTTTCCTGCAGAGGTCCTAACCACATGCTCATCCTGCTAAGGCTTAAGGAATTCCAGCTGTTCTTCAGTTGGAAAATAACCAGCCCTGAATCGCTGCGTCAGGCAGTGAGGCGAGCGACTCGCCTCCCAGACACGTGGACCCTGTTCAAGAGGTGTCTGGCCTCGGAAATTATGGGTTCTTCGGACTTAGGTGGAAGTCCTTAAATCTTAACCCCTCTAAATCTGAACCCAGAGACCCCAAGCCCCCAGCTGGCGGGCTTGGGGCCTAAGAATCTCGGGCTTCGGACTTGGGTGCGGAGGTGGGCTTCGGGTTCACGTGCAAAAGGGTATCTTGCTTCGGGCTTAGGCACAAGGAGGGGTTCGGGTGTAGAGTACAGCTTTGGCTGCTAGTGGAGTTCAGGAAACAGGTCTATGGTACAGCTGTGATGTGAGGTCTTGAGTTTAGACCTCGGGCAGAAGTTGCGGTTCAGGGTTGAGGGTCAACCCTCATTGCTGGTGTCGACACTATGTATAGGCTGGAACCCTCATTCCTGATGTCGCCATTCACAATTTGTTTGCTGCATGTCCCGCTCAGTCCAGGTCTTCGATCGCTACCAGATGGCTGGACTCGCTCTCGCCTCAGCTTGTGCGCCAAAGTGACGACGGCAGTCTCAGCGGTGATGGTAGTCGTGGAATTGAGTAGAAGCAGTCGTCGTCATCGGGGCGATCGTCATCGTCGCAACAACAAGTCGCAGTAGTAATAGTACCGGCAGCCAGCACGAATAGCAGTGGCGCCAATTTTTACTTAAAGAGTTCTAGCACTGCGAGTGGTAGTGCCGCAAGGGCAGAAAGCGAGCTCAGCCATACTGCAGCCACGGGTGCGGGTCAAGATCCTATTACCGAGATCCAGCACCACCCTGAACCCAAAACCCCCCAGAGATCCCAATACCCCTTAATTAAGGCATATACCTTAAATTATAGAGGCCCTAATATTATGGTTTAAGGTATATTCCTTAATTAAGGGCTATTGGAATCTCTGGGCCTAAACCCTAACCTAAACACTTGTGGCGCTTCTTTAGGATTCAGAGCTGCCGGGGCAGTTGCATAGAGTATGACAGAGCTTTGCACCTCTGAACCCCAAAGTTGGGACGTGAAAGTCCCTGAAGCACTAAAGCTTTGCACCTACAGTAGAAGCCGGAAAGTTAGAATATCATTATCATAATCCCTTTAAGGTAAATTATAGGGGATCCTGCCATTATTCCATATTCCAACTTTCTGGAGTTCCCTTTAAAACCCTGAACCTCACCGAACTCATGGAGCAAGAACTATAAACCCTAAAAACCTTAAGCCAACCCTAAACCCTAAACCCTAAACCCTAAACCCTAAACCCTAAACCCTAAACCCTAAACCCTAAACCCTAGACCCAATGCTTGCAACACCGGAAACCCCTTCAGGTGGCAAGCACGGAGCGCTTCGGCGGAGCTTTGGCGGACACAGCAGCCCAGGCAAGTGAATGCACAAAGACGGCTTGCAGTTTCACGCGTCAGCGTGCTAGGTTTTGGGGTTTGAGAGTTGGCATTTACAGCTTTCCGGTTCAGTGTTTGAGCTATCAAGTTTCATTGTTTAGGCTCAGTGCCAATGTCTCCAGAGGCGAAACCTGAAACCGACCGAGCGTATGCAGAATCTTCGACTAGGGAGCTTCCTGTTTCTCTGAAATTTGTCTGATTCTTCAAGCAGGTTTGACAGCCGTTTGCACTAATGGCTCATGTTCCGGAGGTTCGATCCAGGCAGATTTGCAATTATGCATCAGGATGGAGCGAGACAAACCTGCGGGTGTCAGCGTTACTGTGGCTTTGCTCTTGCCTCGGAACCCCAAGCCGTAAAAGATCAACCTGTCATGTTTTTTCTTTTGTTGCGGAGGGTTTGGGATATTTTGGACGTTCAGAAGAGAATCGGTTTGGCACCGTCGTCGAAGTGCATAAGATCTGGAGTTCGGCTGCGTATCGGGGGTTAGGATTTACGGTTCGAGTTTTACTGTAAGATGTAAGAGCTCTCTTTTTTGTCCAATTCTTCCTTTTGCTAGTAGGCTCGCCGCGTGCGCTGCAAGGAATGCAAACTCTTACGTTCACCCAGAGATACCAATATCCCTTAATTATGGAATATACCTTAAATCATATTAGGGATCCTACTATAATTCAAGGTATATTCCTTAGTTAAGGGATATTGGAGTCTCCGGGCATCCCGGCATAAGATGCGCTAAACCCTACAAGCACTAAATCCTAAGCCCGCCGGCTCCGAACTTCTCAACCCTTTCCCAAAATCCTAAGTGGGTAGTTGTCAAAATTATGGTCTCTTTTAAAAAACTTTTTGGGTACCCTAAATAATAGGTGCCGTATTATAATAAGGACCCAAACAGGGACCATAATTTTGACAACCACCCAAGTCACTGATGCTCATCTCATCGTTTCCACACCGCGCAGCAAGCAACGCTTTCTAAAATCCAGTGTAGCGCAGGCTTCAGTGCTGGTTCCAGAGCTGCAAGAATCCTTCTACGAGGACTGGGACGAAGGTTGAGGGTTTAGGGTTTAGCATGCGGGACTGGGACGAAGGTGCAGGGTTTATATAGAAGCTTGGAAATTACCAAGGCGACCACTATTCCCTAAACCCTAAACCCTAAACCCTAAACCCTAAACCCTAAACCCTAAACCCTAAACCCTAAACCCTAAACCCTAAACCCTAAACCCTAAACCCCAAACCCCAAAACCCTAAACCCCTAAACCCCTAAACCCTATTCCTTATGGTTCCTTACTATTACTTGACTCATACTTTGAAGGAGCCCAAGAGCCCCCAAAAACCCTATTCTAATGATTACTTGGAGGGTCGGGGGACTTGGTAAGTAGGTAGTAAGTAGACTTATAAGTACCCTAAAAGGGACCCTAATTGGGGTTATGGTACTTATAAGTCCCTAAAATAACCAGTTACTAAGTCCCCCGACCCTCCAAGTAAGGCCCCTACATGAATGCTTTAGGATTTTAGGATGGGGTGGCTCGTTTCCTACAGTACTGCTTTGACGACTTGGGCTTCGGGATAGGTTTAGGGATTTAGGGTTTAGGATTTAGGGATTTAGGGATTTAGGGTTTAGGGCTTAGGGATTTAGGGATTTAGGGTTTAGGGTTCAGGGCTTAGGGATTTAGGGTGTAGGGTTTAGGGATACCCGAGCCCTAAACCTCAAGTCTCCAAGGGTAAAAGGAGGGACCCTTTAAAAGGACCCCTGGGTATATACCCTTAATCTAGCTATATACTCTATACCCATTAAATATATAGCCCATTATAGGGTAGGGGTCCCCATTCAGGGTCCCTCCTTTTCCCCTTTGAAAGTCACAGACCCTGGAATTTACTGCTTTGGTCTTGGCGTCGAGGGGAATCGCGTCAGTAAGGTTTTGAGGATACAGGCTGTAGCGTTTATAGCATTGGGCTTTAGGGCTTCCATAAGCTGCGGAATCATAAGCACCGCGAGCTGACGTAGATAAGGGTTCTGTGGGCGCCCGCAGGATCTTGAAAATGAAGCCCATCTTAAGTTATAAACCCTAAGCCCCTGAACCCTAAATCTAAGCCCTACACCCTAAATCCCAAACCCTGAACCCTAAACCGAGACCCTATTGCTCGAATCCCAGAACCCAAATCTGTGCCGTATACAGGGGCCTGAATAATCAGCATGAAATTCCCGTAGGGTTTGGGTTTAGAGTTTTAGGGTTTAGGGTTCAGGGTTTAGTATTTGGGGTTATGGTCTATAGTTTATATATATCATTGTAGTATAACCTCCCACCGAAGCCGTGTTGTGATTATTCAAGCCCCTATCTTAAACTCCAAACTTTAAACACCCCAGTTTGCGACACAGCTTGCGGCTCCAGATGACTATAGCTCCAAACCTGCACGAACGGTTTAGGTTTCGAGATGTAGCTTTTACGGTAGTTCAAGGGTTGCGCGGTTGCATACCACCCTTGATACACTCTCCAAATCTCCAAAGATCAAAAGAACTCCCCTCCACCACGTAGCCCGCCACACCCTAAACCCTAAAGCTGAAATACCTGAGCCTAAAACTTGGACCCTGCTTTCACCGAAGCTCGGCGAGGACGAAGTGGATCAAGGCCAGGATCGTTTGGGGGGTCGTTGCGGGGGGGGGGGGGAGGGTTGGGCGGGTCACGGAGAATCAAGGCTTCCGAACCAAAACAGGCAGCCTATTTTATGGCCATTTCTGAGAGGGGTTCGGAACAGCTACGACTTCAATGAACCATGCAGCAACCTGTAGTGTATGGTATCCTAGTACAACAGACGCATGCACTATGACGACGACAGGTGGTCGTGTGATATCAACATATTAAGATGCAACTTTCCATGTATATTACAGTTTGTTGTGACATGATGTGGAGCAAGTCAGAACATAGCACACGATCAGCAGTACAGACTAACATCATATCGTACCAGACAGTGTGACAGACTATCACACAGTAAAGTTGGTTGTACCGCATCATACTGCACTAAGAAGAATACACTGGACATGAGAAAAAGATTGGCGCAATTCCCCAAAGGCCACCTCCATGAAATCCGGTACATTTTCACGGGCTTGGGTGGCCGTTAGTCTTGTGTTTCGGGCTCAGGCTTTGGGGTTTAGGGCCCCGGGAGAAAGTTCCACACTGTGCCTGTGATGCTTTCGGGTCTTGGGCCACAGGTGCTTTCGGGTTCATGGCCTGAGGTCGTTTCGGAGTTATATAATGCCCAAGGTGAGTTGGGATTTGCATTCAAGGGTCCATTTTTCTGCGTGATAGATTAGGTGTGGCCCCCACCCTGTAATAGTGACCATAAGGATTATATTAGGGCCCTATTATATTCCTGTTATACCACTATTACCGGGTGGGGGCCCCTTCTAAGTGATAGGTTGAGAGTTTAATTTCAATATCAAGCCCTGGACTCTCCACGGGCCATTGGGCCATTGAGCCTTGCCTAGGGTTGGGGGGGGGGTTCAGCCTGAGAGCTCTGTGACAAGCTGGTGGATGGTAGAATTTCATGTGCACCAGTTCGAGCAAGAATTATAGCCACAGTACTCGAAGTAGTACTAATTAACAGTTCAAATGTAAACAACAACAAGAAAAGTGAACGTAAGAGTAAGAGTAAGAGTAATAGCCATAGTAGCAACAACAACAACAACAATAATGATAGCAAAACCATTACCATCAATTCCGACTCCCTGACCCTGAATCTCAAATTCTCGAAATCTTCACAGATAGCGCCCTGAAGATGTAATGCTCAAGCTATCAACCCCAAATCTCTTAACGCCTCCAGACCCAAAACAGTACTCGATTTTTTCTGAGGCTGGTTGGAGGTCCAATCCCCCTCCGGGCGGATCTATTACTGGAACCAGCCGCCAGCATACATTTCAGAGTCAAGGGGCTGGGGGTTAGGGTTGAGGGTTCAGGGTTGAGTGTTGAGGGTTTGCTGACCTTTGGTTTAGGGTTTTGGTTTTAGGGTTTAAGTCCTTAATTTAAAGTTACAGGGTTTCCGCTTTTAGGTTGTTCGGGTTTGAAGGCTTTTAGGGTTCAAGGTTCAAGGTTTTCTTGCCGCGCTTAGTTTCAGAGTGGTTCTGAGAATCCGTCCGAGCTGATCGTTTGTTGGGGGTTTCGTGGGGTTCTTGGGCGAGGCTTTTGCCTCTCCTAGTTTCGGCCTGGACCAAAGCCTAGACCTTAAAATGTTAACTTAATCTCTAAACCCTAAGTATGTGAGCAGGTTTGAGTGAGAGGGAATCGAGAATGTTGGTCTTGTAGCCAGTTTGTGACACATTTTGAGGTTTACACCCTGGCCCCAAACCCTAAATCATCAAGGCCCTATCCCCTTCACAGTAATATGGGGGCCTAAATAATTACCAATATTATTTTGGGGTTCCTTATTATCATTATAGTATAATGGGCCCCCCAAACCCTACTCTATTTATTAAGGCCCCTATAGTACGCTCGCCCTTGTGTCTGCTGCTTCTTTTGCTGTGGGATCATCCGAGCCGTCCCGAACAGCCCCGAACCGGGAAAGCTAGCAGTGATGCAGGGTCGGAATAAGTAGTAATGGTATTTTTGAGGGTTCCTTAACTGTAGTTGTAGAATACTACACCTCAAAACCCTATTCGATTTGCTGAGGTTCTTTTCATCAGCCGTGGCCACTTTCGCTCAAGCTACTCTCTGCAGCCCTTCGCTTGCCCTTTCCTTGTAGTTCTTGGGGCGCAACGTTCATGATTCGCGAGAACCTCCGCCACCGCTACCCTGAACGTGTGCCGGTAATTTGTGTGCACAGCCGGGATGCCAGCCAGTTCAAGAAGATGCTCGTACCCAACGATGCAACAGGTGCTGCGTCCCAGGTGATGGCTCGTAAATGGTGTCCGTGGGCTGCACAGGGTGGCGAAGTCCTGCTTTGCAAAGGCAGGGTACCGATACCATGAAGGTGCCAGAACAGAAGACGCGCTGCAGCAGCTGGATTCTGAGTACGCGGCTCCAAATGGAGTGATGTATTTCATGGTGGAAGCCGCAGAGGATGATATTCAGGACGCGCCAGCAGCTCCAAAAGAGCCTCAAGGCGTCGAGGAGCCGACGAAAGCGAAGGATCAGGTGGCGAAGCCTGAAGATCGTAAGGATGATGCTCTCGTTGAAAGAGCCAGGCGAATGCGCAAGAAGCATCCCCGCCATCCTCCAGTTCTCATCAAACAGGCAGCGGCAGAAGGATTGCCCGCACTTGACAAGAAGTTTCTGATTCCTGGAAGCATGCCTTGCAGGGATTTGCACGTGATGGTTCCGAAGTATCTGGGCTGCGAAAACTTGGACCTGGACTGGAACAATGTCATCTTTCAGCTAGCTGGCCAGTCCATCGGGGAGGGCATCGAGGAACACGAGTTAATAGCAGAGGTCTACACTCGTTGCGTCGGTGAAGGAATCATGCTCTCTTTGAAGCCAAGGAGCCATCAGTGCAGGAGCACCTGGACGGAAGCATGTTTTAGGGCGATGGGCGAATTGCAGTGCTTTTCCAGGTCCGCGGGTCAAAGGCATCTGCGAGCAGCAAATAGTTTGTGCTTATGAGGGAATATGCATGTGGCAGGCGGCAGTGCAAGTGATCGGAATGTTGAACGAAAATCTAGATATGTTCCATATCTGCTAGAAGCCGTCGGGTCGCATGAACACCGCTGACACACGCAGAGTTTCCAGATTGCAGGGCGAGTGCTGCAGACCAGTTGCCACCTTGTCTTGGGCTGACCATGTTGTCTTGAGAGGACCAGGTGGCCAGGCGGAATCTGTGAAGTGTAGCTACCCTTAGCCTTATACCCGAAACCCTAAACCAGACCAGCGAAGAGTGGGCTGCTTGTGATCGCAGCTACTGTTGAGACTCATAGCGATGAGACAACACATAGCAAAAGCTTCCAAATCTAGGGCCATAATATGGCCTAAATGATTGCCAATACCATTTTGGGGGTTCCTTATCTATTGTGTAAGGGGCCCCAAAACCCTATTCTAATTATTAAGGCCCCTATATTAATAGCGGTCCAAAGAAGGCCTGAAGCTTAGGCGGCTGGGTTCTTGCAGCCGTGGCAGTCCGGAATCGGAATATGTGGAAGCCGGTCAGACTGTCACCGTGTCCCAGAGGGATCAATGATGTGGTGAATTCATTTTGCACGCTGTTCCGGCGACGGCTTCGAACAAGCGACCAACCCTTGCATATAGGCTATGTAAGACTAGTAGTGGGCAAGCTTTACACGGACGTGACCGGATAGTCACAGTAGGACTACTCCTTCATCGTCCTTGCATTCTTATGAGGTTCTGATATGTTATGCCCCAACCCTATTCTGGTTATTGAGGCCCCCATAGAGCGCCAATAGAGATTCCCACCAACCCTAGAATAGGGGCCTAAATCATTACCACTATTTTGGCGGTTCGTGATTATAACTGTTGTGTAATGGCGCCGAACCCCTATTAGAAATGTTAATTGTTAAGGCCCCTTTCAACCCCATAATTCGCCGATATACTGAACCCCACAATGCACCGTACAATTGTACGTGTTTGCAGCCTCACCCAAGTCAACTTATCGCATTTCGCCGCGTGCTGTCACAACGACATCCTCCTGTTTGCATGCAGCATGTACCAGCAAGTGTTTGCTGTGAGGTAAGGTTCGTACTAGCGCGTGGCGAGGGGCTTCACGTGTGATCTGTTGTTGCAGTACTCGATCTGCGGTCAACGGTTGCAACATGGGAGTTTCCGAAAATAGGGGACCCTAATAAGGTACCCCTTGTTTTCGGAAACTCCCACATGTTGACCTGCAACTTTTACTCGGACCTCTTCAACAGATTCTCTAGCGATGCATCTGTGTTTTTCGGCCAAATTTCCGCTAACCTTGAAGTATGCTCAACCATGAGCTGTGATCCTATTTCTTTTCCGCCCACCCCAGCGCAGCTAGCTAAGGATCACGCAAGAAGTGCGTCTCAGCTGCACCTCACCGACGTTGCCAAATGCACCCACTGGAGCAAGGAGTCATATTCTCCCTGCAATAGCATGACAATATAGGGGCTTGAATAACTACTACTTATTACCAATGCTATTCTCGGAGTTCTTCATTGTTCTTTAAAATGTAATGTACCCCACAGCCGTATTCTTATCATTAACTAAGGCCCCTAGATCATATGGGTAATTTTCTTTAGACTAGGCAGAGACTAGGGAGTCTCTTGGGGTATCTACCAGAAAGAGCGACGTGCTTCTTGCTGGGTCTGGGGAATCGATAATTAACAGGACCCTAGTTGTGAGGGCTACCTCGATTACTAGGGTTTAGGTTTAGGATGGCCGAAGTGCTGAACTATCAACGGAGCCCTTGCTAAATGAGGGTTTCGCAGCTAAGGAATGAGCCCCACACGGCTAGCTTTGGGGTTTCCGGGTTGGTTTTCATGTTCAAAGACATAGAAAATCAACCTTGCCGTTCATTTCTCTTAAGCCTCAGCTTGTCAGCTCCGCATTGAACATCATACAAAAAGGCCTTCGAAACCCCCAACCCGAAACCTTTACATATAGCCCCATGTGTCGTTGCAGTATATGGGAGTTTCGGAAAATAGGGGACCCTAATATAGTACCCTAAGTTGTAGGCTCCTTATTATAGGGACCCCAAAATAAGGTACCCCTAATTCTCGGAAGCTCCCATACTATGCCCAGGGGAAGCTTCAGGGTGGGATCGAGGGTCGCTGCTTTCCCCTGGTCGAAGTCCCGAAAATTGTGTGGGGCAGGAGGGTCCATATGGGAGTTTCCGAAGATTAGGGGTACCTTATTTTGGGATCTTTGGTAAGAAGGATCCTACTATTCAGCGTACGAGACTAGGGACCAGTATTTTGGGAAAACCCCATATGAAGAGCCCGAAGAAGAGCTGGCGGTGTCTTCATCAGGTTCGTACATGACTCCACGGAGCTCTGAGGGTTTAGGGTTTAGGGTTTAAGGTTTTAGGGTTTAGGGTTTAAGGGTTTAGGGTTCAAGGTTTTAGGGTTTAAGGTTTAGGGTTTAAGGTTTAGGGTTTAAGGTTTTAGGTAGGGTTTAGGGTTTAAGGTTTTAGGGTTTAGGGTTTAAGGGTTTAGGGTTCAAGGTTTTAGGGTTTAGGGTTTAAGGGTTTAGGGTTCAAGGTTTAGGGTTTAGGGTTTAAGGTTTAGGGTTTAAGGTTTTAGGGTTTAGGGTTTAAGGGTTTAGGGTTTAAGGGTTTAGGGTTCAAGGTTTTAGGGTTTAGGGTTTAAGGGTTTAGGGTTCAAGGTTTAGGGTTTAGGGTTTAAGGTTTAGGGTTTAAGGTTTTAGGGTTTAGGGTTTAAGGGTTTAGGGTTTAAGGTTTAGGGTTTAAGGTTTTAGGGTTTAGGGTTTTAGGGTTTAGGGTTTAGGGTTTAGGGTTTAAGGTTTCAGGGTTTAGGGTTTAGGGTTTAGGGTTTAAAGGTTTAGGGTTTAGGGTTTAGGGTTTAAGGGTTTAGGGTTTAAGGTTTTAGGGTATAAGGTTTTAGGGTTTAGGGTTTAAGGTTTAGGGTTTAAGGTTTTAGGGTTTTAGGGTTTAGGGTTTAAGGTTTAGGGTTTAAGGTTTTAGGGTTTAGGGTTTAAGGGTTTAGGGTTCAAGGTTTAGGGTTTAAGGTTTTAGGGTTTAGGGCTCAAGGTTTAGGGTTTAAGGTTTTAGGGTTTAGGGTTCAGCTCGTGTACAAGAGTTCATGCTATTAGAGGATTCTGTACAGCGTGCCCTCAACGGAGTTTGGGTTCAGTATTGTTTGCATGAAGGATCCGTCCCCAAGAATTCCGAGAATACTCCGTGCGGTAGTTGGCAGATAAGTGTTAAGCCACCCCTGATTGTTAAGCCACCGCTTATTTGGGAGTTTCCGAAAATTAGGGGTACCTTATTTTGGGGTCCTTGTAATGAGGATCCTACTATTTAGGGTACTAGATACCAAAGTGAAAAACTTTTATACCAAATTATTTAAGATTATGAATCATAAAATATTAATGAATGTATTCGGGCCCCCTATGCTCGGAAAATCCCATTTGAGGGCCTTCCCCTGTGGATGTCTGCTATAACCCGCTGCCCGAAGGCCCAGGCAGCTAAGCTCCAAAATAAGGGACCCTTAGGGACTCATGGTTCCTTTAAAGGGTACCAGAAGGGCTCCCTTAAAGGGATCTAGAGGGTTCTATTAAGGGTTTAGGGTTTAGGTCCAGGGAGCTTCCGAAAATAGGGGATGCTAATACAGCACCCTAAATAATAGGATCCTCATTCTGAGAACTCCAGGCTAAGGCACCCCTAAGTTTCGGAAACCTAAACCCTAAACCCTAAACCCTAAACCCTAAACCTTATGAAGCCTTGGAGGGCCCCTCAAACCACAGTTCCTAGAGCCGAAGCTCTGAACCCGAAACCCCCCCGAAGTTCAAAACGCACATAGAGGGACCTTAAGAATGACTTATACATATATATATATATACACTTATATATATATATATATATTTTTTTTTTTTGGGGGGGGGGTCCTTATGGTGATTATAGTCGAATGGGCCCCAGAATGTTTTAATCGTTAAGGCCTTCATAGTAAAACCCAAAAACCTGAAACCCGGAAGCTGAGGTGGGACCCGCCCGAGGATGTGGAATTCACCCCTGAGTGAATGTCCGCCTCGGCTCCGCAGCTTAACGCCTTAACCCAGACCCCTTTAACGGAGCCCTTATAGATCCCTTTAAAGAACCCCTAAACCCCGAAAGATCCCTTAAAGGAACCCTTAAAGATCCTTTTTAAAGGAACCTCCCGGGGGTCTGGGTTGAGCCCAAAAATCTCAACCCCCGGAACGAAGATTCTTGAGAACCACCAAAGTCCTAAGCCCTAATCCCAGCCTTTGAGGCATTTTTTGACAGCAAACCCCAAGAGGGAAAAGGGGCTTTAAAGAAAACCCTAAACCTCGGAGCAACCGTTTGAAGCCCCCAAACCCTAAACCCACTGCTATATGGGGCCAAAATAATTACCTAAACTCTTTGGAGGTTCCTTTAAAGGGATCCTTAAAAGGGGTCTATAAGGGATCTAGTAGAGTCCTCTGATATCGGCGCCGTTATAATTACCAATACTATTTTGGGGGTTCCTTATCATAAGTATAGTCTAATGGGCCCCAAAACCCTATCCTATACTATCTGGGTGGTTGTCAAAATTATGGTCCCTTTTTGGATCCTTATTTTAATACGGCACCTAATATCTAGGGTACCACAAAGGGACCCTAATTTTGACAACTACCCATCTGCACCGGCCGCAAAGCCAGAGGCAGCTCTGTCACCGCTTCTGTATGCAGAAAAGGGGTCCATGGCCAAGCCAGTGGAACCCTTTAGCGGTTTTGAAGGTTTAGCTTTTTGAGGGTTTAGGTTTAAGGGTTGCGAGTTTAGGGTTGTAGGGTTTCTGGTCTGGGGATATTTTCGCAGCTATACCATGTTGCATATGTCAGCTGTTTACTATTTTATAGTATAGAGATGGTCTAGACATTCTTGTAGCCAGGCCATGAAGTCCAAGACAGGACATAAGGTCTGTTAATGCAGCGAAGGTGGCTTTCCTACTCCGGATTCCTTATTGTCAATAAAAAAACCGCTGAACCAAAAACCCTTACACTCAACCCCACACCCCACACCCGCCCCCCCCACGCCCTAAATCGGGCACCCCTGACCACAAACCTGAAGCCCTAAACCCTTAACCTCCAACTGGAAATTCGCAGCCCAAAACCAAGGAGTCACGGGGCCTCTATGGGGGTAGGGGGCCTTAATGCCCACAGTAAGGACCTAAAAAGGCCTATTTAAGGAAGTATAGTCCCTTTAAGGAAGGATAGTCCCCTACCCGCCTAAGGGTCCCTACGAAGGAGGAATCCGAGGTTCGAGAGTGACTTTAATGGCTCGTGCCATGCCAGCGCCAAAGCACGTCTCATACCGCGCCTTTTGGCCTCTCGCCCCTGTCAACGGGGTTTAGTGTTTGACGGTTTTATGGTTTGGGGTGTAGGGCTTAGGGGTTTAGGGTTTAGGGGTTTAGGGATTTAGGGTTTAGGGTTTAAGGTTTAGGGTTTAGTGTTTGACGGTTTTAGGGTTCAGGCTTGGGAGTTAAGTGGGGCTCACAGGGGGTCGCCTGTGGCAAATGAGCTTAAGGGCCCTAGGGGCTCATCTGCAATCATGGAAGGGTCTGCATTGGTGTGCCGCCGTGGAGATGTTCACATCAGGCTCAGACCACACAGCCTGAAGCCTTACTCACCTCAGGTTCTTGATGCTGGTTTAGTTTGCAGATCCTAAGCCCACCCTAAACCCTAAACCCCTAAACCCCTAAAGCCTTTACCCTAAACCCTAAACCCTAACCCTAAACCCCTAAACCCTTTACCCTAAACCCTAAACCCCTAGTCAAGCCCTTGGAGACGAAGCGCATGCATGTAATGATACCTTTGCACGATGCTCATCCCAAGGATGTGGCAACAAAAGTGGAGGTGAAGCAGTTGAGTAAGGTCAGTGCCAGGGTTAATATGTGTGTCTACAGGGCTTTTGTGGGCATTGCTTACCCTGGACAGAAGAACAAGATATATGTGTATTTATGTACTTACGTATATACACACGTATATATGTACATATTCATATGATGTCTTTGTATCTTTGCATCTATCTATCTCTCCTTTCTTTAGGAGCCCTCAGCAGCTAGTACTAGTCTCAGAGGCATACTCGGAGGCGTCGACTGTCAGCAGTGCTCTGCCTCCCTCGCATCCTCTAGCCTTCAGCCCTAGAAGCATGGGGTTCGGAATACACGGGGCCTTAATAATTACCTAAACTATTCCGGGGCTTCCTTATTCTACTACCGATCTGGGATAATTTGTATTTTCCGCTTTTTTTGGTATAAAGCCTTAAAGCCTTAATTTCACATGAGGTTCGACGAGGGTTCCTTGACGGGTTGCTTTTGAGGGTTACTATAAGCTGGACACGAGTTCCTGTAATGGTTCGTTTCAGGTTTTTCTTAGACCGGAAAACACCAAGTGCTAGAAGCCGCTAACAATAACATCCGCAAGCCGTATAAGCGTATAGCGCAACATAAGGGAGTCTCCGAAAATAGGGAACCCTAATATAGTACCCGAAATAGTAGGATCCTTATGAGAAGGACTCCAGAATAAGGCACCCCTAGTTTTCGGAATCTCCCATATGGACAAACGTCTGAACGCGACAACCTCTGAAAGCCCATCAGGCTTTGAAGTCCCCAACCGAAAAACTAGGATGCCCAGTAGTACCCTTTTTCCCTTTGTGTAGTCTTAGGCTCCTTATAAAGTTACCCAATACCAACAAAAGGAGCCCTTTTTATTCCTGGGTTACTGGGCATCCTACAAAAATCTCAACTACACAATCCGAACACCAATATACACCAAAGCGTAAAGCATGCAAAGTTTGAATGGGCGCTTGATCTCGGCAGAGGGGACGACAGCGCACACACAGGCGGGTGTTCAAGAAGACACCATCCCGAGAGTACAGGCTGAGATGATTGCAGTAAAGTTGGCGAACACCACGTATCGTTACCCACAGAGGTCCCCTCATTCCGCGACCTAAACTGCAAAACCAACTGAGGCATGCGCCTTTGCGGTTTAGGGTTTGGGAATTCGGGCTTTTGGAGGGTTCTAGGTTGTAGGGTTTAGGGTCTTAGGGTTTAGGGTTGTCCACCCAGCCTAAACCAACTCCAGACTAGAGCCCATGTGAAGCAATGCCGCCGTAGCTCTGGCCGCTCAAGCAAGTGCCCGTAGGATTGATTCAGAGTGCACGGTTACAAGGTTCATGTCTTACATATATATATATATACACATACATGTATATCAGTATCAGACTGATTTTAAAAAATGCAGGCGTGTATAAGATTAACTTGAAATGAACGATTACGGTTTAGCCAACCCTAAATAGCAGATCCTTAAACAGACACCGCGAGTTTCTGAAAAAGCCAAGCAGTACCTTGCGCTCCACACCTCGGCGCCGGCGCCATGTCGAAAGCAGGGGGCGCTGAGCTCCCGAGCTACCTGAAGGTGATCAAGCAGCCAAGAGCCCAGCTTGGCCCTAAACCCTAAACCCTAAACACGACCTTAAACAAAAAAAACACGACCTTAAACCCTAAACCCCAAACCCTAAACCCTAAACCCTAAAGCCCCTAAAGCCCAAACCCTAAACCTAAATAGGGGCCTAGGGGGCTCGGGCCTAGGGGGGCTTGGTATGGAGGGCTTTACTTAGGATTTCTGGGTTCGATAAGGGTTGTTCTAGGGTTGAAAAGTTTGGAAGTTTCGTTTCGTTTTGCAGTTTAGGGTTTTCGGTTTTCGGTTATGCAAGGCTGAGGGTTTAACGGTGTCGGGTGCAAGGTGTAAGGCTTTTATGGTTTAGGGATTCTATGGCTTAGATGCAAAGCCGCCGGAAGATGGAATTATTCAGGCACCCATGTTACTAATATTGGTAGGTTTCTGAATGAGGGCCCCTACTGGAGTTCAGAAACTGCGCAGTTTTTGCTATGCGGACCCGGACAGTATTTGTAGAAACCCGAAAGCCAAAACCGAAAGACACGGCACCCTAAACCTAAGCCCTTAAAACCCTAAACCTTTGAACTTCTAAACACTGTACCTTAGCCGTGGTGGAACCGGGAATGATGTTACCTGCAGCAGCCAAGAGCACGTTCCCTGTGGGTAGAAATTGCGATAGTCCTACGTTTAAGGGGCCACGCATGATGATGATGACAAGTTTCTTGGTGGACACAACTGATGTAGGGACAAAGTCTCCAAACCCTGGACCGTGAACCCTAAGCCCATTACCCTAAAACCTGACCCCCTAAACCCTGACCCCCTCAACCCTAAACCCTAAAACCTTCTAGATCCCTTTAAAGGAACCCCTGCAGATCCTTTCCAGGGAACCCTTATAGATACCTAAAACCTCAGCGCTGTGTCCGAGCCCCGGCTCGAGAGCAGCGGGGCGGGAGCCGGAGAGCGCTTGAGCCATGCAGCCGAGGTATGGGTCGGTTCAGGGACTAGAGTTTAGGGTTTAGAAAATTAGGGTTTAGAATGTTGGGGTTTAGGGGTTTAGGGTTTAGAAAATTAGGGTTTAGAATGTTGGGGTTTAGGGGTTTAGGGTTTTGAGTATCAGGGTTTAGGGGTTCAGGGTTTCGAAAGTTAGGGTTTAGAATGTTGGGGTTTAGGGGGCTTCGGGTCGGTTCAGGGCCTAGACTATAGTCTCCTTAGGATCTATTTTTTGATGTTTGTTCATATAAAACCCAAGAGAATATTAACCACACAATTTTTTATTCTGGTTCTAAGGGGGGGGTATAGTGGAGCTTAGGGCTTGGAAGATTAGGGTTTAGGGGTTTAGGGCTAGGGTTTTGGCATTTCGGGTTTGGGGCTTAGAGTTTAGGGTTTGGGGTTTAAGATTGGTTTAGGTATTTAGCGTTTCGGGTTTTGGGCTTAGGGCTTCAGGAGTGTTTAGGGCTTGTATAGGCGGCATGCAGTATTGGGCCTACTGGTAGTTACTACTGCTATCAACAATGTTGCTGCAACTACTGCTACTGCTACTACTACTGCTGCTGCTACTACTGCTGCTGCTATCGCTACTGCTAGAAGCGACTACTAGTACTCCGATTGCTACAGCTACTACGACTACTACGGCTGATGCCACTGTTAGGGCGAGTGGTCAGAACCGTGCATAGCAAATCCTGAATATCATACCACATGGGATATCCCTAATCCAATTCGTCGTACTTCGAGTTCTAGTAGAAATAGTACGATTTGTATCTTGGACTCGGAGAATAGCGAGAATGATGATGACTACCATGGGAATGTTCATGTAGGACCTTGATTGCGAACCCGCCTGTTGCAACGGGCGTTATACTCGGGATGCTAACAGTGAGGTTTAGGGGTTAGGAAAGCTTAAACTCTAATCCCGAAACCCTTGACCCTCGACCCTAAACCCAAATCGGAAGTCTACGTAAGTACAAGCCGCCATGTGTGCGAAGGTTTCGAAGTAGTTGGACGAATGTGGCGCTGACGGCATGGCCAGGTGGGACAGTGAAGAAGGAGTTGTGGGGGTTTCTGGGCTACCTTTTTTTTGGTCTCCTCAGTATAAGGATCCGGCGATTTAGGTTTGAGGGCCCCTATACCCCTAAACCCCTAAACCATAAATCCGAAACCCTGTTTCGGGTTGAGAGTTTCGGGATCCCGCGATGTAGGGCTTAGGGTTGAGAGTGTAGGGTCCTTTTTAATCATGACCCTGGGGTCATATTCGGCTCCACCATTTTCCGGGAGCCGCCTAAACCCTAAACCCTAAACCCTAAACACTAAACTCTAAAACTGCAGCCCGAAAGCCGGTCAACCTCCAAACCTCACCGACTTCGTAGCTGAGTGGATACACTTTACACTCTTTGGGATAATTTTACCTACTATAAAACTGCAAGGGTAGACTCTTTGGGGCTTATGAACTCAGCAACTAGGCCTAACCCGCCATGAGTGCACCTTGAAAACTCGGAAAACCAGCGCAGGTGGGGGATTGAAGAAGGACTTCATGCTTCTGCCACTGGTCCTGGCCGGATTCAGCGCCGTGGCTTGGCGCCGGCCGGAGCGCAGCGTCTCGGTGCTTCTTGGCCTGGCTGCAACCTTGCTGTCTCCCTTGGGGGTGATGCTCTTCCGGCTACTTGGTTCGCCTGGTGCGGGGGGGGGGGGTTTCAGACGGCTTTTGTGGCTGAGGGTTTAGTGGCCCAAATCTCGGCGTGTTTAGGATCGAGGATAAGGGCACGCGCGGATCTTGGGTTTCTTCCCTCATGGATACCTAAATCTCCAGGCCGTTGGTCAGCGTCGTGACGTCCTTGCTCTTGCAGTCCTCGGCGAAGCATCTCAGTGACATCCTCGTCCGGACGACGCTGGAGGTCGTTTAAGCTAGCAGCTACCATAATACAGAAAGCATATCATTTCAGATCCCTATAATGGTGACTTAGAGTAAATTCTTTAACCCTTACAGGAACCTTTGTAGATCCCTGAAAGGAACCCTTATAGATCCTTATTATGGTAACTGAAACCTTAAACTTTAAACCCTTAAAGTAAAAGGAACCTTTATAGATCTGTTAAATTTAGAGGAACCCTTATAGGTCCCTATTATGGTCACTTAAACCTTAAACCCTAGACCCTCAAACTAAAGGAGCCCTATACATCCCTTAAAAGAGCCCTTATATAGATCCCAAACCCTAGACCCTTAAAGTAAAGGAACCCTTACAGATCCCTTAAGGGAGCCCTTATAGATCCCTAAATTATGGTCACTTAAATTTAAGTTCCTTCGCAACAGCCCAGAGGTGGTGCAGAACGAGCAGGGGGTGGACCAGCTCGTCAACTCCGCCAGCGAAGCGATGCGGAAGGCCGGGGTCTCGATCATGATCATGATGATCATCATGATCATGATGATCATGATGATCGTGATGATCATGATGTCGATGATGATGATGATGATAATGATGATGATGATGATGATGGTGCTGCAGCTGCTGCTTGTGGCGGGTGGGGGTGGGGGCGGTGGTGGCGGTGGTGGTGGTAAGGACCAGCAACATAGGTATCGTCATCGTCATCATCATCCTCATGGAAATCTCTTTATCATCAAGGTCATCTCCACGGTCATCACCATCCTCGTGTGGTTGTTCGAACTTAGTTGTTCAGGGCTTCGCTGAAAATGGCATTGGCCCTTTCTGTGACAACGGGGGTTGAGAAGGAGAAGAGGAAGAAACATTATCATGTTACTAATTTGGACAACACTACCTTGGTGGTGGTTGCCAGTTGGCACGTGGGTGTCTGCATGTTCACATACGGCAGCAAGTTTGCCGCTGTCCTTCTCTTTTCAATGGCTAGAAGTATTTTGTTCATGATTATTCATTCGCTGTGACACCATCAGTATCAGTTGGGTTTGCGGTGCGGAGACTATCCTCAAAACCCTAACCCCTAAACTCTATGATCGACCCTGAACTAAACCCTAAACCCCTAAACCCCTAATCCCCTAAGCCCTAAACCCTTTCTGACCTTTCTCCAAATCGCAGGATCTGAGCCGCCAGGTATGACGCCTATCCTTCTATGAGGGGCTCCAAGAATGGCGGTTGGTTCTAGGGCAGCGTGGAATCCCATGCAATCCGGTTTTTGGTTTTGCGGGGTTCGGTTTTGAGTTTAGGGTTTTGAGTTCCCCCCTACACCCTAAACCCTAAACTCAGCTCAAGACCTTCCAGCTCCCTGCGTCAGGCCATGACCAACAAGCAGGTACAAAGTGCCCTGAAGGAGACGGTCATCGATGCCATGCAGGAGATGGATTTAGGGGTTTAGGGTTGACGGTTTAGGGTTTAGGGTTTAGGGTTTAGGGTTTAGGGTTTAGGGTTGAGGGTCTCGTGGTTTAGGGTTTGAGCAACCTGAACTCCAGAACCCAAAGTTGCTGGACGCCGAACCTTATAGGATCCTTAAGGGGGGGTGGTTCAAGGGGGGAGGGTACTAGGGAGCTTTGGGGAACCTTAGGGAAGCTTAGGGAGTATTGGGGAATAATGAGGATTACTAGGTTACCTACCACCCCCTTAAGGACATCCTAAGAACCCTAAACTCCAAAACCTAAAGCCCGGATTTGAGGCTCCAGTAAACCCTAAACCCTAAGCCCTAGACTCTGAACCGCAAGCCCTTGAAGAAGCCCTAGAGCACCCGAACTCCGAAGACCCTAAACCCTCTACTATAGCGGTCTACATCATAAATCATTGCCAACACTATTTTGGGGGTTCTTTATCATAATTCTAGTATACAGGGCCCCAAAACCCCATTCTAATCATTGAGGCCCCTATATTGCCCCCATTAAACCCCTAAACTCAGCAGGACGAGAACTTGCAGCAGGAGATGATAAAGACGCTGACCAAGGCTTGGAAAGACAGAGACCCAAATCCAGAAAACTACCAGATATCGATGGGATACTTGTGAATTTCGGTTATTGTGTAAGCCCTAATTACATATCTTGGGGACTGTTGAAATCGACACCTTGAATACAGTCTACTAGGCGGGCCTAAAAACTTGCCCCTCAAACTCTATTCTGATGGCTGAGGCCCCGGTGTTATAGCATTTACGCTTTACGGCTTTTCGGGTTAAGGGATTAGGGTTGTAGGGTTTGGGGCTTGCATAGGGTTTATGGGTCAGGTTTAGCCGTAGTCTTCTTCCTGAGGATGTTCAGGAAAATCCCTCGTATAAACCCTGCGAAACCCTGCTCTGAAATTGTTTAAGTTTAGATCTAGGATGCCCAGTAGTACCCTTATTCCCTTTTTGTAGTCCTAGGTTCCTCATAAAGTTACCCAATGCCAAAAAGGGTACCGGGCATCCTAGAACATGAACATTTAATCCGCAACCCCAAAGCCTGGGTTTCGGATGTAGGTTTGCAGCCAGGCCGCCATCCTCTCCTCTGGCGACCACCTGCTCCGTGCACACCTCCTGGACGTGGGCCGCTTTGCGCCTACTTTTGGGGGGCCCTCGATAATTACCGACATTGTTCCTTAGGGCTCCTCATTATACGTTTAGTATAATATACCCCGAAACCGTATTCTAAATTACCAATATTAAATATTATGCCTTAGGGCTTCTTGTTATACGTTTAGTAGAATATACCCCGAAACCCTATTCTAGTTATGAAAGCCCCTACATTACTTGGAGGGTCGCGGGACTTAGCAAGCAGGAAGTAAGTAGACTTATAAGTACCCTAAAAGGGACCCTAGTTGGAGTTATGGTACTTATAAGTCCCTATAGTAACCAGTTACTAAGTCCCCCGACCCTCCAAGTACTGTTAAGAGGTTGCTGGCCGCTGCAGGGCCAGAGCGAGTTCAGGAATCGGGTTTAGAGTCTGCACCACCCTCGCGCTAAAGACCCTACAGCTTTGCACCTGGGGGATGTTAGGTTTTAGGAGATGGCCCGCAAACCCTTGTAGAAGCTTTATAGAAACGATATAGAATCTATCCGGGAGTCTCCGAAAATAGGGTACCCTAATATAGTACCCTAAATATAGTAGGATCCTTATTATCAGGACCCCCCAATAAGGTACCCCTAACTTTCGGAAGCCCTAAACCCTTACAGAGCCCTTGAAAGGAACCCTTACTATACCCTTATAGTCACCCTTGAAAGGAACCGTAAGGAACCCCTGATTTTTCGAAAAAGCTCCCATCTAGAAAGCTTCGGAGCTCCTACAGCCAAAAGCAAGGCAAGGACGCCCTCGTCCGAGCTATGCCCCTCAGCTCAGTAGGTCGAGAGGGCTCTCGGGCTCCGAGGGTTTGGGGAAGGTTTGGTGGGTTTAGGGGTTTGGGGTTCAGGGTTTAGGGTTTAGGGGTTTAGGGTTTCGGAGTTTAGGGTTTAGGGGTTAAGGGGTTGAGGGGTTTAGGGTTTAGGGCTTAGTCCGGTTTTGAAGTGGGTTTAGGGCTTAGGGGTTCAGGGGTTTAGTGGTTTAGGCAGGTTTTGAAGTGGGTTCAGGGGTTTAGGGTTTCGGGAGGTTTTGAAGTGGGTTTAGGGTTCAGGGTTTCAGTGGTTGAGGGTTTAGGGAGGTTTTGAAGTGGGTGTAGGGCTCAGGGGTTTAGGTGTAGGGTTTAGGGTCTAGTGAGGTATGGAAGTGGGTTCAGGGCTTAGGGGTTCAGGGTTCAGGGAGGTTTGGTACGGTTGATGATACAAATCCTGCATGACCCATAATAAGGAATATACCATAATTCCCATAGTTTCGGGTCCTTAAGGTAGTGCAAGATTTATATCATCAACAGTATTTTGCTTTTACAGGGCTTACTGGGATCTCACAGAGTTTTTTGCGGCTTTTCGCGGAGGTGTCTATGGTGTTCCAGCTTTTCTAGGTGGCAATTTGGGAAACTTTTTAATTTCCCTTATGGTTCCTATAGAGGTACCTATTCATAAATACTTTTCAGAGCCCCAAAACTACAACCCAGTTTTGCATGTTTGAGTTGGCTTTTGGGAGCGGTCGGAGGGTTGGTTTGAGAGGGTCTCTGCAGTGCGTAGATAGTCTAGGGTTTGTAGAATGTGTGTGTGTGTGTGTGCGCGTGTATGTGTGTGTGTGTGTGTTTTAGAAAGGGTTTCTAGGATTTGGGGACTTAGCGTTTGGCTATTGTAGAGAGCCCTGAACCCTAATTCACTCTAAGCCCCTAAACCGCAAAAAGCCATAAACCCCAAACCTTAAGAGTTGCAAAAACTGTTGAGCCACTTTGGGGTGGGAGGTGTAAGGTTTAGGGGTTCACGGGTGCAGGGTTTCGGGTTTAAAGTTTAGGGTTCAGGGTTTAAGGTTTAGTTCAAGGTGTAGGGTTTCAGATGGAGCTGTGTGGGCCCCAGGGCGTCGACGTTATAAGTAACCTAAAAGGGACCCTAATTGGGGTTATGGTACTTATAAGTTCCTAAAATAACCAGTTACTAAGTATCCTTAAACCCCTAAACCCTGAAGCCTGACCTTCAACCCAAGCCGCTAGACCTCAGGCCCCAAGTTTCAACACTGAGCCTATAGACCTTAAACACGACCTAAACTCTAAACGCTAAACCCTAAACTCCCAAATCCTACTCAGAGGCCCAGGGGACTTAGGAAGTCGGCAAAAAGTAGGGTTATAATTCGGGCAACTCCACTTTGGGGACTTATAACTCTGTTTATAACCTACTTACTAAGTGCCTTGAGCCTCCAAGTAGTATGAGCCTAGTATAGACCCCTTTAAAGGGACCCACATAGATCCCTGTAAGGGACCCCTTATAGATCCCTCTAAAGGAACCCTCAATGAGCCCAGGAAGGACCAATGTCTGAGGCCAAAGCCCCCAAGCTTCTAGACTCCCAAACCCCTAAACCCCTAAACTCCCAAACCCTCTGAGCCCAGGAAGGATGCAATAGATCCCTTTAAAGGGAACCCACACAGATCCCCTTATAGATCCCTTTAAGGAAACCCTAGATGAGCCCAGGAAGGACCAGGCTTTCATGTCCGAGATGGTTTCCATGATCTCGAAGTCGGCGCTCGCGGCATCCCGGGACCAGGAGACGATTTTGTGAATTTTCGAAACTTATGGGTTCCTTAGGGTTCCCTTAAAGGGTTACTATAAGGGTATAATCAGGGTTCCTTTAAAGAGCTCTGTAAGGGTGTTTAGGGTTTCCGAATTTTATGGGTACCTTGTTTTGGGAATTTCCGAAAGTTAGGGCAGTTCGGGGTACCTTTAAAGGGGTCTATAAGGGCTTAGGGTTTCCGAAAGTTAGGGGTACTTTATTTTAGAACACGGATCCTACTATTTGGGGTGCTATATTAGGTTCCCCTATTATCGGAAACTACGGTTGATGATACAAATCCTGCATGACCCATAATAAGGAATATACCATAATTCCCATAGTTTCGGGTCCTTAAGGTAGTGCAAGATTTATATCATCAACAGTACCATTTTGGGAATGGCGTTCAGGGCCCTGAAAGGCTCCTTGAAAGCTTCGTTAAGGGCTCTTCCAGGGATCCTTGAGAGATCTACTTATCGGGTTTAGGGTTTAGGGCCTGTTTAGGGCTAACTTTAAGGTGTCATATAGGGTCTAGGGCTTAGGGCGCAATAATCTAGGGTTTGGGCTTCAGGGCTTAGGGCCGAATATAGTTTGGGGTTTAGGACTTGGGTGTAGCACAGGGTTTTGGGGTCGGGGCCGGGGCCAATGGAATCCCGCGAAGTCCCCGTGTAATTGGCGCACGCTCTGAACATCCAGGTGCCTTGTGTTTGAAACCCTAAACTCTCAACCCTAAACCCTTGACCCTAGACCCGAAACTCCCTAAACTCTAAACCCGAAACCCTAGACCCTAAACCCTGAAGCCTAAACCCTAAAGGTCTTGCTACGAGCATGATGTTCAGGCTAATTCTTGCAGCCATGGTCTTGGTCGGTTGCAGCCAGAATGGTTTGGGGTTAAAGACAACCTGGGAGAAGCTCCGGGCTGAAATAAGGTTTGGGTAATAGGGTTCTGAGGTATGATAATGTAGGAACTGATTAAGTTTCCCTGGGCCTATACCCCCAGAATAGTGGGATTCATATAAGGAACCCTAATAAAGGCCCAAGGTTCCTTGATCAGGTTCCTACATTACTATCGGAATACGCTTATGATGATCCTGAACCCCAAGCTGTGGATTTTTCTTGAAGCCACGCAGGAGATCCGCGAGAATGCTCTGGATGTTGTGAAGTCGGCGATGACTGATGCCTTGAAGGACCCTCTAAGCCGTGGCTGCAGCAGCAGTAGCAGTAGCCGGAGTCGGAGCAGGAGCAGTAGAAGCCGTAGCCGTGGCCGTAGCCGGAGCCGGAGCAGGAGCAGCAGCAGCAGCAGGCGCAGCAGCAGGAGCAGCAGCAGGATCAGCAGCAGGAGCAGCAGCAGATGAATATTGCCATTGCCACGATTCCGAGCACCAGCAGTTCTGCAGCTGTTCCTCTCACGAGTTTAACCCCATAGCCTAAACCCCCGAATTTGAACATGAACCCTAAACCCAAACATGAACATGGAGGTCGCACCACCACGACCATCACCACCGAACACCGACACGAGCATTGTAGCAAGTTCAACATAGATGGTGATTGTCAGCAAAGCATTCCGCCGAACCCCAACCCCTTAAACCCTGAACTCTTCGCTCTTTTAGATGTTTAAGAATTCGTATGTTGAAAAAACGTCACTGCCAGGATCGGGGCTTCATTCAGGAGATGTTCACCACTCTGACCCGCGCGGCGATCTCGGCATCCAAGGACCCCGACCTTCGCGAGTCCCTGCTCTCCGTGGCGCCTTTGAAGCGTTGGAGTTGAGGGTCGGGGGACTTAGTAAGTAGGTAGTAAGTAGACTTATAAATACCCTAAAAGGTACCCTAATTGGGGTTATGGTACTTATAAGTCCGTAAAGTAACTGGCTAAGTCCCCCGACCCTCCAAGTGGAGTTGAGGTTTTTGGGCTGCCAGGGTGTTTCCCCGAAGAGCTTGACCTTGGGTACTGCCCCTACTGAATATTCATAATATAGCTATATTCGGACCTTAATAGTAGCCCTAGAACAGACTATTACTGTATGGGGTACCCAAGTCGTACCGTACATTCGTAGTACCAGCAGAGCTACGTTTTTTTTTTATCGCGACTGCACTGCGAACGCTGGAAGCGGGGAGAACACTTCTGCTGGGCCTGGAAGCATGTGGCCGTCGAAACTCCAGAAGTCTCAACGGCTGTTGTCTGAAGGCTTAAAAAGAAGTCCGAATACTTCATCCCTAAACCCTAATGTAGGAACCTGATTAAGAAACCCTGGCTCTATAACCCCAAAATAGTAGGATTCATATACGGAACTCTAATAAAGGCCCAAGGTTTCTTAATCAGGTTCCTACATTACCCAACTCCTCAGCCGCGCTAACACCACAGATCCGAAGGCCCAGCCCTATGCTGCAAGCCCGTAGCGCCCCAAAGTTCCGCAACAAACCCTCCAGGTAAAGGAGGCCGTGGTGGATGCGCTGAAGGACCAGGGCAGCTTGGCACCCTTCTTGGGGTTAAGGGTTCCGGGGTTGAGGCGTGTGGGGGTGCGGGGTTTAACGGCATAAGCCCTAAACTCTGAAAGAGGTCATGAAAGCCCTGCACCCCTAAACCCGCAAGCCCCAATTCTCCATCGACCGTCTTCTTCAGCAGCATCCGAGGCTTCATGGATGCTTTCCAAGAGGCCATGTGCAAAAGCCTTAACGACCGCTCCTGGGCTTGGATGGATTTTTCTTTATTTTGGTGCGACGGTTTAGGGTTTAGGGTTAAAGGGCTAGTTTGTTAGGGACCCAAAAACACATAAGCACAAGCATTCTATGGCTATCCATGCCTTGTTGGCCTTCCTTTTAGGGGGTTTATATGGGATATCCCGGTATCCCTACCCTTACTTTTGCTTATGTGCTTTTTTGGGGTTTTAGTTTGGTGCTTGAGGCTTCAGGGGTCAGGATCTAAGGTCTAGGATTTAAGGTTCAGCCGGCACCATACCTGGGGCAAAAGGCGAAGCTCGCAACCGCTCTTAAGATATGTCTATCGTGGGGGGGGGCCCGAAGTCTACAACCACGTGGTCTCAGGTAGCAAAACGAGCAAGCCCAAGGAGTTGCCCTAAACGCAATAATGTCAGAACCACATGCAGAAACCCGTGGTTTTGATCACCAAGATCGCCGGATCAATTTTCAGCTCCCTGACAAGAGCCGGGCTCTTTCCCACAATTAAAGTAGTAACCTGATCAAGAAGCCCTGGCCTTATAACCCCAAATCTGAACCCCCAAACCGCCTGAAAACCAAAATCAATTTGGAAACCTGAACCCTGAGCCTATAGGGAACTCCAGAAAGTTGGAATATGGTTTCAGGGTAGGATACCCTATAATTTACCATAAAGGGTTTAGGATAATCATATTCCAACTTTCTGGCTTTTACTGTAAAGACCTAGACCCCCAGATGCAACATAGCCCAAAGTCTTTGCCCGAACACCAACTCCAGATAAACCCTGTAAAGCCTTACAAAGCCTTATGAAGCATTGCGGAAGTACCATAAAACCTTGAACCCTAAACCCTAAACCCTGCAGCCTACAGCACCCTTACGTCCCAGGTAATATTTATCGCTCGGCTGCTGCCGGAGTCGCGAGCTCTTTGAATCCGTTCGCGGCAAAAAAGAGGGTGGTGCTGGCTGAGACGTTGAGTGTTTCAGTGCTTTAGGGGTTTAGGGTTGAAAGCCTCAGATACGACAAGCCAGACAACCTTAAACCCTGAACCCTAAACCCCTAAACCCTAAACCCTGAATGGCTGAGGCTGGGGAAGGGAGCCTATGGAACTGTGTACCTCTGCGAGGACAAGAAGAGCGGGGAAGAGGCTCGCGCTGGGCGCTAAACCCTGAACCCTAAATCCTAAACCCTAAATCCTTTAAACCCTAAACCCTAAACCCTAAATCCTAAACCCTAAACCCCTAAACCCTAAATCCTAAACCCCTAAACCCTAAACCGTCTTCGGGGGTAACTCGGGTCCAGAGGACCTCGATCTCCCGTCCTGCACCCTGAGGCCCGAAACTGAGTTGAGCAAAGATCCCAACCCCGTCTCCGAAACGCTGAAAGCCATGAAAACCGATCGGTTTAGGGTTTAGGGTTTAGGGTTTAGGGTTTATAGAAATTGTATAGGGTTTGGGTCCGGAGTTTTAGGGGGTTTTGGGGGGGTTTTGGGGGGTTTTGCCGGGTTTTGCCTTTTGCTTTTGCTTTTTGATTTTGGGATTTGGCTGGGCTGGCTGGGCTGACTGGGCTGGCTGGGCTGGGTTGGGGGGCTGGGGGGCTTGGGGCTGCTGAGTTGGTGATAGAAATTGTATAGGGTTTGGGTCCGGGGTTTTGAGCGAAACGTTTTGACCGAAACGTGTTGAGCAGTTTCGTTTTTTTGCTTTGGTGTTTGGATTCTGGGAGTGGGCTGGGTTTTGACCGAAACGTTTTGACCGAAAGTTTTGTTTGTTGACTTGTCAGTTCGGAGTTTTCGCTGGGCTGGGTTGAGAAATTGTATAGGGTTTGGGTCCGGGGTTTTGAGCGAAACGTTTTGACAGAAAGTTTTGATCGACACGTTTTGTTTTTGATTTGTCAGTTCGGAATTTTCGCTGGGCTGGGCTCTGGGCCGGGATGGGCTGGGTTGGGCTGGACTGGGCTGGACTGGGCTGGGCTACTAGGCTGGGATGCTGGGTTTGGATTGGGCTGGATTGTATAGTTGTATGGGGTTTGGGTCCGGGGTTTTGCCGGGTTTGGTTTTGCTTTTGCAATTTGATCTTTGGATTTGGGGGACGGCTCGCGGGTTCTGATTTTTGCTTCTGCTTCTAAGCTGGGCTGGGCTGTGCCGTGCTGGGCTGGGCTCTCTTCGCACACGTTTAAGGAAAATTCGATGCTATTGAAAATGCAAATCAATTCCAAGCGAAATGCAACACAATTTCTATTTATCCTGCTCTTGAGGGTTTAGGGTTTAGGGTTTAGGAAACTTTGCTACCCTACCACGCTTCGGATGTTTCGATCTCTGGATGTGTTGCACGCCGCTTGCCTCGCCACCATGCAGTGCTGTGAACAGCATCGGCAAAGCTCCACCATGCACTCGAGCCCCTAAACCCTAAACCCTATATAAACCCTAAAACCCTAAACCCAATCTGTTCGCGGTTCAGGGTTCAGGGTCGCTGGGGTTGTGGGTGTAAGCTCTTCCATCCTCCTTGTACCTTGTCCCTAAACCAAACCCTAAACCGTTTGAGGCCTAAAGATGAATGGGGTTTTGAGTTGATTGCCTAGAGACTAGGGTAGTATGTGGAGTAGCATGGTTAGTATTTAGTACAGTCCGGGGCTTCGCGGAACAGCTTTCAATGTCGTGAGCCCCCCTTTAATCCGGAGGCTCTGGTGATTTATGGTACTCGATGTGGCAGCTTGTTCTGAAACGCTAACCTTTATCACGGTTCAGGCTTAGGCTTTAGCCTTGACGTATAAAGCTTTCTATCCAAGACTCCTTCGAATTCGATCCACAGGTGGCGGTCAAACATGTGAAGCAAGCGGCACGCCACGGCAAGAGCATGCTCCGCGAGGTGCGTTTCAGGGTCTCAGGGTTTTGGGGATTGCAGGGTTTAGGTATTTAGCGTTTGGAAGGTTTTCGGATTTGAGGGTTGGGGCCTTCGGGTTTTGGGTTTTAGGTTTAGGGTTTAGGGTTTAGGGTTTAGGGTTTAGGGTTTAGGGTTTAGGGTTTAGGGTTTAGGGCTTCATTACGGCATTAAGGTTTTGGATTTGGTTTCCAGTTTGCTGCTGCTGGTGCTGTTTAGGGTGTGACGGGTCGAGCCCGAAACGAAGGAACCCAATATAGGGGCCTAGATAATTACCAATACTGTTTTGGGGATTCCTGATTATAGTTATAGTATAATGGGCGCCAAAGCCCTATTCTAATTATTAAGGCACCTATATTACACCGTGAAAGTTTGCTTCTGATTAGAATCCGGAGCCCCCACAGGGTACTCTACTGGTTCAGGTTTGTGGCTTGGCGCATGCACGCATGGGGGAGGAAGTAGGATTCTAGTTTTGAGCCTCGAGTATTCAGGAACATTTCCCCCCTAGAGTCTCGCTCTCTCTCTCTCTCTCTGTCTCTCTCTGTGTCTCTCTCTCTCTCTCTCTCTCTCTGTCCGTCCCTCACTTCTGTCTGCTTCTCTCTCTGGCTTTTCCTTCTCTGTCGGTTTGTGTATCTCATCATACTAGGGATACTTAAGCTGTAGTTGTACCCCAAAACGCTGTTCTAGTTATTCAGACCCCTACGGCCCCATATTGCCGTTTTGGGGTTCAAGGGTTCAGTCTTTCAAGGTTTCGGGGTGAGTCAGAGCTTTCGTCAGTTTTTTCGCTTGTGCTGTTTAACCCTAAACCCTAAACCAAACCCGAAACCCCTAAACCCTAAACCCCTAAACTTTTCAGGTTTAAGTCAGGCTCCAGCTCAGTACACCAGTCTTCTCCGTCACCTAGCCCTAAGCCCTGAACCCTGAACCGCCCAAACCCTAAACCGCAGACCCTGAACCATAAACCCGAAAACACCCCCCCGCCCAACAAAAAACAAAAAACAACAAGAAAAGCTTAAACCCTAAACCCACAAGCGCTCATGGCAGATTCGTCTCTTGGCGCGGCTTCGACACGAAAATCTCCTTCACCTGCTGGACTTCCCGGCGGCTGGGGCCTCTGCGACTCTTTGCGGGGCCTAAGGAGCTGTAAAGTGCTTGGAGTTGCGCAGAAAATCGAAATTAAGTGAAGGTGAAGGGTTTCGTTCTTGTCTCAACAGTTCGGGGTTCCGGATTTGCTTCAAAACAATCCGAGGCTTAATCCTAAACTTTTAATCCTAAGCCCTATTGGACGTCCTTAGATCCGATCAGCTCAGCTTCGGCCGGAACCGTGTCAGCCCCACCTCCGCCCAGAGACTCCATTATCCCGGAATCAAGGAATATACCGTTAATCTTAATCGGGATCCTACTACAAATTGAGGAATATTCCGTAATTCAGAGAAATTAGAGTCTCTGGGTGCGTCGCCACGCGCCTGTGTCTCATAGTCGGCCTGACTTGGCAAATACGCCTGGCGCGCAGGTGGCGATATTTCAGGGTCGGCATCGAGGTCCCTTGATTATCTGAAGCTGTTAGGTCGGGACTTCGATTGACGGTGGAGTTCTTACGTTTCTTTACGGGGAGGGGTTAGGGGCCCACCGTAAGGCCGCAAACTCCTGAGCCCAAAGTGGCCGTAAACTTCCCATCTCCATAACTAACCATTGGTGTCGGCGGAGCTAAGGAGCCAGGGATGATGATAATCCCTATTAAGTAAGGAGCTAAAGAGCCAAGGGGACCCCAAAACCGCTGCTTAGACGAAGAGCCTGCGGAGTCCGGAGTTGTTCTCACAGGAGGTTTTCGGAGTTAAGCACCAAGTACCTTACATGCAGCCGTGAAGCTTGAAACCTACATAAACCTTAAACAACCTAAGCCCTAAACTCGAAACCTCAAGCCCGAAAGATAATAAGGAACCCTAGAACGGTAGGTTCTGTAGGGATATAGGTCCTGAACCTCGAAGCAGCCGTAAACCCTAAACCCTAAACCCTAAGCCCTCAACCCTCAACCCTCAACCCTAAACCCTAAACCCTAAACCCTAAACCCTAAACCCTAAACCCTAAGCCCTAAGCCCTCCACATCCTTCCCGTCCCGAGGTCTCCTCGCCGGACTTCGAGGATATCTACCTTGTCCTGCCGTGCGCCACTGAATGTCCTGTTCTAGGCTTCAGGGTTCATTGAGGGTTCTAGGCAGGGGTTCATTTAGGGTTTAGGGTTTAGGGTTTAGGGTTCATTTAGGGGTTCAGGGGTTTAGGGTTTAAGGTTTAGGGTTAAGGGTTCATTTAGGGGTTTAGGGTTCCGGGGTTTAGGGGTTTAGGGGTTTAGGGTTCAGAGGTTTAGGGTATATTAGGGTTCTACCAAAGCTCCAAAGGGGCCCGACATGACTTGAAGGCATAATCTACAACCAAAGCCCTGTTAGTAACACTGAACTATGATTAAGGCCCCTATGTCAGTGGGCGTTTGAGGACTTCAAACAGAAACTTCAGGTACCTTGCTGCAGACCTCCACAAGATCATCCAATCCCAGCAGGCGGGCTCCAAATGAGGATTTAGTGTTTAGGGTGCGCCTTTCGTGCAGGGGTCCATATACGGCGCAGGGTTTGGCGTGGAGCGCTGTGCTAGAGCATTTTGTTTTCGCCACCACAGCATTTTCTAGAGAGTTCTGTGCGCTTCAAACCCAAAACCTACAAACCTAAAACCCTAAGCCCTACACCCTGATCCCTTACTTCTGATTGTACTTCAAACCCAAAACCTGAAACCCTAAAGCCGAAACCCGAAGCCCTCCGCCTTCGATCCCTTCTTGGAGGGTCTTTTGGGGACTTAGTAACTGGTTATTTTAGGGACTTACAAGTACCATAATCCCAATTAGGGTCCCTTTTAGGGGACTTATAAGTCTACTTACTAAGTCCCCCGACCCTGCAAGTTGCTTCTGATGACACCAGACGCAAGCCCTCTTGAACAGCCTCGGCTGTGCAGGCTTTAACAGAGAAGCACGTGCAGGTCATTCTGACGCAGGTTCCAGCGGGCTCATGGTTCAGGGTTGAGGGTTCAGGGTTTGGGGTTCAGGGGTTAGGGTTTAGGATTCTAAGTCGATTTTAGTGCTTAGGGATGAGGTTTTGGGGTGAAGGGTTGAGGGTTTAGGGGTTAGGGTTTAGGATTTTGGTTTCTGGGATTCGAGGCCTTTGTTGCCAAAGGTATGAGGGTTGAGGGTTCAGGCGTTTTCACTGTGCTGGCTGAACTCTGTCGAGTGCGTTCAGACATGCAGAAGAGAGAGATGAAAGCTCAAGGTGGGGAGGGTTCAGGGGTTAGGGTTCAGGGTTTAGATTTCTGGGATTCGAGGCTGTTTTTGCCAAAGGCATGGAGTCTGTGGCATGGTGGTTGCCGGCATGGGGACGGGAGGCAGGTACGACAATGAGACGAGTTCTCCTAACATGGATCCCGTGGATCCCAGGTAGCCAGATCGTTATCTACTGTCGGGAAGCCCGCAAGCCCCAAAAGTGCAGAGTTGAAGGGTTGAGGGTTCAGGGGTTCAGGGTTTTCGGGTTTAAGGGCCATTCTATACCCATTATATACCCATTATATACCCATTATAGCCAATTATAGGGTAGGGGTTTGAGGTTTACTTGGAGGGTCGGGGGACTTAGTAACTGGATATTTTAGGGACTTATAAGTACCATAACCCCAATTAGGGTCCCTTTTAGGGTACTTATAAGTCTACTACTTACTAAGTCCCTGACCCCTAAACCCTATACTACCCTTATAGAGCCCTTTAAAGGAACTGTTAGAATTCCCTTTAAAGGAGCCCTTACTAAGTCCAAGTAGGGTTCAAGGGGAGCAACCCGACTCCATTCCCTCGCCTGCGCACTCGCACCGCGCAGATTTTGCGGGCCATGGCCTACCTCCACAGCAGCGGCGCAGGGGGCCCAAACTTTTATAGGGTTTTCCTGGACCCTGAAGAACCTACCGTTTAAGTTGAATTTAAGGACGTATAGAAGGAAATCAGAATCAAGGAGCCCTAAAAAGCTAGGTTCTTCAGGGTCCAGGTGGGGTTTAGGGGGTCGGTATAGGGTCCAGTTCAGGGTTTCAGAGCAAGATGATCCGGGTCTGGGGTCAGCGGCTACAGGTTTTAGGGGTCGGGCCGAAGGGGTACACCCTTGAGGCTGATTTAGGGTTTTAGGGTTTTGGGGTTTGAAGTTTAGAGTTTTGGGGTTTAGGGTTTGGGGATTTAGGGTGTAGGCTTTTGGGATTTAGGGCTTAGGTTTAGGGATTGAAGGTTGTTTGCGAGAGTTCAGGAGCCCTACGACCTTCCAGGGTGTTTATCTTGTGACAGTTTACATGTAATGCTACTGCCAACAGAAAGTTTATCAACACCAGGACTAGTCATAATTGGTGCTGGTAGGAGTAGCAGAAACAGCAACTTAGTAGAAGTAGTAGTGGAGGTGGAGGTGGAGGTGGAGGTGGAGGTGGAGGTGGAGGTGGAGGTGGAGGTGGAGGTGGAGGTGGAGGTGGTGGTGGTGGTGGTGGTGGTGGTGGTTGAGGAGCCGGGAGCAAGCAGCGCGCAGCTGTATTTTCAAGAGCCATGCCATACTGTCACTGCTTCCCCTCATCTACGAGGTAGGTCATCTCTGCTTGCCTGCTTAGCTTCTAGAGATCCTAGCACAGGAGTTTGGGCATTGAGACGAAGGAGAATCAAGCCCGAACCAGTGTGAGCTTTTGCTTCTTCACATGTGCTGGAGAAGTCACGAAGGGTGATGCCTAGTACTTCCAGAAGCCTGAGGGCGGCCCCACCAACAGCTTCCGGAAGCTCGCCCGAAAGTGCGTGAAGAGCACCACCTCCGCCTTCGACACCAGGGCATCCATCGCCAAGGTTGCCAGGACGGAAGCCCGAGGAGAGCCTGAAGATTTTGGCATCATGTTGAGTCGGGAGATTTAACCCTTCGCCTTCGACCTGGGTACTGAGTGAGAAAGTAGAACCTTCCAACTTCTCCTATACTGCAGTACAGAACACACATGAACCACGCACAGTCGGCAAGAGTGCTTTATAGAGCACGCGATAACCAACAAGTCCGAGTACCTAGTAGTTTTCGTATAAAGAGACGCAAAAAACAACAAGGAAACACATTCAGTTGTGTATGGTAGAGCTAAATTCTACCTAAATTCGCAGCCCTAAACCCTAAACCCTAAACTCCTAAACTTTAACCTCCGAAACCCTAAACTCCTCAACCCTAGATTAAGCTCCTCAACCCTAAACTCCCTAGATCCCCAATGCCTAACCTTTAAACTGCTCGGGTGCTTATAGTTTAGTAGGAATCGGACAGTTTAACCTTTTATTTCTGTGGTTTATTGGGAGAGTAAGACGCCTCAAAGCTAAACTCCTCAACCTTAAATTCCGAAACCCTAAACTCCTCAACCTGAATCTCCTCAACCCTAAACTCCTCAACCCTAAACTCCTCAACCCTAAACTCCTAAACGCTAGAGTAGAGTTCTAAAACCTAGAATCTAAGTCCTACGTAAGCCTTAAGCCCTTAAGCCCTAAAGAGCAGCCCTGTAGTCCCCAAGGTCGCTCACCGGGATCTGAAGCCCGCAAACATCCTGCTGTCCTCGGACTGCAAGTTGAAGGCAGCTCTACGGCTCCGGGGTGCTTTGCATGGGGGGGTGTAGGGTTTAAGGCTTAAGGTTTAGGGTTCAAGTTTTTTAGGGATATGGGGGCTTTGCGGGGTTTAGGGTTTAGGGCCGTGGAGGAGGGTTGAGGGTTCAGGGTTTTCTAGGGATATGGGAGATTTGGGGTTGATGGTTCAGTGTTCGAGATTCAGGGTTTAGTCCTCAGGCTTTGCGTTTCCGGGTTTTTTGGAGTCGCGGTTTCGAAATTCGAAGAGTTCCTTTAAGGGATCCTATATAAGGGGTTTCTGTAAGGGTTTAGGATTTGGGAGGCTTTGCCGCGCAGTGAAACGTGGTGAGCGAGGCGAGGACGCAGGTGCAGCAGTTTTTGCAACTCGCCTGTCCTGTGGGCTTCCCGTGTCATAGGAGGCCAAAAGGGGTTTTGGCCTATGGGGGTTTCGTAGGGATTAGGGTTCCCATAATAGGGTTCATGTTAAGGAATCCCTACCCCAAGAATCTTAAACCCCCTGTGGGCCTCCCATCACCGTGACCGACACTTTAGGGTTTAGGAGTTGAGGGTTTACGCTTTAGGGTGTGGTCATGTTGATACCATCATTTCATCATGGCCATAACCTCCTATCGCCTTATCACCGTCATCAGCGTCTTCATCCTCACAATCACGATTAGCATCAAAACCCTACACCCTAAAACGTGCAGGTCTGCGATTTCGGCCTAGCTCGGGGCGGCCTTGGTGGCCTGGACGGGGACGAGCCGGAGGAGGCTTGGGAGTTTAGGTCGTGATTTCGGGGTTCGTGGGTTCTTACGGGGGTTTCATCTGGGTCTTATAGGGTTTTGTTAGGGTTTTGTGGGCTTTATCGGGGTTTTACAGGGTGCTAGAAAGGTTTTGCATGGTTATAGGAGGCTTTGATATAGGACATGAACGCTAAGCCATAATCTTGCATTGTAGTCCCTGTTGTGACAATCACAGGAAAACACACCCGATTGGGGTGGAGGGCCTGGGAGAAGGGGTTTAGTGTTGTAATGTTCTGATGTTTTGTACGGGTCAGTAGCGGTCAAAACGGATCTTGTATGAGTTGTAGATGCACGGTTTAAAGCTTTTCAGGGTTCTACCTCGGGTCAAGCAGTCGGCGCTGAGACCCGTACTCACTAACCATGTACCTGACCTTATGGTGTGTTTAAACCCTACCTTAACCTACCAAGTTTTACTTTTTTCGTAGGTTCTTAAAATAAACCCTACTGAGGAAATAACATGTACATACGGATTCTATAAGGACCCTACAAAAAAGTAGGATTTGGTAGGTTAAGCTAAACCTGAAGAAGCCACAAGAAGCACCGGCCGCCGGTCTCCCTCCGACGAGGCCTGTGGGGTGCTGACGGAATACGTCGTGACGCGCTGGTACCGGGCGCCGGAGGTCGGAACTCAGGGGTTCGAGCTGTTCCATAGGACACCCTAAACCCTCCCAAAGGTCCTAGGTACTGCTATGTGAGATACTTCCCCAAATCATAATAGTACAGTAATTCCTAACAGAAACCTTAAGCTGTTCCAGAGGACACCCTAAACCCTCCACCCTAAACTTCGAACTTCACATCCCAAAACCCTGATCTCAGGAGACGAGTTTGAAGATTCGGTGTTGACGAGTTGGGGTTCATGGTTCGATAAGCCCCTAAACCCCTAAACGGCTAGCTTCCAGAGCCTGCCAGGTGATGTTGCTGCCGAAGCAGTACTCCACAGCCGTCGACATTTGGGCGGCGGGGTGCTTGACGTCCCTGTTTTGAGTGTTATCAGTAAGTCCTGAGCCGTATCCTCGGCCAAGGCCAACAGACCCAACACCGCAGCGGAACCATGAACGGATGACCACATTCGGACCCAGTCACCATTCACCACTATAGCCGTAATCATGGTGAGCATCTTCGTTCTCATCCTCATCGTCATCTTCACTACTGCGGTGGCTATTAGCATTCTCACCACCACCGGAGCCAGGGCGATCACCGTCATGATCGCCATCACGATCATATTCAGCATCCTCATCAACATCATCGTTGGTCACTACCGTTGTTACAACCATCACCAGCTCTGCCGCATCAGCATCACGACCCACCATTATCAGCATCACGCATCGTGATCGTCGCAATCACGATGTTGATTGTTACCATCAGCATCTTCACCCTCTTTGCTATCTTCACTATCATCATCACCATCTTCGTCATCATCATCACCTCCACCATCATCGTCATCATCTTTATCATCACCACCATCATCATCAACATCATCATCATCACCAGCATCGCCGGGATCATCTTCATTACCATCATCATCCTACCGATCGTCGTTGCCGTGTTCCTTCTCATCGCACGTGTTACCTTTGTGCTCACCACTCTTCTGCCTCTCTTTCCCGTGCTTGCCAGCTCTCAGCACATGGGTGGTTGTCAATATTTGGGTCCCTTTTGGGGTCCTTATTATAGTACGGCACCTAATCAGCAGGGTACCCAACAAGGGACCCGAATTTTGACAACCACCTTCATGCATCGTGATCTCTGTGCATGTAAGAAGGCCTAAACAGTGGTGACCTTTTCATAAGTACGGCCCTTGATTAGGCAGGATCTTATACAGTTCCCTGAATGGAAGGACCCTGATTACAAGGACCTTAAGGTCGCGCGACCTTGCCCTCAGGTTGGCTGCATCCTTGGCGAGATTCTGGGCAGGAAGGCTGCCCGAAGCACCCGAGCTTCAGGGGTTTTTGGCTCTTGCGGGGCAAGTAATTAGTAATCGTCTCCCTTCAGCTTCCCTGTTTAAGTAAAGCACACCCCAAACCTATTGTGAGTATCAAGTCCCCGTGTTACTTGAGCAGAAGGAGAGCTTAAGGCTTTTGGGTCTCCACATTTGATGTATGTAGATGCATGTAGAAAAGCTGGCGTATGCCTGCGATGTCCAATCCACGGATTGCTCTGTTGGTTTGCCTTGCCCCAAATTTTACATGGCCTTTTGGTTTCCTGCAGACAGGAACAGGACCTGAACAACAAGCTCAAGACCCGTGAACCCCTACCGTACGCCCTAAACCCCTGAACCCCCCCAAAAGCCCGACGACAGGCTTGGTATTTTGGGGCCTTTTGGGGGCTGCAAGGGTTCGGGATAAGGGTTTAGGGTTTTGGCTGTAGGGTTTATTTTGTTTTTGACTATGGGTTAAGGGTTTAGGCCTCAGTGTTCTGAGTCGAGGGTTTGAGGCAGCAGCACGGGTTTTCAGGCAACTTCTGTCTGCACCCTGGGAGTTGCCGAAATTGAGGGTACCTTATTTTTGGGGTCCTTCTTATAAGGATCCTTCTGTTGAGGGTACTATTTCGGGGTCCCCTATTTTCGGAAGCTCCAAAGTGCCAAATCCTCGTCGCAGGCCATGTTCCCTGGGAAGAATCACATTGACATGGCGCAAGTCTTAGCGGGCATTGGTTTGGGGTTAAAAGCAGGGGAAACCATCCAAGGGCAGTGGGATGGGATGTTTCCGCTTGAGCACAGGCCGTCACAATAGGAGTAAAGAGTACACTGGTTCGACAGATCATACCGTCGAGGGCTGACATTGAAGTCCACTTTCATGGCTGATTATGCGAGTATCAACGGACAGCAACAGCCACAGCCACCACGAGCGCCAGCGCCCGCAGCAGAAGCAGAAGCAGCAGCAACAGCAACAGCAACAGCAGCAGACGCACAACAGCGACAGCGACAGCAACACCGGCACCAGCACCAACCGCAAACACCAACAGCAGCACCAACTATCACCATCATCACGACCACTACGACTACGACGGCGACTACTACTACTACTACTACTGCTACTGCTACTACTACTACTACTACTACAACAACTACTACTACTACTACTACTACTACTACTACTACTACTACTACTACTACTACTACTACTACTATTACCACTACTACTATTACCACTATCTCTACGACTACTGCTGCTACTACTACTACTACTGCTGCTACTACTACTAGGCCTTCCCCCCCTGGTGCGACGCCGGTCGCTGAGTTCGTGGATGTACAACATGTTCCATCACAGCTATCGCGGTCCAAGATGCGGCGTAGCAAGGACAAGGATCGTCCACACCGCTGCAGTAAATGTCAGCAGGTGGGACATAGAAAAGACAGTTCGAAATGTCCTTTCTACGATGGATCGACGCCGGAGAAGCCGCAGAATGCTCTGTTGGCTAAGTTTGCACCTGCTTACTTGGAGCAAAATGTGAGAGGGAGAACATTAGTTTCGCTCAAACAACCTTGCTTGATGAGTGCACGGGCTTTTACAGAAGTGTCAGGTGTGCAGAAGCTTCAGAAGTTGGGCATGTTGCCGATGTTGCGTAAAAGACACTGCTGGAAGTGCGGCAGAGGCTTTTTCAAAATGCGCTAGACCATGGACGTCATTAGGTTTTGGACATGGATGCTCTCCAAACCAAAATGCGCTAGACCATGGACGTCATTAGGTTTTGGACATGGATGCTCTCCAAACCAAAATGCGCTAGACCATGGACGTCATTAGGTTTTGGACATGGATGCTCTCCAAACCAAAATGCGCTAGACCATGGACGTCATTAGGTTTTGGACATGGATGCTCTCCAAACCGAAATGCGCTAGACCATGGACGTCATTAGGTTTTGGACATGGATGCTCTCCAAACCAACGATTTGAATGAAAATCATGATCAAAATGAGGCCCAAAAAACCTTGATTCTGATCGCTAGGTTTTGGGCACGAAAATCGAGACACCCAAAAACAGTACAGTAAAAAATCATGAAATTCGCAAAGACAAGTGCTGTAAATACCAGCATTTTCGGGTGCGAGATTGATGAACATTAAAAATATGATAAAAATACACACGAAACCAGGAACAGTTGCCACTTTCGATAACTGCGGAAAAAAAGTGCTGTAAAACACAGCATTTCCGACCACAGCAAGTCCCAAAAATAAGAGGTTTGGGCGTCGCACCGGGGGGGGAAACCCTACTACTACTACTACTACTACTACTACTACTACTACTACTACTACTACTACTGCTACTGCTACTGCTACTGCTACTGCTACTGCTACTGCTACTGCTACTGCTACTGCTACTGCTACTGCTACTGCTACTGCTACAACAACAACTACAACTACTACTACTACTACTACTACTACTACTACTACTACTACTACTACTGCTACTGCTACTGCTACTGCTACTGCTACTGCTACTGCTACTGCTACTGCTACTGCTACTGCTACTCCTACTACTACTACCACCACTACTACTACTACTACTGCTGCGACTACTACTACTCCTACTACGTCTACCTATGCTGCTGCTGCTACTCCTCCTCTTCCTGCTGCTGCTACTGCCCCTACGACGACTACTAATTACGACTACTACTGCTGCGACTACTACTTCTGCGACTTTTATTACTCATACTACTCTCCTGCGCAAGTTGTTGCCTGTTTGGTTGGATACTTGTCTGGCCTATCAGCCTCTTGGACATCGAAAGCCCAAGCCCTGAGTCTGAAACCTAGCGCCTAGTTCATGATTATCTCGAACCCGAACCCCGAATGCCTACACTCCTACTTCAAGGCCCCGGCGACCTAGTTAGTCGCTTATAAGTAGGGTTCTATTTGGGGTAACTCCATTTGGGGTACTTCTAACTCTACTTACAACCTACTTACTAAGTTCCGTGGGCCTCTAAGCATACGTTGTTTGTGAGGTGTGCAAGTACGCGGAAGTCGTGGGGAATCCCAAAGACAGCGAGCTCGGCTGGCTTCCCAAGGCCTGAATGCCGAACCTTCAAAACTCTAAACCAAGACCGACACCTTCTACTGCCTCTACCCGATGCCGGCTCAGGGATTCCTTCCGTCGACCCTTCAGCTACGACTTTTGACTCCCGCTCCTATACTCTACCACCACCGCGCTGCGGACGACGACTGCTACCACCGCTGCCACTGCCGCTATCACGGCCACTGCCAATGCCAGCGCCACTGCTACTGCTACCACTACAATGGCGACGACGTCAACATCTACCACTACCACTGCCACTGCCGCTACCCGCAGCTAAACTGGACTAGCACTACGACTAAGGCTACCACTGCCACTGCCAATGTCACTGCTGCTACCGCTGCCCCTACCGCTGCCACTGCAACTACGACGACGACTACTACTACAACTGCCACTGCCGCTGCTACTACTACTGCCACGACGATGACGACGAGTACTAGTAGAAATGTTTATAGGGCTGAGGACCTTTGCAGTTTAGGGTTGTGAAGCGTTCAGGGATTATGGCTAGGTTTTTTCAGGCTTACGGCTTAAAGGGCTGCGAGTCTCCTAAGAACGCAGAGCTAGATCGTTTGTCTTGACATACTTGGTTGGCTTGGGGTGGCACCTGCAAGTGTGTGTACTTAGAAGCTCCTTTGAGTACGTAACTTAACTTACCCACATATTCCCCTATATCCCTTACAGCAACCCCCGCACAACCAATCTTTCCAATCCTATTCACGCCATCAGGGCATCCAAGTCTCTGGCTTTGAGTTTTACAGCTTCGGTCTGGAGTTCGGGGCTTTTAAGGCAGGCTTAGGGAAAACAAAAAGCCCTAAACCCGAACATCGCTTTCATCAGGAAGTTCCTTCAAACACTAAAGAATCTACCTCAGCCAAGGGGGGCCTTGGAGCTGGGCTCTCTAGGTTCATGAGGAGTACCCTTTTGCCCTTTTTGTATTTGGGTCCTCTTATTTGTTCCAGGGTGACTGGGGAACCAAGCTCTAAACCCGAGGGTGCAAGTCTTGTCGGCGGCTCGCAGGACACCGATGCCTATCGCTTCCTACGCAAGGCCAAAAGCTGCAGACGATGCTCACTTAGTGGCTATGACCTTTACTGCTTCTAGGAATTATTTTTGATTTGTCTTATAAGATAACTTCAGGGATTAGTAAGAAGATTGTTTTCATTTTGGTTCTAAGGGTGCCTAAGTAACCGGGAAATCATCTGCTTGGTCAGACCTATATCTGGTGACTAGGAGATCATATACTTTCATACACCTGTATTTGGGCCATGTGGGACAGCTTGAACTTCGGTGGTTGGGACTGGTTCTAGAGGAGAGAGTGAGTGCTTCCTCGCCGTAAGCCTTTGCAAGTAGCTTGCAGAGATAGTCACTCCTTGTTTCAGATGATTTCCCAACGTGCACGTGCACGAAGTCCTTTCGACCCTGCACCCTGAAACTTCTATCAGTCCTTCACCTCGCAATCCAGCAGGTCCTATCTATCCACCCTCAACCACAAGCCCTAAACCCTAAACCCTAAACCCCTAAGCCCTAAACCCTTAACCCTAAACCCCTAAGCCGTAAACCCTAAACCATAAACCCCTAAGCCGTAAACCCTAAACCCTAAACCCCTAAGCCCTAAACCCTAAACCCTAAAACCTGAGCCCATGAATCCTTAAAGTCCCTAACACCTCCACTGTCCGAGAGGTCTGCCCGCAGGGCTCCGGTATGGACTTCGGTCCGGCACCGCATGTTTCGGGTCTTGGGGTTTTCTGGTTTAGGGTTTTTGGGTTTAGGGTTTTATGGGGTATAGGGTTTCAGGTTTAGGGTTTAGGGTTTAAGGTTTAGGGTTTAGTGTTTAAGGTTTAGGGTGTTTAGGATTTGGAGCATCCTTTGAGAAGTTACGTACGTTTGTGCTCGAAACGCAAACGGGCCGATATCACCGCATGCGGGAGCATAGTGTATCAGCACATTACCACTTACCACCCGTAGAACACGTGCGAAAGATGCGTCAGTAGAGCGCATGCACCGACAAACGGGTGCCACATGAAATTGAACCATGTCGAGCACATAGTTAGGTGTATCCATGGGAAGGTCCGCGGTAGGGTTTTAGAGGCTAGGCAGTTTAAGGGTTCTCGGTTCTGGGTTTTTGGAGTTTATAGGGCTTTCACGGTATCAGGGTCTGGGTGGGTGAAGGCTGGTAAACAGAAACCCTAAACCGTAAACCCTACGTAAAACCCCCCAAGAACTTACTTTTAGGGTTGGGGATCACTGGGCAGCCTCGCCCTGGACACTGAGTCGCTTACTCTGGGGTGGGTGAGAAAGCTGTTTTTCCTGGGTTCCTCTTCGGTCTAGGCGTCAAGCACTCTTAAGCAGCAGCTCTCACTTGGGGCCACTGGAGGCTCCGGATGTCACCATGACCGGCAGTAACTTTGATTGGGGTTATCAGTTACATAAAACCCCGCAAATGTGCCATAATATAGCATGACATCGTATCTCCTCCTGTATTGTGGTAAGATATACCACAATGTAGCATAGGGTCGTATGTCATAGTATATCATAGTCTAATGTATCATCTAGGCAATAATCTCATCATCATGTAGCAGCTTGCAGATGCCAACCTGGCTTGGGTAGTTGGTTGCATGCCTGCACGCACAGGCAACATTCATCCCTACAGAATTCGCTAAATCCTCCCCCCTGCAACCGCCCCTAAGCCGATATCCCCATGTCCTAAACCGCAAAGCCCGTGCTGCCTGCGACCTTTTCGCCAGCCAAACTCTACCCGCGTGCTTCGCCTGCTTGCCTCAGCATGCTCAAGGCTTTGTTGCGCTGGGGCCCCAACTGTTGGCTTCTTGTTGAGGGATTTAAAATTTGTTACAGGTACGAATTGCATAATATTTCATAATATGGATGTTTTTTAGGACCTTAATAGTAGCCCTATTATAGACTCTTACTGTATGGGGGGCAGTACAGAGTGTGCTATGCCGTTTGACTCCGTGACCTGTGGGAGTTGCCCCATTATAAAGAAATCATATTATTTACTATAGACCTAGAAGGGGCCCCCACCCTGTAATAGTGGTAGAATAGGAAGAAATAGGGCCCTAATATAATCCTTATAGTCACTATTACAGGGTGGGGGCCCCTTCTAAAATAGATCCCTGTTGCGGTAACTTGAACTAAATTCCTTAACCAGAGCGCAGGCTGCTGTAGGTTCAAGGTTTAAATGACAGTAGTAGCATCACGCTATTTGGGCAGTTGTCAAAAGTAAGGTCCCTTTTTGGGTACCTTAAATAATATGCCGTATTTTAATAGGGACCCAAAAAGGGACTATAATGTTGACAACCACCCATTTGGGCGGTCTAGATGTGAGGTTCGCCTTCCTGTGGGAGTCACATATTATGAAACTCCCAGAAGCAGCCTTTGAGGCTTGGGGTTCACGGTCTGGGCATCAGGGTTCAGGATTTACACCAGCTTTGCCGGCCCTGAAACCTAAACCACGTAGAGTCTAGAACCTGCTGCAGGAAGAACCATTATTTAGATCGTAGCTAGAACGTTTTTGTGCTTCTTAAGCTACTTGAGTCGCTATGACAAGATAGGCATAATGTTCTGGATATCCGAAAGCCACTATAAGTATAATTCTCCCGTATACGTACAGTTTAGAAGGAAAGTCCCATTGTTCTGGCTTTTCAGTAACCATGGAAAACTCTTTACGTTGCACTGTGCCCAAGTCCCCTTACACTAGTCCTACTGCTTTAGCTGGGATCTTGAGTTACAATCTAAAGCCTTTCTTCCATCCTTACGGACGAGTACCCCTTGCTCAACGACGCCTAAGCGCCAAACCCCCAAACCCTAAACCCGCAGCCTGTATGGTTTCATCCACCCCCCACCCCCCAGTGCCCTCTGCCCGAAACCCGAAACCCCTGAAAGTACTCTCCGAAACCTCTAGAAACCGCATTTAGGGATGTTTAGGGTTTCGGGTCCATCACCATCAAATTGTCAAACCATGAGCCTCTCAACCCGACGCCCCTCAACACCGGATGGCATGCATACAATCTTACTGCAGTTGCTGTGAGTACTCTTCCTGTGCAAGCTCCTCAGGAGAGTTGGCAAGTCGCACATATTGGGGATGCTTGTAAAACTAAGCCCTTATCACCCGCCACGAAAACCAAAGAAAGCATTCCTTGGAATCCCAGGGACCCTTACGGGGGTAGGGTAGAGGAGGGTAGGGGCCCATACCTATAATAAGGACCTAATAAAAAGGCCTATTTGAGGAAGTATAGCGCCGCACCCCCCTAAGGGTCCGTATGATGGAAGGCATTTGCATGCCAGGCTCATATACATCCAATAAGCACTGGTTGGAATCCCCAAACCACGATTAAACCCTACTAAACACCCGGAACCTTGAACCCAACCCCAAACCCTGAACCCTTATAGATCCCTTTAATGGAAGCTGTGTAGATCCCTTTAAGGGACCTGGTATAGATCCCCTAAACCCCTAAACCCTAAACCCTGAACCCTAAACCCTAAACCCTAAACCCTAAACCCTACACCCTAAACCTTGAACCCTAAACCCTAAACCCTGAACCCTAAACCCCAAAACCCTGAACCCCAAAACCCAGCGAGCAGGACCCAGCAGACCCAGAGACTCCAATATCCCTTAATTAAAGAATATACCTTAGATTATAGTAGGATCCTTAGTATGATTTAAGGTCTATTCCTTAATTACGGAATATACCTTACATTATACTAGGATCCCTAATATGATTGAAGGGAAATTTTCTTAATTAAGGAGTTTTGGAGTCCCTGGGGAGTCCGCGAGGATGGGATCCTACAGAGCGAATTACAGCCGTGGAGGCCCAGAAGCACGAGTGACCCTCGGTCTGGTGGGGTTCTCTAGAGGTCCCTTTAAGGGATCTGATACAGGTTCCTTTTAAAGGGATCTAGACGTTTTTTTTTTTCGGGGCTTTGGGGTTTGGGGTTTGGAGGTCTAGAAGTTGGGGTTTGGGGGATTTCGGGGCCTTTTGTTTAGGGCTTAGGGCTTACCTGGGGAATCCGAAAAGCTATTGTTTCAAGGGCTATACAGTTATACCCATTATGGGTCATAACCTGCAAGTTTGTACTGTAGGGTTTGGAGTTACAGGTAGGGTTTAGAGGAGATCTTGATGCCTTCATTGCAAGTTTGCAGACTCAGCATGATCCGCATGTGGGGAGGTGTTAGGATTCGCGTGATACAGCAATCGAATAATAAGTTACATTGTTTACTAACCATTGGTGTCGGAGGAGCTAAGGAGCCAAGGATGATGATAATCCCTATTAAGTAAGGAGCTAAAGAGCCAAGGGGACCCCAAAACCGCTGCTTAGATAAGTTACATTGTTTAGCCAATCGTCAACCTTTGTAGGTTTCTGTGCTGGTCTTCAAGCAAGTGTTCAAGCGAGTATCGCATAGTCTGCAAACAGAAACAACAATGCTGACTTTCGTGAAAAGCTTGAAAGCCTAATATAGTATGCTGAACACTTTTCCTTAGAGTTTGTCAGACAATTATGCACTGATATACCGTAAACCCAACTCTAGCTAGTCAAGCCTATCCGCTTAAAATAGGGGCTTGAATAAGTATTGATTATACTGACTATTTGGGGGTTCCCTACTACAGCTATAATCTAATACTGCGCCAGGACGAAAGTTCGTCGCATCCGGAGGTCTGCTACCACATACTTGCAAACCCCTTTCCCCCATAGACTCCTTCACGAAGTCACGATGTCAGGCAAGGACGTCACTAATTCCTCCGTCGGAACAAAAAAACAGTGTATGTTCATTTTGGCATGGAAATTCCTCCGCTAGCCAGGCCACGTAAAATGCACTTCTTCGTACTCCGAGTCCTCCGCCAAGCAAAGACATCTTAGTGCGACAGAACTTTCATCCTGCTGATGCTCACCCGCGACTAAAAACGAGTAGGCACCCGTCCAAAAAACCTCCTCACACATGCTGGCGGAACTAGCGGTCTTGGAATTCATGCTGCTCACGCGCGACTAAAAACGAGTAGTCCAAAAAACCTCCTCCGTGTGACACATGCTGGCCGAACTAGCGGTCCTGGCCTGGCCGAAGCTCACCCGCGACTAAAAACGAGTAGGCACCCGTCCAAAAAAACCTCCTCCGTGTGACACATGCTGGCCTGGCCGAACTAGCGGTCTTGGAATTCATGCTGCTCACCCGCGACTAAAAACGAGTAGGCACCCGTCCAAAAAACCTCCACACACATGCTGGCGGAACTAGCGGTCTTGGAATTCATGCTGCTCACGCGCGACTAAAAACGAGTAGTCCAAAAAACCTCCTCCGTGTGACACATGCTGGCCGAACTAGCGGTCCTGGCCTGGCCGAAGCTCACCCGCGACTAAAAACGAGTAGGCACCCGTCCCAAAAAACCTCCTCCGTGTGACACATGCTGGCCTGGCCGAACTAGCGGTCTTGGCCGAACTAGCGGTCTTGGAATTCATGCTGCTCACCCGCGACTAAAAACGAGTAGGCACCCGTCCAAAAAACCCTCCTCACACATGCTGGCGGAACTAGCGGTCTTGGAATTCATGCTGCTCACGCGCGACTAAAAACGAGTAGGCACCCGTCCAAAAAACCTCCTCCGTGTGACACATGCTGGCCTGGCCGAACTAGCGGTCTTGGAATTCATGCCCCGTCCCAAAAAACCTCCTCCGTGTGACACATGCTGGCCTGGCCGAACTAGCGGTCTTGGAATTCATGCTGCTCACCCGCGACTAAAAACGAGTAGGCACCCGTCCAAAAAACCTCCTCCGTGTGACACATGCTGGCCTGGCCTGGCCGAACTAGCGGTCTTGGCCATGCTGCTCACCCGCGACTAAAAACGAGTAGGCACCCGTCCAAAAAACCTCCTCCGTGTGACACATGCTGGCCTGGCCGAACTAGCGGTCTTGGAATTCATGCTGCGCCAGGACGAAAGTTCGTCGCATCCGGAGGTCTGCTACCACATACTTGCAAACCCCTTTCCCCCATAGACTCCTTCACGAAGTCACGATGTCAGGCAAGGACGTCACTAATTCCTCCGTCGGAACAAAAAAACAGTGTATGTTCATTTTGGCATGGAAATTCCTCCGCTAGCCAGGCCACGTAAAATGCAGTTCTTCGTACTCCGAGTCCTCCGCCAAGCAAAGACATCTTAGTGCGACAGAACTTTCATCCTGCTGATGCATACCACCAAACCGTATTCTAATTATTAAGGCCCGTATACTAAACCCCCATGATACCTTTTTTAATAACCGCAATAGATTTTTTTAAGGAGCCATTTGAAAGAATCCTATTTTAATTTAGGCCCATAAACTATCCAGGTACGTCGGCCATTACTATCCCCGCGAGCCTCCGACGCCTCCAGAACCGTTCGACTGGACACGGGTTTAGGGTTTGGGGTTTGGGCTTCCGAGTGGAGGGCTTCGGATTTATTGGGCAGACCTATCTTGGGCATTTAGTCAACACATATTTGTAGCGGTTATTGAATGCTTGCTACGCAGTGACTTCGGAGCTGCGCGAAACACGGAATAGACTGGAACTTTAACCCAACCCTAGAGGCTAATCCGTACAAAGTAAAGCTTTACACCCTCAAGAACAAAGCTGTAGCCTACCTCAGTTGCCGTAGTCCTAATTATGGCATACACCCCAGACCCTGTTGCCTTGAAAAACAATTTCCAAATTCGTGTCCAACACAGTCTAGCCGCAAGAAGGACTGAACTGAACAATCCAATTCTGGAACTGCCCAGTACACCATAAACACGTGTAGTTGTTTTGGCTCGGGTTTCGGATTGTGGAAGTGTTCTAAATCCTGGCGGGCTCTGCAGCGTGGGGGTTTGAATTGGGGTGTTTTGATAGGGTTTCCGTAGGCCTCGTTTGTTTGTAATTGTTTTGGCAGCTATGACCTGAGTATACTATCGTTTCGAGGGTGGTTGGTGGAAGGAAAATAATATTAAGTTGCATCGAAGAGTGAGGACCCTAAGTGGGATGAAGCCTTGTCCGTTTTCATCCGTTTTTTCCCGCAGTAGCTGGTGGCTAAGTCATGCAGCGCAGTGATGGGGGGGAGCAAAACTCCAAACACTACATCCCAACCTTGAAACTTTCAGCCCTAGACTTACAGGAGCCCTTATCATATCCCTTAAGTTCAACACTAAGCGAAAAAGCAGCCTGGGCCTCGAAGAAACAGCCTCTACCCATAGGCCCCCCATAGTAGGTCCCTTTGGGGGTACTTAGAAATAGCGCCATCCAGGACCTTCGACGGTTTCAAGGTTTCGACGCAAGCGGTGAAGGCACGTTCGGCTCCGAGGATGATTTGTGAAGGTTTCGGAATGAGGGTTTTGTCAGGGATTTTCTTGGGTTCTAGAGGGCTTTGTAGGCTTCTGCTGGTCTATGTCATTCGTATATAGGGTTTCTGAAGGGTTTTATCAGAGCTTGATTGGGCTTTAGAGTGCTTTTGTCGGCTGTTTGTAATCCGTTTGTGAAGGCTTGGTGGTTAGTTCTCCTGCAGGCTCTCAAAGGCAGGGTTTAGTAACTTGCCGTCTTCGTGCTCAAGAGAAGATTTAGGATTCAAGGAATAGGACCAGGCTTCTCAGTTCACCTTGGAATATATGGTTCATGGCTTAGGCTTCAGTGGGATTGGTACGGATTGCTTCACGATGTAGGGATTGAAGCAAGTTTTGCGTCTTCGGGGTTTACGGTCCAGGGGTTGCTGTACGAGAGGTGCAAAATTTGTTTGGGCAGATTCAATTCACCGTGGCGAACTGCGATGAACGGCCCCTGACAGCCGAAGGGAAGCTTGATGCTCGAACCAAAGAAACACACAGCCCTTTACCAGCATTTCCAAAACCTCCAAACCCCAAACCCTGAACCTTAATCCAAAACACTGTGGAGTGTTATGTCCCTGATTCGGATACTTCACGCCGCAACTTCTCATGCTCAAAATCACTCTTCTCCAGGAGCGCTTGTACCACGAGTGTTGGCCTCAGCAAGCTACTGGGAGCAGGCCATGCAGCTGAGAGGCTCCTTCAGCTTCCGGGTTCCAGACGTGCAAGCAGACGCGAAAAATGCGCAAACAAAAAAGAGCCCTCAACTCATAAACCCTAAACCCAAAGCACTAACCGTAACTACATGAATGCAGGTGAAAGCTGTAGGTCGTCTCATCTGAAGCAGATGTTCCGGATTTTCGCAAAACACAAAGAAGCGCTCAACAAAAACACAGCCTCAAGACTTTAACTTACACCCCTGAGCCCTCAGGTGCTCGCGTTTTCATCCCGAGATTCTGGAGCGAGATGGCGTGCGCGCTGCGAAATCCGGCGAGGGAGCACAGGGGTCTGGTTCGGTTTCAAAAACAAGGTATTGGGGTGGAGGGTCTACGGTTTTAGGGCTTCGGTATAGGCATTCGGGTTTGGAGTTCTGGGTTTGGGGTATAGGGTTTAGGGGCTGATTTGGGCTCATAGGGCCTAGGGCTCATAAGGTTTAGGGCTTGCTTTCTCTTTCGAAGGGTTGGGGTTAGGGCCGCCTATATAGCCTGGGGAGCTCTCGCAAACCGGATTCGAAGAAGGATGGCGCGACGGGTTTAGGGTTTAAGGTTTAGGGCTTAGGGTACCCGATCGTCATAAGAGTTCGGACCGGGATGACGGAGTGGTTTAAACGCGCCAGTGTTTCTCGGAGGCTGTCTAGGAGTCTAGTCGCCTGCCTGCCCCACGGGCCGTGGAGAGACGTGTTGCGGATAGACAGAAGTCCTTAGAACACAACAACCCTAAACCCCTAAACCCTAAACCCCCAAACCACTAAACCCAAACCCTTTAAAAACTTCAAGCCCTAAAGCTCAAGGCATCAAGACCGGTTTTTTTACCACATCCCGGCCCTGGCTCGCCATCCGGAACCGTGAAAATCTGACCTCTGTAAGGACTTTTGTAAGGAAAATCCTAAACCCTAAGACCCTACAAGGGGCCATAAAATTGTTGGTTAGTTGGGGTTGAGGTCTACTTGTGAGTTTCCGAAGATAGGGGACCCTACAGTAGTACCCTATTTAGTAGGATCCCTATTCTAAGGACCCCAATATAAGGAAGCCTTAATTTTCGAAAACTCCCATTTGGGGTTGAGGTCTAGTCTAATCGTGCGTACTTGGCCTGGTGTTTTTCGCGTCGGTGCGCCGACTAGATTCGTCAGGCCCCCAAAACCTGTAGAGGTCGGGATAACCCTTGGGGTTCCTTATTATCAGTATAGCGTGATATACCCCAAAACCCTGTTCAAGTTGTTAAGGCCCCTGCAGAAGACCATAAACCCTAAGCCTTGCAACCTTTATCAGGGAAAGTATGCTATACCCCAAAACGCTATTCCAATTACTAAGGCCACTATAGTACACCATACACCCTAATCCTTCTAAGACACCCTTACAGACCCCCTACAGGAACCCTAAAGGAAGCCTATTATTCTACTTCAAGGCCCCTGTTTTATTGGCTTTCAAGAACCAGAAACCCTAAACCCCAGATCCTAAGCCCTAAACCCTAAACCCTAAACCCTATAATCCCTAAACCTGAACCTCGAGTTCAGGCCAAGCCCTCAGCCCGTCAGTTGAGGCTATCCCTCTGCGAAGCCCGCTGCTGCGGAGGTATGAAGATGTCAAGCTGGGGTGTGGGGTTGAACGTTTTTGGGTTTAGGTTCAGGGTTTAGGTGTTTAGAGTTGAAGGTTTTGGGTTTAAAGCTTATGTTTTTTTGGTTCGTCTTGTGTGTGTGTGTGTGTGTGTGTATGTAAGGTAACTACGTAACCTTGGTACATCGTGAAATCTTATACCCTGAGCCCTAACCCTTGATCCGCAGACCTTCAGTAATTTGGGGCTCAAGATTTCCGGTTTCGGTATTTGCGGGTTGGTTTTGCACAAGTAAGTAGTAGTCTGAACAGGAAATGCATGTCAGTTGAAGCAACAGCCTCTGCATGGTATCATCTCAGCAAAACCCAGTGCGCATGTTCCGTTATCCTGAACTGACGACTAATAAATGAGCGCACCTCAGCATGAACAAAACATGGAAACCTCAACCCTGAACCTCAAGTTGACGGCATAATGCCAGCGCTTCGGATCTCCGGAAAGGGAGTGCAGTTCAACTTAGAAAGAAACCCTGAACCCCGCATTCCTTCGACACGTCCCCAGACCTCTGCCCCAATGCCCTAGCCCGTGACACTCTTGAAAGCCCTAGAAAGCCGAATCAATCCCTCAATCCGTCTTGAAAGCCTTTAACGCACACTAAGCATCCTCATGTCCTCAATGTTTTAAACACCTGAACCATCATCACGCCAAGGTAATTCGAGTAGCCATTGTCGAGAGTCACGGCAACTGACGACGTTTCTTATTATCAAGTATAAAACGGAGCTGCCCCTGCACCCCGAATTCTATAAAGCCCAAACGCTCCCTAAACCCTAAACCCTGATCCACTAAATGCTACATTCCCAGCCCTAAACCCCAAATGTTAAACCCTAAACCCCAGTCGCACAACAATCTATCCTCAGAGTTGCTGGCGCCAGGCCAAGGGGTCTGACCGATCGCCGAGGTGCGGCAAGGGTGGGAGAGGGCAGGGTTTAGGGTTTACGCGGGCTTTGAGGTTTATAGGTATTAGTGGCGTTTTAGGGCTTAGAGTGTTTAGGTTTAAGGTTTAGGGGGTTGAGGGTTTATAGGTGTCGGCATTTTAAGGCTTGGGGTGTTCAAGGTTTGTAGGGTTTTTGCTGTATTCAGGGATGTTGGGGCTTTTGTGGGTTTTCTGATTCAGGGTTTCGTGGGTACGAGGTTCCTGAATCACAAATCGTGTCAGGGCTCAGGTGGAACTCTGGACAGCACCCATGCAGCTTGGCCAGAGGCCATTCCCAAGTAGTGTAGGGTCTGACCCGGTGGGGAATCTTGTTCCCTGCGATTTTAATCTCTTTTCACATGTTTAGGGTTTTAGGGTTTAGGGTTTATAAGCTCCTTTTACAAGCATTTTGGCTTATTTTGGCTTATTGCCTTGTTAGTTCTACATTTATAGTTGGAGATATGTGTACTATGCCGTTTGGCTCCGTGACCCGCGGGAGCGGCCTCAAATCCCCCCGTTGCCGATGAAGTCGGCACCTTTCCTGATTAGGGCGAGCCCTGAGGCCTACCTAAACCCCAAGCCCTAAACTTGCCCTAAACCCTAAACCTTAAACCCTAAACCCCAAACCTTAAACCCTAAAGCCTAAACTCTAAACCGTAAAGCTCTAAACCCGAAATCCGAAATCCGCTACGCGTCAGCTTCCAGTGCAGTCCGCTTGGCAGAAGTGTCAATTGCAGCATAGACGCTTGCATAAAGCACCATTGCTTTAGAGTTCCTGATTTATTTTTACAATAAAGGTTCTTGTTTTAGACCCTGATTTTGTTTCTACTATAAACGAGACTCAAAACCCTGTTCTAACGGTTAAAGCCCCTAATGCATGGCCCGAACGCTCGTTTAGGATTGTGAGACCCTGAACGTGAGGATCCGAAACACAGGGGTATACCGTTTTGGGACCTAACCACTGGTTCAAGGATAATGTTTAACAATGATTTGGGGTAGGATTGTTTAGGCTGTTTAGGGTTTAGGGTTCACCAACCTCTCCGCACCTACTCTTTCAGGCGCACTGCCGCTGTAGTGGTAGTTCATGTGCTACAGCGTGGGTGTCACAAAGTCTATGTAGGCCAACAGCAGTGATCAAAACACAGCACTCAGCGATGCAGAGTTTCAGCTATTCCCCGTCAGTACCTGGTTACTCGGTCAGACCCTCAAACCCCTCAACCCTAAACCCTAAACCCTCTCCGAAACAACGGTAGAACTCAAGGTCCGGCGCGAAGAAACATCCTGAACCCTAAACCCCACTGGGTGGTTGTCAAAATTAGGGCCCCGTCTTTGGGTACCCTAAGCTTAGGGTATCATAATCCCTAAGAAACAGCTAAGATTATAATCTTTGCTAGGGTTCTAAGTTCAGTATAGTAAATAACAGGTGCCGTATTATAATAGGGACCCCAAAAGAGACCATCATTTTGACAGCCACCCATATCTCCCTAAACCCTAGACCCTTCTAGATCCCCTTAAGGAACCCTTTAAAGGAACCCTAGGGACCCTAATTTTGACAGCCACCCACATCATAAACCCTAAACCCTCATAGATCCCTTAAAGGTACCCTTATAGATCCCTTAAAGGTACCCTTATAGATCCCTTAAAGGTACCCTTATAGATCCCTTTAAAGGAACCCTAAACCCCACTCGCAAACCCGATGTCCTTGATGCACTGATCTCGCAGGCAGGCCCAGAATGGGGTGCTGGCCTCGGTTTAGGGTTTAGGGTTTTAGGGTTTAGGGGTTTAGGGGTTAGGGTTTAATTTAGGGTTTAGGGGTTTAGGGGTTTAGGGTTTAGGGTTCGTTGTCGTTGTTGTTGCTGCTCTGAGTAGACTTAGAAGGGGGTCTGTTATGAGTGAAAGTCAACTCGCTTTCATCTCTTGCAGAAGCTAAATTGCAAAGACCCCCTGTACCCTGAAACCCCAAACCCTGAAACTCACACCCTAAACCCTGTAACGTAAACCCAGAACTCAAATCTTCAACCCTAAACCCGAAAAACCTAAGCCCAAAACCCAATTCTTCAACCCTAAACTTTGAAACTCAAGCGCAGAAGGCCAAAATCTTAAACCCTGAGTGGTGGGAATCCCCCTAGACGGCTTCCCGAACCGCCCCTCCGCCAGATGTGGCATTTCAACTAACCTTTAGGCAGGTGGAAAAGAGGGTATGAAAAAACCCGGGATTCTTCAAGCCTAAACCCTGTAACTTAAACCCAAAACTCAAATCTTCAACCCTAAACCCGGAAACTCAAGTGCAGAAGTCCAAAATCTTAAACCCTGAGTGGTGGGAATCCCCCTAGACGGCTTCCCGAACCGCCCCTCCGCCAGATGTGGCATGTCAACTAACCTTTAGGCGGGTGGAAAACAGGGTATGAAAAAAAAACCTGGGATTCTTCAACCCTAAACCCGGAAACCCAAGCGCAGAAGGCCAAAATCTTAAACCCTAAACCCTGGGATCTAGGTCTCTCGGCTTTCTTTGTTTTCTAAGATGCCCAGTAGTACCCTTATTCCCTTTTTGTAGTCCTAGGTTCCTTGTAAAGTTACCCAATACCAAAAAGAGAGGCCTTTTTATTCTTAGGTTACTGGGTATCCTAGTTTTGTCCGAGACCTCCAGCCGCGGCCTGATGCGGTCCATCACCCCGGCCAGGGGCCCGAGATCCAGAGCTATGGTTTGTTTGGGGTTGGTTTCAGAATTTTGTTGAAAACCTTCGAGGGTTTTGAGTTTTAGGGCTAGGGCTTCGTTGATTTTAGGGTGAAAGGTTTTAGGGCTTAGGTTTTGCGGGCTTACATGGACCTCAAACAACCCACCTATTCAAGGGTTTATATCAAGTTTGAGGTTCGCCCCCAGAGACTCCAACATCCCTTAATGAAGGAACATACCTTAAGTTATAGTAGCATCCCTCAGAGGATTTTGGATATATCCCGTAGTTAAGGGATATTGGAGTCCCAAAGATCCTGAACTTTATAGATCCTAAAAGAACCCCAGGTATTCCTAAGTTCAGGGATATCGGAGTCTTTGGGTCTTGGGTTTGTAGGTCGGTCCTATGGGCTTTAGGCCGGAAGCCCTAAACCTCAAGTTTTAGGGTTTAGGGTTCAGGGGTTTAGGATTTAGGGTTTAGGGAAACCGCTAAAAACAATGGTTTTTATAGAGGCGCGCATTGGTGGATTTGGAAGACTCTTTCTATTGGGTTTGAAGCGGTGTTGCTTCTAGGCTTTCTTTGCAGAGTTTTACATAAGTGATTAGATACGGTTGTAAACGGGTTGGCACATATTTGGGGGTTTAGAACCTTTGAAAGAGTTCGGTACGGGTGTTGTAGAGTGTTTATAAGGGTGCTGCTAGAGCTTTCATGTTATTGAGTGTCCCGCCAAAACCCTGAAATTTGTGTTGCCCCCTACATTGGGCGGTTCAGGGTGGTAGTCCGGGCTTGAGCAGCGGCTCAGGGTTTAGAGTTTAGGGTTGCGGCGTAGGGGTGATGGGTGTGGTTCATTCAATCGCATGACGAAGCCCTAAAGCCCCAAACAAGCTCCCAAAGAGCCAAGGTACGGAACCTCGCCCGTGCCACGGGCCCAGAAAGATCACTGCGAGGATGTATTGGCGAAGGGCATGCGGGCTAACGGTTTAGGGTTTAGGGTTTAGGGTTTAGGGTTTAGGGTTTAGGGTTCCGGTTTGAGGGAATAGGGACTAAGGTTTAGGATTTAGGGTAAAGGGACCCCTTGGCGGTTTAGGGTTTAGGGTGCCCTTCTCAATGCGCGCATGTTCAACCGAAAGGTCTGAATGCAACCACGAAGCTTTAAACTAGCGGCTCCCTTAGTGTCGGGTGCTATAGAAGCCTAAATAATTACCAATATTATTCTTTAGGGTTCCTTGTTATGGTTAGACTAGAAAGGGGTCCCAAACCCTATTCTAATTATCAAGGCTCCTGTATTCTCGTACCCTTATAGATCCCTTGTAGTAACCCCTATAGGATCCCTTTCAAGGGACCCCTATATTCTTATTATTAATTAAGGCCCCTACATTAGCCTCCTACTGCACAAGTTACGGCTCCGCTAAAGGTCGCATGCCCACGCGGAAGTGGTCTTGCTCCCAGAGACTCGGGCCAATATCCCTTCATTAAGGGATATACCTTAAACTATGGTAGGATGCCCCTTATACGGTAGGAACCTGATTAAGAAACCCAAACGAGTAGGATTCATATAAGGAACCCTTGGTCCTTTTTCTTAATCAGGTTCCTACATTATGATTTAAGGTATATTCCTTAATTAAGGGATATTGGAGTCTCTGGGCTTCTAGGCTTTGACGCCCCCACGGTTGCGCTCGACCACGCCGCCCCGAACGAGCACCACACCCACGAGGACAGGTGTCGCTACACCAAAGCTACACCTCAGGAAGTGTTTACAATATCCCCAACCCCTTGACGCTAACCCCAAAATCCGAAATCCTTTCAAGCATGATACTTTGCGACCAATTCGACTATAGATTAAGTATAAGTAAGAAAAGAAATAATATAATATAGACACTAAATCTTTACATGGCTCAGACCCTGAGACGCGGCTTGAGTTCAGGTCCTCGGTTTTTCGGCTTCGGGCTAGGCTTTCGTTTTACCCCTTTAGGGTTTAGGGTTCACAAGAAGTCGGTTTAGGGTTTCAGGTTCACGGTTTGGGGTTTGGGGTCAAGGGTTCGCAATAAGTCGAATTAGGGTGTAGGGTCCCTAGACCCTAAACCCTAAGTGTTTGGTTATGGGTCCGAGCTTGGGATTCCGCGCCATGCAGAAGTGTTCGGGTATCCTTTTGTAGGGTTTAGGGTTTAGGGTTTGAAGCCCTACGATGTTGCCATAATCAATATATCACGCCCCTGTTGTAGAAAGCCCCTGAAAAGGCCCTTCTAGATCTGAAGTGATGAAGCCAAAGTAAGCAACCGGAAAGCATAGATCTCAATGCTCATGCTTCAAGACGCGAAGCGACATTTTTTGGCAACAAGCAGTGAGGCCCTTGAAGCATTGCTGGCTGGGGCTCACATGGTAGCATAGGAAGCATTCGGCTGCAGAAGGGCTTGTAGTACATCAATCGTAAAGGAGCTACCAAGTGCTGGCAGGAGGGGCAGCAACTCAAGCGAGCAAGTTCGCGCCATTTGACACCTCGCGAGAGGTGCGGTTTCGGGTGTAGTTTATTATCTCTGACCTAAGACCCCGAACCGTCGCAAAACCCTAAATCCCAATGCATGATCTGAACCTGGAGCCCAATTCAGGTGTAACCGAAACACGGAAAGCCGTGACCCTGGAAATCACCGGAATCCGAAAGCCCTGCACCGTTCTTGCTTTGCTGTTCAGGCTGCAGGCTGCTTTTGCTGACCTTGGCGTTGGTTTGTGGTCTGGGGTTTAGGGTTTAGGTTAGGGTTTAGGGTTTGGGGACACGAATCACGGGAGGCCTACCCTCATCAGGTATCCTAGGGTCATTATAGTGAAGACCAGGCCTTTGTGAAGCGCTTTGACTTTCAGTATGGAAGCCTACGTTGCCAAGATCATTCGGTAGGGTTCCTGGTTAAGACTGTACATAACTTTACTGTAAGATGCTTCCGAAGCACTATTCTAAGTGTTAAGCCTCCTATGTTTAGTGGTTGAGAGTCACTCGTTAAATCAGTGATGGACGGTGGAGTTGGTAACACCCCTGGCTTAATGGATTGCTCTGAAATTGGTGTCGGAGTATCCTTCTATATAACCCTAAGCCCCAAACAGTTTCACGACGGAGCCCTGTGCGCTCATTCTGAATCCCCAAGCGGTTTTGCGTGGGGTCGGGCTTCACGTCTGGAGTTTAGGGTTCAGGGTTTTGGATCGAGGACGTGGGGTCTTACTTACTTTTGCTTAGTAGGGAATGGAAGAATGGTAGTTTGTTGTTACAATTGTACCCCATTCCTCCATTCCCTACTAACCCAAGGTAAGCTTAATATAGCTATTCTATACCCATTATATAGACCATTATAGGGTAGGGGTCCCCATCAAGGGTCCTCCTTTTCCCCTAAACCCCCTAAACCCCCAAACCCTATACCCTTATAGAATCCCTATAGATCCCTTAAAAGGATCCCTAAGAGCCCTAAATTAAGGGTCCCTCCTTTTCCCCTTTGAGGATGTGGGGTCTTGCTTGGAGGGTCGGGGGACTTAGTAACTGGCTATTCTAGGGACTTATAAGAACCATAACCCCCAATTAGGGTCCCTTTTAGGGTACTTATAAGTCTACTTACCACCTACTTACTAAGTCCCCCGACCCTCCAAGTGGGCTTTGGAACAGTGTTTGGAGTTCGAGGCTTCCTGGTTTGAACCTGCCTTCTCTCGCAGGAACTTGAAATTCCTAGGGTGGCTGTCAAAATTAGGGTCCCTAGGGTTCCTTTAAAGGGTTCCTTAAGGGGATCTATAAGGGTCTAGGGTTTAGGGAGATATGGGTGGTTGTCAAAATTGTGGTCCCTGTTTGGGTCCCTATTATAATACGGCACCTCTTATTTAGGGTACCCGAAAAGAGGCCATCATTTTGACAAAGCCCCCACTACCCTACTAACCCTTACTGGCAGGACAGGAGTCTGTTGTGGGCTGTTGTCATTCCCCCATCCCAGAAGCTCCTAAACCCTAAACCCTAAACCCTAAACCCTAAACCCTAATCCCTAAACCCTAAACCCTAAACCCTAAACCCCTAAACCCCTAAACCCCGCAACCTTAAATCCGAAAACATGCAGCCGTGTAAACCCTCTACAAGCTCCTGATCCCTAAACCTCATCTCTTAGACCTTGCAACTTCATCGAACCCTTTTAATATTTTACGGGAAATCTGTAAGGAATCCTGTTAGGAGCATTTTCACCCTGAGCCTTGCAACCTGAGACTTCGGTCGAGGGTTTTTTGTTCAGGGTTTAGGGGTTTAGGGTTTAGGGTTTTGGGTTTTGGGATCGTTTGGGAAAGGTAAGGGGAAGCTGTCAGGCATCAGTCCATGGCGCTCGAAGGCGTGCAGGGTTTGGATGTAGGATTTACGTTTTAGGAGTGTTGGGTCGAGCACAGGAAACCTTAAATCTCTTAGCGTTATTTTTTTTGTGTTTGAGTTTAGGAAACCGGAATCTCTAAACTTTAGGGTCTTGTGTTTGAGTGTAGAAAACCAGGTAATCGTATACGCCCTCAACTTTGCTATTTGAGGTTTTTTGCGGGTTCATAGGTAACCCACAGACTCCAACATCCCTTAAGCAGGGAATATGCCTTAAATGATAGTAGGATCCAAAATATGATTGAAGGTAAATTCCTAAGTTAAGGGATATTGGAGTCCCCGAAACCCTGAACCCTATAGATCCCTGACAGATCCCTTAAAGGAGCCCTAGGTATTCCTTAGTTAAGGGATATTGGAGTCTCTGGGAAGCTACATTCTTCAGACAGGGGCTGCGGGAACGATGAGAGTTTAGCTTAGAAGGCCCCCCCCCCCACCCTGTAATGGTGGTATAATAGGAATACAATAGGACCCTAATATAGTCTTTATAGACTTATAGTCACTATTAACACTATTACCGGGTGGGGGGGCCCTCTACGGTTTAGGGTTTAGGGCCCAAGGCTGGGTTTAGGGAGTGTGGTTTTTGGGTTTGGGGTTTAGAGGCTGGGTTTAGGGAGTGGGGTGTAGGGTATCGGGGCTGGGGTTGGGGAGTGGGGTTTTGGGATTGTCGGGTTATGGGTCTGCGATTTTCGCGAGTTGTATAGCCTGCTGCGAACCCAGAGACTCCAATATTCCAATATCCCTTGATTAAGGAATATACCTTAAGTCATGTTAAATTAGGGATCCTACTATAAGTTAAGGCAAATTCCTAAATTAAGGGATAGTGGAGTCTCTGGGAAAAAGTCATACCTTAAGTCATATTCGGGATCCTACTATAATTTAAGGCAAACCCCTTAGTCAAGGGAAATCTGGGAAGAAGTCACCGTCTCATAGGTAGCCGCTTGGGTTCAGAGGTTCGGGACCGACTGCTCGACCTTAGGGTTCAGGGAGGCTTAGGGTTTCGGTTTAGGGTTTAGGGTTTAGGGTATAGGGTTGAGGGTTTAGGGTTTAGGGTTTAGGTTTAGGGTTTAGGGTTGAGGGTTTCGGTTTAGGGTTTAGGGTTTAGGGTTTAGGTTTAGGGTTTAGGGTTTCGGTTTAGGGTTTAGGGTTTAGGGTATAGGGTTGAGGGTTTCGGTTTAGGGTTTAGGGTTTAGGGTTTAGGGTTGAGGGTTTCGGTTTAGGGTTTACGGTTTAGGGTTGAGGGTTTAGGGTTTAGGGTTCTGTAAATCCCACGGAAGGTTATAGCGTTTGTCGCGCCAAGAAGGGCCTCTATGCGTTTGCTGTCTGGTTCGGAGGGTTTAGAGGCTTGTGGTTGAGGCACTACTTGGAGGGTCGGGGGACTTAGTAACTGGTTATTTTAGGGACCTATAAGTACCATAATCCCAATTAGGGTCCCTAATACTTATACGTCTACATACTACCTACTTACTAAGTCCCCCGACCCTCCAAGTATGCGTACCAGGCCCTTTCGTTTGGTTTAGAGGCTTGTGGGCCTGCAAAAGGATCACACAACTTTGTCCTTGGAGCCCTTTGCAAAACCATTCAGCCCTGTAGCACTGCGTAAAACCCAACGTTTCGATTAAACCCCTGGGTCAGTCAGGAAATTAAGAGTTGCAATAAACCTCTAAACCCCTGAACCCTAACCCCGCAAACCCTAAAACCCTAACCCTAAGCCTTTAAGATTGTCTTGGCAGGACACGTGTGGCGGACGAAATCGGCCCTTGGCGAAGCCAGGCCCAACAGGAGCTTCCCACGATTAGGGATCCCACTCAGGGTTTCTGATGCCAGGGTCCGTTCTGTTTAGGGCTTAGGGTTTACAGGGGATACATGCCAGGGTTCCTTCATGTGTGAAGCTCCGACGTGAGTTACTAAATCACAAGCAGACGCTTTTCCGCACGACTCCCAGATCACCCTGCAGAGCGCACGCCTGAGGCGAAAGCCACGCCAAAACCAAGAGCACTAAGTAGAAACATCCTATCCCCACAAAAACCCAGAAACCCCACATAAATTGAAACCCTACTTAAAAGGTACTGGAACATCAGAAGGGCATGGAGGGCTCTGCGCTCCGCGGGGTGGCATGGGGGCCGCCGCCTGTCTGCAGCGACGAAGTCGACGCAGATCGCGACTGCTTTCGCGCAAGGCTGTTGCTGGTGATTACATCAGGATCCCGGAGTTCGGGGTTCAGGGGTTTAGGGGTTTGAGTGGTTCTTTGAACAAAACTCTATAAGGGTTCCTTTAAAGGAGTCTAGTAGGGTTCAGGGTTTAGGGGTTTGGGGGTTTAGGATTTTAGGCGCTTAGAGGTTTCGTGGTTGAGGGGTTTAGGGGTTTAGGGGTTTAAGAGGTTTAGGGGTTTAGGGCTTTAGGGGTTTAGGGGTTTGGGGGTTTGGGGTTTTGGGGTTTTGGGTAGCAAGTTGTAGGTACTTGCTAGTCTAAGGTTTATAGTGCTTCGATTTATGCGCCTCGATTTGGATCCTGATGTCTACAGCTGGGAAGAGTCTGCCACTAGCTGAAGAGGTCTGCAGTGCCGAATGTTCAGTGCGCGGACCTCCCGATGATCCACAAACCACGCCTCGCCCCCAAATCCTCAACCCTAAACCCTCAACCCCTAAAACCGTAAACCCTAAACCCTAAGACCCTAAGCCCTAAACTCTACCAGGCACTCAGCCTTGAAATTTCAGCCCGCAAGAAAAGCTAACGCCTGAAGCCTCAACCCAGAAATCTCAAGGCCTCAAGGCTCCAGCCCTGAATCCCGACCCCTAAGCCAGAACTTTAGGTCGCTTGGACCTACACTGCCAGATGAAAAAAAATGACGAACAGATTGTCTTCAAATGGCCTGGCATAGAGTAGGTCTGGTTCAGGGCTTGCAGGGCTTACCCCGAAACCCTAACCCTCAAGGGAGTGCAATCAGCTTTAAAAAACCTAATCGCTACACCCTACACCCTCAACCCTGAACCTCAAATCCTAAACCCCAAGCCGCACACCCTGAAGCCCTAAGCCTACGTAAGCCCCAAGACCTACACCCGAACGTCTTAGGGCTTGGGGGGTTGATAAGGTTTAGGGTTTTGTGGGCCCAGACTCA